TTGTTGATTCGAACTTAAGTGAAGCCATATTTGTGGATCTTTTTTCAGATAATTTCTTATTTGAAAAATAGCAAAGAAAATGTTGCTTAATTCTAAGGTGGAGCAATGGAACCGGATATTTTATACCGTCAAAATGTGCCTTCATATATGTCGTACAACCGTCTCTCCGTAATTACTTTGCGAAATAAAATATCATTGAATGTAATCAGAAGTGTCCTATGAATGTGTGCTAGGCTTTGTTTATTACAGTACTGTAAATTTGTTTACTGTGGACCTAAATCAACACCTCGCGTGGAGCAACATACATGTAGATTATGTTTATAACAGATATCATAAACACATGATTGCATTACGGGCATTAATTATTCGTCTCTAGAAACGGCTCATGAACGGCTCCAACCCCAAACATATTTGATCCGTCCACGTGACAGTCAGTCACTATCCTGCTGAACGAGAGGTAATTCATCGATTCATACCGGAACTACCGGAAGTAAAGGCAATCATGCTATCAGACCCGCTAAGTGCAATACAAGCTATCACAGACGGGCACTCTAGACCAAATACAATCAAGAATATTCTATACGAACATTCAAAACTCTCGATTCACGACAAATAGGTGAACACTGTCAAATCATATCTCACACCGACATTAATATAGTAATGCAAAGGTAGACATACCCGTAAAGCAGAGACAAAGCATGTTCCCTTTATCCAACTGATCTAGGAAGCACACTCAGATTTACTGTCTCAGTCCCTGAACCGCACTGTTTACCCTTCTGTCCAGCCCATCCTGCAATGCTAAAGCCCTAAATGAAGCAAGTCTAGATTTCCTCAGATTCAGGATTTCACGTCCTTTTCAATTCAAATGGAATTATTTGTTTCTATCAAAATTTATATATTCAGAGATTAAGCATTAGTCTAACTCAGATCCTGAATTGCCCCAAAATGGTAAGCCCGAAGGGAAGCATGATTATATCATCTGCTAACTGCATCCTCAGAGTGGATGGTCATTTTGAAGCAGGTGGTGAATTCTTGTGATCTAATGAGATAGCTGACACCCTAAATGTGTTTTCAAAGCAACTGAAGATGCGTTCAGGCGTCTGAATCTCAATGTCCAGCAAGTAACAGCCCCTGCTACGATACGACCTGCCGTTGCAGGCATAATGCTTGGTCTGGCAACCGTGGCATCAAAAGTCATCAGGTATTGTACCTTCTTACCTGTGGGCCTTCGGGCCACCAGGGGCGTACCTACCATTATAAAAAAACAAAAGCCCGGGCTTACACATGATTTTTGCTATGAAAGTTAGGCAAGCCCTCAATACTATCCAAATATAAAGCTTTTCAACCTATCTGACTTACACGAAAAACATGGCTTGCTACGCTTCTGGCCACAGAACGTGATGAATGATGGAGATTGGTCCTTATAAACTGCACTCCATCAGACTGAGGGGACCGCGACGCTTGTCAGATATCACCTTCTGACTGATACCTGGAAACAAAAACAAAAACAAACAAATTTGAAAAGCCGTGACATCAAACGCTTGAGTTATGTACATGTTTGTTACCGCCATGCCTTGAACTTAGCCTACACTGACCTGTTTCTGTTCTGAGTTACCCTTGAAAACACAAAAGAGATAAAAAGGTTTGGAAGGCAGAATATTGGTATTCTGGTCAGTCGCAGAGAGAGTTCCAGTTCCAGTCTGTCCGGAAGTGAGGACGAGTGTCCACATAGATTGATTGTGAGGGTCGATGGAATTGCCAGTGTCCTTGAGAATTGTGGAGTCCTTCTTTATGTCTAGACCGAGGCACTGGAACATGTTATGGGCATCGAACTGAAAGGAAAAATAAGAGTACTCGCTTTACATGAAGACATTGAACTTCATGTATGGTGCTAAGTGAATGCATTCTTAGAAATGGTGACAGCATCAGCAACGCTTGGCAGGGGAAGTCTGTATCTGTTCCTGAAGGGTAGAAAATGGAAGGGATCACAGAACAACTCAGTTCCGTCATGATCAAGAGGACCCCTGCAGAGCTACAGATAACTTTTTGGGTCATTGAATTATGTACTCGCTTGTGTTCATCTCAATTGGGTATCCTAATATTCCTTTGAGTAACCAAATAAATTGTACTCACCTCACTCAAACTCAATTGGGTATTTTGCCATTTTCTATTATTTTTAAAAATATAATAAAGTTTAAATGTTAGTGTTTGTAATTTCTATTTGATCTGTAGTATTAGAAACGATAAGAAAGACTGCAAGTTGCCAGGTTCATGTCCTGAAATAGAACCTCTCAATATACATCACTTATTTTATCTATCCACCGGTACGCAAGCTAAAATTTGACATTTTTGTGTGTACGCAAGTAAGATCACATTTATTGAGTATTTACAAAAATTCAAGCGTACTTGTACGCAATAGACCTAATAGGAATTGAGTTTTCACATAAATATTTGCGTAATTTACGCAGATACGCAGCTTATCTGTACATCTCTCCCTGTATGATGAACATGCCCAAGACGAAAACATTTAATCAGGAATATAGAACTGATTTCTCCTGGAAGAAGGCAACAGAGAGAGCAAAACAACTCCACGTGATCGAGTCAGTTCTCTCATGATTAAGAGGACCTCCGAAATGCATTGATGAACACGTCCAAGACAAAAAAAACATCCGCCAACCGACAACCATGACGAAACACGTCTCTGACCCTTGGTGCCCACTGGTCAAGAGGAAATGGTATACCTACTGCACGTCCACTGACACCAAACAGACAGGTTGAACCCTTTTTCTCATTATCCCTATTTATGAGTGAGTGAGTGAATTGGGTTTTACGCCGCTTTTAGCAACATCACGGCGGGGGACACCACAAATAGGCTTCACACATTGTACCCATGTGGGGAATCGAACCCGGGTCTTCGACATGATGGGCAGACGCTTTAACCACTAGGTGCCAGGCGTGAGATTTGAAATACTGTTTGGTGGGAATTCGATCTCTGAAGGTTTGTAAGAATGGCGATTGCTTATCAAGAAAGGAAAATAGCATTATAAACGGTATGTTGAAGAAGATTTGGTTCTAAATGCCACTGAGGCGGTGGGGTAGCCTAGTGGTTAAAGCGTTTGTTTGTTGTTGTTGTTTTTGTTTTGTTTTGTTGTTTTGTTTGTTTTGTTGTTGTTGGGGTTGTTGTTTGTTTTGTTTGTTTGTTGTTTTTTTGTTGTTGTTGTTTGTTTGTTGTTGTTTTTTGGGGGTTGGGGGTGTGTGGGGTGCGTGCGTGCGTGCGTGCGTGCGTGCGTGCGTGTGTGTGTGTGTGTGTGTAATTTACCTTGACTAAGTATGACCGGTTGGCCACGGAAGCTTAACATTGTGAATGAGGTGTCGAATACTGCATACTGACTATGCAGGATCATAAGAAACTGCAAACCAATCAATTACAAGCGCGTGTGACAATTGTGCCCCATTGATGATACACGGCACGTCTTTGATTGAAACTTTGGTCATGTAGTGACAGCCGTCGTAGAAGTAACACGTAACAATGTGTTTGTATTTACAGGACCCGATAATGTTACTGACGCCTCCGTTTAGCAATATGTTGCATACGCGCGTATAATCAAACATGTTGTGATTGGATAACACGCGTGTTTAGCCCCAGCTGCCACATCACCAGTTGTCATGGAAACGAATGAAATAGTAAATGATTTTTTTAAAAACACACCAAACTGTGAACTGATAAAAGCATACTATATTAATTGATCTAGCATGGAGACATCTTTTAGGGAAGAGAATAGGTCATATTTATGAATCGTTTATATTTGTCATTTGTTTAAGCTAAGCATGCATTCTTTATTCCTCCGAGGCATACTTCTAAATTATATGTTTAGTTGGTGCTTAACGCTACACTCGGCAATATTCCAACTACACGGCTGCGGTCTGTAAATGATCGAGTCTGGACCAGACAATCCAGTGATCAACAGCATGAGCATCGATATTTAAGAAATACAGTTGGCTCTACCACCATGTATAGTGTAATAAAGCACACTATCGCACTGAACAGTTTCTAAGACTTGATGCCAACATTAATACTAACCGACGATAACTCTAAGGCAGAAAACTAAGAGAAAACCGACGGTGTCGGTGACCTAAATCATGGGCGGATCCAGGAATTTTGAAGAGAGAGAGAAGAGGGGAGGGATTCCAATTCCTTTTTCTTCCCCCATTGGCTCCCCCAACGCCATAGAAAATCTTCAATGTGGACTGAAGTCATGTTCAAAGGGGAGGTTCGAAATACAGTTGGCTCTACCGCCATGTATAGTGTAATAAAGCACACTTTCGCCCTGAACTATTATAGTTAAAGCACGAGGTAAGGTTGTCCAATTGTCCTGTTGCTAGAATTACTTTGTACACCAAATAGCTTGATACCGGTAAAATTGTGTTCAAATCACCAGAACATAACCTCGTATTTGTTTATTCAAACTTACAACCATCTTTGTGATCTTTATTAAGTTGATTTAAAATAGCAAAGAAAATGTTTCGTAATTGTCAACTTGAGTAATGAAACATATTTCTTTTCTACCGTTACATGCTCCCTGTAACCTTTTATTTGTGAGTTTGTAATGGCGTACGTTGAAAGGAAATTCGTATCATTTTGTAGTTTCAGAGATGTAGGAAACACTTTGAATGCCATATGAAATATGCATTGTCAAAATAGCTGATGCGGTTAGAAGTTGCTTCCCTTCCCGATCATGTCGAGACACGCCCACTTTCTGTGACCGAGTAATCGCAACCGGCTGTTACATTTGACATCGCTCCTCCTCGTTTATAGAAATATAAATTATATCATACATATAAAAAGAAGCATTTTACTTCTGATAGGCAATTACCAATATCAATGGATGAGATGTATTATGATTTCAGATATAGGATTTGGGGTTTTAATACCAAAGACAAAAATACACGACTAAACGACTGTTTCGGAGGGAGTGAGAGCACATAACGGCACCGAGCTCCCAGCTGTGTCCGTGCCTGCCCTACAATCGGCTAATAATAGTGACTTAGTGTGTGCATCGCAGGGAGAGGTTCGCCGAGCAGACAACATGTCGGGTCGTGGTGGTAAAAAGAAACAGAAGATAATGTCGAGATCTGCTCGATCCGGGGTTCTTTTCCCAGTTGCCCGAATGCTCCGCTACTTGAAGCGAGACACTCATCACTTCCGTATCGGGGCCGGAGCCCCCGTTTACATGGCTGCCGTCATCGAGTATCTCACTGGTAAATAGCAACAGAACACACAATATCGCACACCGTGTTGGTCACTGAATGCATGTGCAGTTATCAATCTTAACACACAGTTGAGACATAATATATGCCTCCATAATGCATCGGTTAATCTATTAATTAATACATATTGATACTTGTTGATTGAAATGTATTACAATTTCACCAAAGTGTTACACATCGTCATGACCTGTGGAAGTGTGAGTTATCTCCCTTAGACCATTGCGTTCAACCTTTTCACTCGCCAGATCAGTTGCTAGAAATCATTATCGAACAGTTTTCACTGGTATAGAATTATAGTGATATATATTTATGAAGAAATAAACTTTATATTATTAAGAGAGTGAAAATGTATAAAACCTAACGGGAACAGTATGTTTTATGGTGATATTGTAGCTGTCATAGACTGAACAACCGAACTAGCCAACACCACCAAATGGATTAATTTCACTGCTGCTTTATATCAGAACGTGGCATATAATAAGCTTATTATGGAAGTAAGTACTAGATTCTCAGACATTTACGAATTTTATTACCACAATGCAATCATAAATATATTATGACTCTACATGATGCCGGTGCAAAATGTCAAAGGGGATGTAAATAGCATTTCCCTCAGATATTTCAGCCATTTAATAAATGAAAAAATTTAGCTGACTTGCATCTGTGCCTCATTGTACATTTTAGGAAAACATTGGCGGATCCAGAGGGGGGTTCAGGGGGTTCGAACACCACCACCCACCCCCTGAAATTGACTTAAGACCACATGGAAGATTTTTTTTGTGTTGGCGGAGCCAATGGGGGGTTCAGGGGGTTCGAACCCCTTGCCTTTTCCAAATTCCTGGATCCGCCCCTGGAAACAAAGCAGTTACCGTAGATGAGATATGACAGTTGCAATCAAATCATGCTGACTGGTATGGTGGTAACAGAGCATCAATGTTCACATAAATCTGGGACTGTATCATTGATGTTGATAAGTAAGGCCCGCTACTCCTAAAAATCTATCCCCAAGCAGCCTGCAAGTCATCTTTTTACCATTACTTGTGTTTTTATACACGTCCACAGGTTTGAAATCTATTTGAGATGACGAATTTAAACTTTCCATATAGGGGTGGGCGGGTAACCCAGTGGTTGAAGCATTTGATAATCATACCAAAGATCTACTTGGGTACAATATGTGAAGCCGATTTCTGGTGTCCAATGCTGTGAGATTGCTGGAATATTTCTGAAAGCGGTATAAAACTCACTCACTTTCATCTTTCACTTGATACATTTTGAAACAATTTGTAAGGTTAATGGTATTGCTTGTGTAGTAATCTCTATATTCCTCCTCCACACAATATATCTACCTGGATTCTTGCTTGCAGCTGAAATCCTGGAGTTGGCTGGCAACGCGGCACGAGACAACAGGAAAGGGCGGGTAACTCCCCGACATATCCTCTTGGCAGTTGCCAATGATGAAGAACTGCACCAGGTGAGTTGTTACGGCCGTCAGTGATATTCAGCACAAGCTTGGTTGACTGTAGTGGCACCTGGTCTACAGTGCACAGGTCACAAATCAGGCGAAATTGAGCAGCATTGATCACGGAGTGTTGTTGGAAGTGTGACCACATGGGACAGCTTGACATCTGAGTGTCTTGGACTTCAGTCCTACCCTGCAGTTAAGCACATGTGTTGCCTCCTTAGTCTTAGCAAGTGACTGTTGGAAATGTGCCTATGCTCACCCAGCAGTGAATGGGCACCCGGTAGTATGTTATAAGTAAATGTTAACCTTGGGGGCTTGGGGTGTTCCTTTCACCAGTATAATAATGTGGTGACCTGAGCATTCTTAAGGGCGTGTATATGACACATTATCTTACCTCACACATAAATGTTGTTTTCTGATTGGCTGAACCAATCAATGTACCCCGCTTACAAGTGAATAACATATTCTATGTTACCCGCTGGAAATGCCGAACTTTGGGAATTTGTTTCGATCGTTGCCTAACTCTGGTGCTCCTTATTATGATCCAATACCCGTGCTTCAAACACTTCAAAATTAACATTGAGGTGTTCGGTAAGATAAATACGTTGTTCACTGGTCCCTCAGGGACCATGGGTTGATGTACCCTCTATGTTTGTTCAGGCTCAGGAACATAAACAGGGCTCCAGATAAGGGCCGTATCAACGTATGTACGGATAAAAAATATGCATGATACGATAGGAAATAATTTGGAAAACGTAGCAGATACGCACCACAGCAATGGTGTACGAATCATTTACAGACGTATTTATATGAAAAAGTATTGTTTATTGACCTGTTTACACAAGAGTAGCAATGTTGTGGTGCATATACCAAACGAAACACAAGAATACTGATTACTAATTTCCATTCAGTACTCTAAATGTACTCTTAAGTTTTTCCAGTACTCCTATATTGAAAAAATAAGGAGTACGTACATCAACATATGCCCCCTCATTATATTATAAACATGCACATTATTGATCAACTTTGAATGGGCTCCAAATACAGACATAGTGCCTCAGATAAGGTTCTGTGACTGAAATGTTGCCAATACCCATGGGATTTCAGGCCAGCATAGATTATTGTTATACCCACACAGCGCCTGTACCCTCTTACTGAAGTACCTGTGAAGGTCCGGGTTAGAATTGATCTTCAGTAACCCATGCTTGTTGTAAGAGGTGACTAACGGGATCGGGTGGTCAGGCTCGCTGACTTGGTTGACACATGTCATCGGTTCCCAATTACGCAGATTGATGCTCATTCTGCTGATCACTGGATCGTCTGGTCCAGACTTGATTATTTACAGACCGCAGCCATATGGCTGGAATATTGCTGAGTGTGGCGTAAAATTAAACTCACTCACTCACTCACTCACTCACTCACTCACTCACTCACTCCCTCACTCACTCACTCACTCACTCACTCACTCACTCACTCACTCACTCACTCACTCACTCACTCACTGAAGTTATAAAGTCAGAATCTGGAAGACTATTTACATAGCAGTGTTCTAGGGATTGAGAATCATGGTACATGTGACTTATATCCCACCCAGGGTATATTATGAAGGTCAGACTGAGGATGAGATTCTGGAAAAAAGCTTATGACATTGAAATTTAACTGTTTTGTGTGTCTGTAATTCTTCTGACTGCTGACTTTATCGATGACTGACTCCTTGCAGTTGCTGAAGCACGTGACTATTGCCGCAGGAGGCGTTTTACCAAAGATACTTCCCGAGTTGATAGGGAGGAAGAAGGGCAACAAGTTCCCCAACACCCTCCTCTCCAAACCTGTCGCAGCAGCTCCTCCCAAACCCAAGAAAGTAGTCAACAGCCCAAGTTCCTCCCCCAGTGCCAAAGTGGTGAAGAAACCTTCACCAAAGAAAGTTAGTGTTGTGTCAGTCAAAGGCAAGCCAAGCAAGGTCAAGGGAGGAAAGGTCAAGGTTAGTATTATTCAGCCTTTCTCATTTGCTATGCATCCATGAAGATCTGGGTTAGAATTGGTCTTCAGTAACCCATGCTTGTCGTAGGAGGCGACTGACGGGATCGAGTGGTCAGGCACATGTCATTGTATCCCAATTGCTTAGATCAGTGGTCATGCTGTTGAATACAGGATTGTCTGGTTCAGATTCGGTTACTTGCAGACCACAGCCGTGTAGCTGGAATATTGTTGAGTGCTGCATTAAGCAACAAACAAAAAAACAAAAGTCATTTGCTCTGCTGACTTGTGCACCATATGGCAGCCATATTGTAAAATGACATTTCACTCTACTGAATGTCTATTTTTGAAAATGTTTTCCATTTGCTATGAACCTGTTGAATTTAAAATTGTCCATTGAATGGTAGAGCATCAGCAACTGTTGACATCATGTGTGGAATGTATTCAATGTTTAACTGCTGGTGACATGTATTGACAGGTGAATGCAGGGGACAGCACCAACACCAAGATCGGCACCACTGACGCCAGCGGATTTACCATCCTGTCTGAGAAGAAACTCTTCCTGGGACAGAAGGTAAGATTGAACCCATTGTGTTGTAGTGACAGCAAACTCCACTGTCAAATACACTCAAACAAAGTCCTAAGATTTGTAGTAGATCTGCTGTTGCATATCAACTTGTTCGATTAATGAGCTGTATGGTAGCCAAATGGTTCAAGGGTTCACTCATCACAGCTATAATTAGGATTTGGCTGAAATATTGCTTAAATGTACTCTACATTACTACCATTCGTTTACACAGTTGAGGAGTCCATAATGGTTGTGCATAGTTAAGTCCCTTGACTGTGTTAGGATCTGCTGACAGTCTGAAATTCTCTGTGGTGATTCTAGATTAGAATACATCAAACTGTGCTGGTCATAAAGGACATGGAATGGATCAGGACATCAGACTCAGTGACGTCGTACCCTCCTCGTGTGATTTGTTCAGTGCTCATAATATCCATCTTTAGTTGTTCCAAAATAAATTACAGGTTGCTGTCATAAAGCAGGGGGGTGCGGTGGGGTAGCCTAATGGTTAAAGCGTTCGCTCGTCACATCAATGACATGGGTACAATGTGTGACTCCCATTTCTGGTGTCCCCCGCCGTGATGTTGCTGGAATATTGCTAAAAGCGGCGTAAAACCTAACTCAGTCCATCGGTCAGTCATAAAGCAGGGATATTGCTGGGAGCGTGTTAGACAACAAGCATATAGTGTCATGAGTTTAACAACTCATGGTTAGATGTTTGCCCGTCATGCCGAAGTCATGGCTTTCCATTTCCCACATGTGTGAAGCCCATTTCTGGTGTCCCCACCATGATATTGCTGGAATGTTGCTAAAAGTGGTGTAAAACTGAACTCACCCGCTCACTTCTGGGCTTTCTTCACTCATTGATTAACCATGTTCAAAGCAGTAACTGACTCTCTGACATACAACGTAGACAGTAGGTGACAGTTTTTCTGTCTCCTGATTCCTTTGAGGACTGTACAGTGTTTCCTTTATTCGGTATATACCAGACTTTGACCAGTACAAAGTAACAATGTCTGGTAATTTCAAAAGCTGTCGGTCATTGTATCCATCAAATTTTAAAATCAATTTTCTAATTACCTCTGTCAATTGTATTTCTCCTCGAAAAAGATTTTTCACGACATCGAGGTGTTGTCAAATAAAAGTAGCAGTTTTATGGAAAACCCAAGGCTAAGAATAGTGGCATTGACACATTTCGATACCTTCAACATTTCTGATTGGTTGTTAGGGTGCAAGGTTGCGCACAATGAAAAGCGTGATCACTTGACCGGTATAATTTACAAATGATAGGTATTTGAAATGCTAGCCGGTCACCATGTCCACCTGTGCTGCTCTAGGTAGCAACATACTCCCCTTCTTGTCACATACCTGTGCTTGTCATGCTATTTGACTTGATAGATTGGCTGGTTTGCTGACCATACCTCATGGTAACTGGGCCCCAACAGTGTGAGACATTGCTTTTAGTATCAACCACTGATTTGTTTGCTCCAAACTTTATTATTTAGACGAAGCTCTCATATACTGTAAACGTACTTATTTTCGCGTGGTGCAATTTTCGCGGAATTGACAGTTTAGACTACATCGCGCGGTCAATTTTTCGCGCAATCAGTAATTGCCGGAACTGCCAGCTGTCTCTTTGGCCGCCACTAATAGCAGTGAAAACAAACAGAGTGGCTTAACCTGTCAGGCGGCATTTATTACTTACTCACAGGAAATCCCTATCTGTGCGATATACTAGTACACAGTAACCCGTTTACTCCCAGAAGAGATGAAAAACACATCAGTATTATGTTCGAATTCTGGACGATCTGACTAATCAACTTATACTGTATATGAAGCTCTTTGTGATTTCAAACAAGCCGGGTTGTTGTGTGAATGACTGAGTGTTAATGACTATTCGTTCATGATGATACGTTTGTATCTAAATGAATAAATAAAATACTGCTGTATTATTTCTTTCCGAGTAGTGGTAATCTGTTTTGTATCAAACCATTTGTCATGTGACCAATTTCCATGGCGGCCACAACATACATTGCTGTTTTAAGCTAATTCGGCGATGGGATTTGACTCATTATTTAATTATGTTTTGGAAATCCATTACAGCGACAGTTAAAGTATGATTCTTTATGCTACTATCAGTCGTCATTTTAAGATTCCCGTAGATTTCTGTCTTCAAACTTGATGTGTTATGGTAACTACTCAGGGGCGAGCGTGGCTAGACTGAATGAATGACAGGTTTATTCGCGGTGTATAAATTTTCGCGCTAAAATGTTTTGCGCGAAAATAAAACCTGCGCGAAATATACTACGTTTACAGTAGATGAAAAGTAACTGAGTGTTCCGTTAAACAAGAAACAATTGTCTGTTTGTAGATGACCGTGCTCCAGGGCGACATCGTAAAGATGACTGCTGATGCCATTGTCCACCCCACCAACTCCACATACCACATGGGTGGGGAAGTAGGCAAGTACAATCAGAAATTACATACAGTCAAATCCCGATGAGTCGAATGCCGGTGTCTCGAATATTATGCATAACTCGAAGTACCTGTCAGTCCCGACCATTCCCTGTTATAGTTGTCATCATTTGACTTCCGGTTACACGAATTCGTCTCATAAATACACACGATGACTCGAGAAGGAAATTTGGCCCCATGAGATTCAAACAACAGCAATCTTGTATACATAAGCTCGAAGTCAGTCAATGAGAAGTTGATTGGTGTAGCAAACTGATCCAATTAACAAACCAGCGAGGCTCACACCTTTCCGCCATTGACGGGTGAGTTCAAAAGGCAGATTAGTGATTTTACGGAAATCACTGTCTGTGCTAATCAGACTGGAACTGATAAGGTGCCCCTATTAGTGATATGGATATCATTAGATAAACAAATGCTTAGGCGGAGGAATTAGGACTGGATCATCTTTTTTTCTACCCTCATAGACATACCTATGTCTTGAAAACATGGAAACGTCGAATTTATTACTTGGTCCCCAGCGTTTCGACTCAACGGGATTTGACTGTATATCCATTTGAGGTTTAGTGGAGGAATCCCTGTTGGGTTAGGTTTAGTGGAGGAATGAGGTGTCTGTCTGTCTGTCCATCTGTCTGTGTGAGAGGGTGTGATAACTCCCTGTTGGGTTAGGTTTAGTGGAGGAATGAGGTGTCTGTCTGTCTGTCTGTCTATCTGTCTGTGTGAGAGGGTGTGATAACTCCCTGTTGGGTTAGGTTTAGTGGAGGAATGAGGTGTCTGTCTGTCCATGTCTGTGTGAGGTGTCTGGTCTGTGGAAGAATCTGTCTGTCCATCTGTCTGTGTGAGAGGGTGTGATAACTCCCTGTTGGGTTAGGTTTAGTGGAGGAATGAGGTGTCTGTCTGTCCATCTGTCTGTGTGAGAGGGTGTGATAACTCCTGTTGGGTTAGGAAGTGGAGGAATGAGGTGTCTGTCTGTCCATCTGTCTGTGTGAGAGGGTGTGATAGCTCCCTGTTGGGTTAGGTTTAGTGGAGGAATGAGGTGTCTGTCTGTCCATCTGTCTGTGTGAGAGGGTGTGATAACTCTCTGTTGGGTTAGGTTTAGTGGAGGAATGAGGTGTCTGTCTGTCCATCTGTCTGTGTGAGAGGGTGTGATAACTCCCTGTTGGGTTAGGTTTAGTGGAGGAATGAGGTGTCTGTCTGTCCATCTGTCTGTGTGAGAGGGTGTGATAACTCTCTGTTGGGTTAGGTTTAGTGGAGGAATGAGGTGTCTGTCTGTCCATCTGTCTGTGTGAGAGGGTGTGATAACTCCCTGTTGGGTTAGGTATCTGTTGCGCTGTATTATCTACAAACATGCATGGGTAATGTACATGTGTCTGTCATACTTGACACAATATGTCTGCTGTGTTCAGGTCAGGCAATGGAGAAGGCTGGAGGAAAGGAATTCCGTCAGGAGATAGACAACCTTCAAACAGCCCACGGACCCATTGATACTGCAGGGGGTAAGTATTTCTCATACTTGTGACCTTAGTATTGTCTTATTGGTGATCTTAGTATTGTCTTATTGGTGACCTTAGTATTGTCATACTGGTTACCTGGGTTAGATCCATTGATGCAGTAGGGGGTTAGGATTGTCATACTGGTGACCTTAGTATTGTCATAGTGGTGACCTTAGTATTGTCATACTTGTTATCTTAGTATTGACTTATTGGTGACCTTAGTATTGTCATACTGGTTACCTGGGTTAGATCCATTGATGATACAGTGATCTTAGTATTGTGACCTTATTGGTGACCTTAGTATTGTCATACTGGTGACCTGGGTTAGATCCATTGATACAGTAGGGGGTTAGGATTGTCATACTGGTGACCTTAGTATTGTCATAGTGGTGACCTTAGTATTGTCATACTGGTGGCCTGGGTTAGATCCATTGCTACAGTAGGGGGTTAGTATTTCTCATACTTGTGACCTTAGTATTGTCATGCTTGTGATCTTAGTATTGTCTTATTGGTGACCTTAGTATTGTCATACTGGTTACCTGGGTTAGATCCATTGATACAGTAGGGGGTTAGGATTGTCATACTGGTGACCTTAGTATTGTCATAGTGGTGACCTTAGTATTGTCATACTGGTGGCCTACGTTAGACCCATTGATACTGCAGAGGGTTAGTATTGTCATACAGTGACCTTAGTATTGACCTTAGTATCATTATTAGTATTATCATAGTGGTGACCTTAGTATTGTCATACTGGTGGCCTGGGTTAGACCCATTGATACTGCAGAGGGTTAGTATTGTCATACTGGGACCTTAGTATTTTCATAGTGGTGACCTTAGTATTGTCATACTGGTGGCCTGGGTTAGATCCATTGATACAGTAGGGGTTTAGGATTGTCATACTGGTGACCTCCGTTAGACCCATTGATACTGCCGGGGGGTTAGTATTATCATACTGGGACCTTAGTATTATCATAGTGGTGACCTTAGTATTGTCATACCAGTGACCTTAATATTGCCATACCAGTGACCTTAGTAATAGTATTGTCATACTGGTGACCTGGCTTAGACCCATTGACACTGCAGGGGGTTAGTATTATCATACTGGTGACCTTAGTATTGTCATACCAGTGACCTTAGTAATAGTATTGTCATACTGGTGACCTGGCTTAGACCCATTGATACAGTAGGGGGTTAGGATTGTCATAGTGGTGACCTTAGTATTGTCATACCAGTGACCTTAGTAGTGTCATACTGGTGACCTGGCTTAGACCCATTGACACTGCAGGGGGTTAGTATTATCATACTGGTGACCTTAGTATTGTCATACTGGTGACCTGGGTTATCTGTTGTGCAGATCTAATATCTGAAGACAATACTACCTATTCCTTCCTTTGATACACCTTGAGTTGATTATTGTCAAACCTTAACACAAGCATTAACTCCATGTGGTATTAAATGTGAATCTTAAACCAAGTACTATTGTCAGCATAATAACATTATACATTTCAGCGGCCATGTGCCCAGGGCGTAATTTCCCTGCCAAGTATGTTGTCCATGTGAACAGCCCATCTTGGGGCTCGGCCAACTCGCAGCAGCAGCTAGAGAAAGCTGTCAAGAATATTCTTACTCTCGCTGATGAGAAAAACCTCAAGTCTTTAGCTATACCTTCCATCGGGAGTGGGAAGTGAGTTTCCGTTACTGGTCGTGTTATAGGCTGACAACAGTGGATGATGCTCACAGCACTGAATATGTCATTGTCTTCAGATCATATATCTTTTCATAGAATTTATAATAACATGTCCATTGAGACATATGCTTCAACTCAATATGAACAAAGTCCATCCTTGGAGATGCAATCAATGTTTAGAACCTGTTTTTGAGATTTGTCATTTAATGTCAGGTATCGAAAAGTACTGTTATTGGGTACCCATAGGTTTTTCATACCACTGTTGTCATTGTCTATACGTGAACCTAGAAATACTCAACACAGGTAATGCCTCTAGTTCTGCATCTTGGAGGTGGTATAGAGAATCCAAATTGTAATCCATGATGTTTACGCTCCATGGACAATGCCAGAGTCAGCTGCAGAACTTGATGCTGCCGTCTGTGTTGTGTTGTTGACATGGATTGACTTTAGTTGTTTGTTTGTCCAGCTGTGATCAGTCAAGGCTTCCACTTCCCAGCAAAGTATGTTATCCATTGTAACGGCCCCACGTGGAAAATGGATAACCCGCAGCAATTGCTGGAAAAAGCAGTCAAGAACTGTCTAACTTTGGCTGATGAGAAAAACCTGAAAAGTCTGGCGTTCCCTTCTGTTGGAAGTGGACGGTAAGGCACATCCGTTACCTATACCTGTAGCGTAGACTGTTAACATTGTTTAGTTGGTTCTTGACTTGCACTAACACCTGCCGCTCCCCTACCTTCTGGTGCAGACAACTTCTCATCTGATCCCTTTCTGATGTTGATGACGTGTTTGGACAACTACTAATTGGTTGGTACCTAGCAAGCACTAACACCTCTCTGAACACCTGTTGTTGATGACCTCTCATAACCACTTTGATGATTATGACCTTCCCGAACACCTAATGATGATGACTTCCCCAAACACCTAATGATGATGAAATCTCTGAAACCACCCTATGATGGCAAGTGACCTACTTTAGCCCTGCTTGTGTGCAAAACATCCCTGAAATCATTCTGGTATTGATTATCTTGCCGAACATCCTGGCTTTGTGGTGAACTTTCACAATATAACTCTGCTGATGACTGGAATGAACACATTATGTTAAGAAGGCCTATCTAAATCCCTTCCACTATTGGCCTCTCTGAACTCAATAAACGTTGATGGTCTCTCTGGATCATGCCTGCTGTAGGTCTCTCTGAACCCTTTCTGCTGTTAGCCTCTCTGGACCCCGCCTGCTGTTGGCCTTCCTAAACCCTCTGATGTTGGCCTCCTTAAACACCTGTCAGTGCCGATGGTCTCTCCAAATACCTTCCAATGTAGGACAATGGGAAATATTTTTTTGCTATTTTTGATTTTTTGACTGATCACAGCTGAACAGATTTCTTTTCATTGCAGCTGCATGGTTACATTTTGCTCATTTACATCAAACAATTTCATTTCCTAAAGCAAATGTATTTATCAGTCAATTTATTGTTGCTTATTTGCCTCCCTTAGCTTTGCCAGAATCCAGTAATCATGGGATTGTATCCCATATAACCTTGGATTCTGATTCCTTGTTTTGTCAGCACCACACCCATGTCTTTTGGTTTTACCAAAGTAGTTAATACCTCCAAGCTTTTCTTCCACATTGAACTTTCATTACATTTCATGATTTAACTGACATGCTGTTAATAGCTCACTCACAGTTATGACTTTGCCATAATAAAATAGTTCTCCTGTGAAGATCCACTATATCATGCTTATGTTTAGAATTCAACTATATTTGTTGTAAAGGGCAACAAATAGAATCATGTGGTTTGGCTCTAACTTACTTGATGCTGACCCGTGAAAATCCAGGTCAGAATCTCTCTTCAGCAACCCATGCTTGTCGTAAGAGGCGATAAACGGGATTGGGCGGAAAGGCTTGCTGACTTGGTTGACATGTCATCGTATCCCAATTGCGTAAAACAATGCTCATGATGTTGATCACTGGATTGTGTGGTCCAGACTCAATTATTTACAGACCGTCGCCATATAGCTGGAATATTGCTGACTGCGGCGTAAAACAACAAAAATCAATCAATACTTGATGCCTGCCATTTGATCCAAGTTGTGTAGCTTGATGCCCATGATGTAAAGCACTGGATTGTCTGGTCCAGACTTGATTATATTCAGACCACCATTATATAGCTGGAATATTGCTGTGAGTGGCGTTAAACTGTCAGCAAGCAAACAGTGTCAAATTTAACATCTATCACTAAAGTTACCAGTTGTCCTAGTGTTCTGACACTAAAACTAAAAAGCGTCCGCCCGGAGAGTGGAAGGTCACGGGTTCGATCCCCGACCGCGTCATACCAAAAGATCTTAAAATATGGTACTTGTTGGTCCCTGCCTGGCGCTCGGCATTAATGGGTACAACAAGGACTGGTCGGCTCGGAGTCAGTATAATGTGTCTGAGTGGGGTATCCATGCTTCACTGCGGCATGGTATCTCAGTAGGCTAGCACTATAAAACCAGCTTACGTCTGGGCTAGTACAAGCAGCCACACATACACAAACGCATGCACGTCGTCATATGAGCGAAATATTCTCAAGCACGACATTAAACCCAATTTCACCTCACCTAAAACTAAAACATCTTGTAGAGCTCCTCATATGAATGCATGACTTTTGTGTTGTCCTGCTACACTCACAAACCACAGATACGTTACTTCTCACTGTATGTGTTCTTGCATCCTAGTGCTGGCTTCCCGAAACAGACGGCAGCTCAGATCATCCTCCGTGCTATCAGCAACTACTTCATGACAGTGATGACGAGCTCGCTGAAGCAGATCTACTTCGTACTCTATGACATGGAGAGCATTGGCATATACACCAGTGAATTGGCGCGACTAGACTCCTAATGTGCCAGTCATGTCTTCATTTCTTCATCTTCTTGAATGAATCATCTGACCTGTTTGCCTGGATAGATCATTAACATATTTACATCTCCACAACAAATAGCTGAAGCTACATGCTGTTTGGTTGTTGATGAAACGATACAGTGTACACACTGTTAATGTGCTTTTTCAATGACTATGCAGATCACAATTCTCACATTCAAGTTTTTCATTTTAAACATCTGCTTAATATACTGAACAAAAAAATTAGGGATCATGAATTTCATCTTTAGTTAATTGTGGGCTCACTTTCCTCAACTACAACGGGGTGGTGGGGTAGCCAAGTGGTTAAAGCATTCGCTCACCACGCCGAAGACCTGGGTTCGATTTCCCACATATGTACAATGTGTGAAGCCGATTTCTGGTATCCCCTACCATGATATTGCTGGAATATTGCCAAAAGCAGCGTAAAACTAAACTCACACACACTCCTCTACTAAAACATATCCCCGAACAGTATATGATCCTGAATTATTTTTGTTTGGTATATATCAACAAATTTTATGCATTTGTGTTCGATCACAGGGACTGTGTGTCATCATCATCATCATCATGACATACGCCATACTGTATGTAGTCAATCCAAGCACTCATCTTCTAAAGATCTCTATCCAGGCAAGCAGATCTGTCCTCAGACTGTGTTCATGTAAAATTTGTGTGAGTGAAATTGAGGCCACACTTGCAAGGTCAAGGTCATTATAAAATATTTGAAGTTCCTGTTGCACTTTCATACAACTTATTCCAGTTAAAGACATAAAACAAATTAAAGATTGGGTTATTCAGTGGAGGATATTAATGATGTATTTACGTGAGAGAAAAGTGAACAATTAGTTTGAGTTATATATGAAGACCTAAATATGTGAAGTTTATTTTTACGAATTTATTATATACAAATAATTATGTTATTTATGTCTTAATAAGATTATTAAGAGGAAAATATTTTGATTGTCTTAAGAAATCTTTATCTATGTTTAATGTGACCTTGATCATCTAAATGTGGATTTATCGAGCTGTTTCTGTGCTTTCGACAATTTTCTGAAGGGCAGCCTGTTAGTTAGGTTCTTTGAGAGGGAGACTCATTTAGTTCATTTTACGCCCAATGTAATCTGTTTTGGCGAATGATTGAGACTGGTTATTGTCTGGCGTTGATGTTTTATATTTACCCTGTACTAATATCAGTGTAATAATTCATGCACTTGGTGGCTGCTTCCTCTCACGCACTGCAAACCATGGCATAGCCATGTGCTAGCTTTAGTTCCACACATATGTTGTCAGTGTTTCACATTATCATGAAAACAAATGCATCATTGTCATGCGATTGCCCAGTACAACTGTTATTTTAACATTGATCTTGCATTCGAACATTCTAGTTTGCTAATTTGCTCATTTGAGGGTGTAATCAAGAGGTACTGCTTTCACTTTTTAGGGTATGTCACTGTTGTTGGGGGTTGTTATTATTTTAGGGGGGGGTGTCTTAAGATCGTTTTTGTATCAGATTTCTGATAATGTGTTCAAGATTTCCTGTTTTACTGAAAGATTGTCTTTATCATATATCTAATGAGTTTTTTAACATGCTACAAACATGAAGCGAGGGAACTAATGATTTGAACGTAGCTTTTATCGAGGTAAACATTTACGAAACTGTCGTAGCATCTGAATGCAACATCTAATCACAATCAGATTTCACATCCTGCATTAACAGTGTATGATACATACAGAAGCCAGACTGTGTGCTTATAGAGGAAATCACAGTCACTTATGCATTTGAACTTTGCCCATGATGAAGAATGTCTACGAGTAAGGATGTGGCCCTTACAGGCTACCATAGTTGGCAAAGGTGGGTTTGGCATCACCAGGGATGTGCCATGTGTTTAACCATGTTTTCAGATGAATCAGGGTTTTGTTTCTGATACGAAGATAACAGAAAATCTTGCTGCGTCTGTTCCATTCGCTGAAATTATTAACAGAAATTTTGAACTGCAACTGATTATCTAGGTATTTGGACATTAAACTGGCCCTCTAAGTCTCGTCACATTCCCCCAATAGGGCATCTGCTCTTCAAGCAGAGAGTGCCAAGCCCATCCCAATCCAACTATGGTAAGCTGTTAGGGCCACACCTTTGTTTAGAGGCAAATCTGTTTCCTGGAGATTCAGAATCCATTGACATGGTCCAACTTCGGGAAGCTCTTCAGGCAGGGAGGCGTGTTATACCCAGGGCAACCATAGGCAACCATAGGCAACCAACAGCATGCCATTAAGATTTCATTTAGTGTATGAAATAAGCCAAAAATCCAGCCAAAAATGGAATATAACCAGACCAAATATGGTGAATTTACTCAGATGTATGGAACATCTAAAAAATTTGACCAGACCATCGGGCTGGCTAGCTGTAAATTTTGACCGTCCATCAGAAATCTAGACTGTCTCGGGCGGTCAGATGGGCCTTATTTCTTACACTGTTTCATTCAAGTATTGCCCAACATAATGGACAAACCAGATATTGATCTACATGCCTGAAATATATTTCACCCACATTTGTCATCATTACATGTTCCCTATCATTTCATCAGTTCCCTTATCTTTTTTCAGTAAGATATCCAAAATATCAAAATATTCAAAATTTTCTTTCTGAAAAAAGATAAAACTCAAAAATAACAATTTCTACTTTTTATAGTTTCCAATACATGTATGTCTTAAATAATTTTTGAGATTGTATCGGTTAAAGATTTTATAAGGAATTAAGACAAATTAAGGTATCGAAAGCCATATGCTAATTATTTAATATTTTGAGATGTCACTTGTTGTCAGGATAACGCAATGTGGACATTATTTCTTCATTTTAGGTGCAATTTTGTTTCCGTGAACACCACCACTGCCAATACATGCAGCAAAACTATCACATTACACATTATGTAACTTTCATTAAGGGCTTAGTAATCAGGTGAAACCTTTTACGTCATCAGGGTTTGTTTTGTCCCAATGCTGCTGACTATTTGGTTCTTACGACCTTCATCTGAGTTGTCATCCTCGACCTTCCAGGGTATACCTCCAGTCTATTGTCAGTCATGCCCGGGAACCCTCGCTAGCTTTATTTAAGAAGTGACGTCGTCAGTGTTCAATAACTTTGCGCAGAGTTCTTCTCACAATGCTCGCAGATGAAATTTTATTGGATGGCTGTATTTTGTATCGCGTATCTAGAATCAGACGAGACGTTATTATGTCGAGCTTGAGATTTTCCCATACAGTTCTCAGGTCCATATTTGCTGTATAGGTCCTTTGCCCTACAACCATATTGCTGAACAGCTTCCAGTTTCATATTAGGTTTACATGAATGACAAGTTACAAAATTCCTGGATAAATATTTCCTATGTCTTATCATTATGGAGGGGTGGAGGCAGACAGTGGTAAGAGTGTTTGCTTGTCATGCCAAAAGTCCAGGTTCAGTTCCCACATGGGTACAATATGTAAAGTTTATATTTCTGGTGTCTACTGATATTGAAGGATTATTAAGCAGTGTAAAACACTACTCATATGTCATCAGTTATCTAGATTAGTGTGTAATTGCTTTAATTGAATGAATCAAAATAAGTGATAAATAGTTTTTCAAAATGTTCACAACCCATGACCATGTTTCGTTCTTTTTTATTAAAATTGGTTATCCATGTCAGTAGAATTTTACATTTCCAGGCATATTTGTTTGTTTGGCATAAGTAAGCGGAAATGGACAAAAGTTTCGGTAAATCTAAAATCAGAACTGGAACTGGAACTGTTCTGCTTCAGACCATCCTTTCTACTGGTGTATCGCTAAAATAGCTTATAGTGTATTATGAGCAGCTGTATGCTATAATTGTGCAACAATTATCAGTGTAATTAGTCACCTCTGTTCAGTGAAGGAACCGACCATTTTATAATCTGGGAAGACTGTGAGGTATGTTTCAGACAAAATATTTTGCCATCAAAAATAGTTTGCTGTGGAAGGATGGGGCAAACAACTTTTTGATAACACATTAGGACAGCAAAATGCCATGCGAGCAAATAATTAACAAAATTATTGATTATCAAAATTATTTTTATCCAGTATTTTTTTTTTTCAAATCCCATAGCTCCCCAGGATATGGAATGAATGGTTCCTGAACTCCAATATTGAGATAGTCTTGTATTTAATGACTGTGTTACGATAGTGTCTACTGTAGAGGACTGCATGTGTCTTTATTTATTTGTTGAGGTGAATGAACAATCTAGTGACCGAGCGGCACGAATGTGTATTCCATCCCACATGTTGTATATCACCCATATCTACCATCGTCAATCATTACTCCATGCAAGGCGATAATCATGTGCCACATTAACATATATATATCCATGCATTATCCTCTATGGGGCGCCGACTCAGCGACTTCATCCTCCACACTTGCCAAAGCTGTACGTCAGTATCACTGCAGGATCAATACGTCAGATGGTTTAAGTTTCTTTAATGATTTAAATTTAATATTTTGGACCCTGGTTAATCTGGACACTCAATCTGGCAAATCCATTTTCCAGATTGTGACTGTTACCAATGTCTCTGTATAATTTAAGGAGTATTCTCCGAGACTAGTTTCCCTGGAGATGGTATTTCAGAAATTTTGACCATCCTGATTAAAAAGGTTTGGATTGTGTTGGTGTGCGACGACTATTGGCAGTGTGTTGGATACAGAAGCTGTCTCGTTGCCCCCGTCATCCTAGCCCAGTCCTGACAAACACTGTTGTGCCAATGTAAGATGAAGATGTGCACTCTCTTTATAATTACATCTTTACTTCAAATGATACCTCTACATGAAGATCAGACTCCCAAGAACTAAACCGTCCTACAGCATCAAAGCTTCTAAATTCTTGGTAAACAAATCATTCAGACGAAATATTTGATGTCTGTATTTTGAAAATGAATATAAACATCCAGTTTCAAATAATAGTGGCTGTAAAATTGCGGTTGTGGATATATATATTCTCTGTCTTTTCTGATGCCATGGCATCTACACCAGCTAATGAAAATTTCTGTTGGTTACATGACCAAAATTTCTGAATCAAAATGGTAGAGAATTGAAATTATGAATAAAGTTATGGATTAAAAAATGTTCGGCTGAAGAACCATCCTTCATTTAGATTGGGAGGTGATAGCGACTCAGCCTTCATCTGACAATCTGTGGAAGGGGGCGGTCAGGTACCCTAGTGGTTAAAGCGTTCGCTCGTCACGGGATTTCTGGTGTCCCCCTGCTGAGATATTGCTGGAATATTGCTAAAAGCGGCGTAAAACTAAACTCACTCACTCACTCAATCTGTGGAAGGGTTGTCTGACCTTCACCCTAAGGTATCATGTTGGAGTAAATAATCCGACTTCAGTGGAGTGCCGCATTTGTAGTCTACATTGGCAACAGGATGGCAAAAAACTTGTACATTAACTATACACATGAGCAAGTTTTATGGGGGCCATGGTTTTATTGGACCACCAGTTACATGATAAGGTTTGTGTTTTCCGACTGCAAGATACTGATATTAACATGATTAATGCATCTGACTAATCAAGTCAAAGATTGATGAATTAATTGCACACGAGATGAGTTAGCAAATAACGTGTTCAGTAGTGTTCTTTTATATAATAGATGATTTGGTCTTTCATTCATTTATCAATTTTCACTTTAATTTTACATAAGAACAAAATGTTGTACAACATTATTTCCAGTTTATATACTTATCTAAACCTTTTGTTGCTGGTAGATTTGCATCTTCATTATGCACGGTTTACATTTTGCTAATCTGCACCAAACTCTGATCCACTCCTGATATTCTCTAATCTCAAATTACCTATATTTTCAGTATCCAATATGCTAATCTCCTCTCTACCAACCAATCAGAGTGCAAGATACAAACCAGCCTTTATTTTTTATTGTCAATATCAACGTCATGGAGGCCAATCCCATTAATTGGAAAAGTGTGAATTAGATAAATTGAACTGAAAACCTGAGCGACATGCTATAGAAAGCCTTAAAAAGGTTTCGATGGGAAGGATGAATTTGTGTCCATTTAATTTGGCAGTGGGAAGTGCCTTACCATGTCCTTGCTGGTCTTAATGATTGATTGGTCGGTAAAATGTTTATGAAAATCAAGGGCAGATAATTTGAGATTGGACGAACCACATGAATGAATCCAGGGACCCTATCCAGAAAGCTTTCATAGCACTACCACACATAAGCCAATGATGTAGCATAGAGCTACGATAGGTCATAACATTACAAACTCTTTGTGAATCCGGACCCGGTGTTTTTACCAAAATGTGAGCCCTGAAGATACAGAAGATTGTAGATTTGTTGCATCTATTATTATTTCATGTTTTTTCAACCTCTCAAATAAGGATCAACAGGAATTTGGGAAATATCTTGAGAACATGCATCTTAACCACCAACAAAATGGACCACAGTTTTTCAGCTCACCTAACAGAAAATCATCTGAGCTCCTGTTGGCCTGTTTGTCATCCATCATAATTTTCATCAGATACCACTGGACCAATGAAGCTGAAATTTCACATTCTTGTTTTCACAAATGATGACTCAAATAATCTGCAACAGCAACCATTTTGAAAACTCTTCTTGTGTTGAAATGTAATTTTGACCTCCATTTTACCTTGCTTTTAAAATTCTCTCAAAGGGCACATTTTATGTGGGAGCTGAACTTAAGCATGTTTTGCCTTATGAAGGGATCATATTTTGTTCAAGCCATTAAAGTGTAAGTTTTTAGTTTTTCGGTATTTGAGCAGATGTGTTTTTAACATCCGTTTAGACAGAAGAATGATTTTAAAGGTCTGTTTTTGTTCACACTCGAAACTGTTTGCGACATGTAGATGAGCTACAGCTGTGTGGCAGTTATAGTTCTTACCCCTCAGAGTACTGACTAGACCATGAGTCATGTGAAAGTTGGTCAGACAGACAAAAGTACAAGATATTTCACAAAACATATATCTGTGTTTGAATTGTATTCTCGTCTCTCATTACCAGTAGAGAGAGTGTTGTACAGTATGGACTCGTTACTGTTTAAATAATCAGAATGACAACAATGGGCTACAAACAGTTAACAGCATAAAAAGCAATGTTCTTGTTGATATTTATAGGAAATAATCCTTTTGTTTTGAAATTAATATATTTGATCTTGTTGATTTCATCTGTGATTTATCCTTTAGCCAATTTGTTATAATCGTAGATATTAATTAGTTTTAGTGTTTTGTTATAAATTGAGAATTACAAGCTTGGTATATTTATCGTGTGAAATATATTGTTAGACTATTTTTCTGTGTGATTAATCCATAGTCTGCGCAGGTTCTGTTTGAACTGAACACTACAGTCAAAGTTAATTGTTATGCATAATATTATTGGATATTTATCCTTTTCAAGTCATTTTAAACAAATGAAAAGAACCCTCTAACATGGAAGTGTTAAGTTTTAGTTTGTTGTTCAAGTTTCAAATGTTGATGGGAATGATTTGGATGTCTGTCAGATGTTACTGCTCTTTGCTTAATCAATGAAGGGAGAAATTATTGAAATAACATTTCCCAGTTTAGTCAATACATATTAATTGAGATATTTTGCTTCAGAAGCAATAGGTTTATTTAAAAATAACAATTATTGTTAAATAAAAAAGGGTGTTTTAAGATTCTGCTGAAATAGAACTAATTCCTTTTTTGAACCAGTTACTGCTTAGAAAATAAGTTAAAAACAAAAATACTGCCTGACAGTTGAATTCATGGATCTGCAGGGTGCGGTTAATATCGGCAGGTGGAAGATTTGACCAGGGGCCAGTCTGTGACGTCATCACTCACTGCTGACCTGTTTGTAGATATCGCACATTGACAAATACACATAGAGCATGAACTGCGTGTGCTCTTATGTCACATGCCACCGCAGACCCTATGCAGTTGAAATGGATTCTTCCATTGCATGTGGAACACCTGTTGTCTCAGAACGCAGTGTTCACATACAGTTAAGTATGTTTAGTAGTGTGAGAAAATATTTCTTCTTCAGTGGCAATAAGTAATGATAACGTTTTCACTCGAATGAGTTGATCTACTGTTGATTATCCTGCCTTGTTTCAGTGTGGATACAGTATTGTTTAGTGAGAATCGTTTCAAGAGTGGTATTGTTACATTAGTCGTTGATTGAGCCTTCAGTCTCGATGTGCAGACTCCGCTTGGATGGATTGTGTATGGTGGAATAAAATGGTAACATCTCTTGCGTGTTGCTGGTTACTCTTTCTTGTTGCTCATAACAACATCTAGAAACAGAACAGTGGGGGCAAAAATATACTCAACAAAAAAAGTTCAGGACCACCCTAATTTTCAATATTAAAGTATTTAATGGTTCATATTATGATCCATATAATACTTAAATATTGAATAACCCGTGAAGATCCGGGTTAGAATATTGATCTTCAGTAACCCATGCTTATCGAAGAGGCAACTAATGGGATCGGGTGGTCAGGCTTGCTGACTTGGTTGACACATGTCATCGGTTCCCAATTGCGTAGATCGATGCTCATGCTGTTGATCACTGGATTGTCTGGTCCAGACTCGATTATTTACAAACCGCCATATAGCTGGAATATTACTGAGTGTGGCGTAAAACTAAACTCACTCGCTCACACTAAATATTGAATATTGGGGTGGTTCTTAAATTTGTTTTGTTGAGTATACACAAATGTATTGTGGGAAGTATTTCCTCATAACAAGGAACGTGGGGTAGCCTAGTGGTTAAAGTGTTCACTCATCATGACTCGGGTTCAATTTGAAACATGAGTACAATGCGTGAGGCCATTTCTGGTGTCCCCCAACACAATTTTTCAGAAATATTGCAAATTGTAAATTCACACACTCAGTCACTCCACACAACAAAAGGGTCCGGAGAGGTGTGTCATATCTGGCCAAACATTGTCCCTATCAAAAACTTGCAGGAGAAACAATATGGAATGGTAACTAAGGGCTTCTAGCACCAACATCGATACGGCCTGTTGCAAGAAGTGACCCAATGGCTCATGTGGTCAGGCAAGGTAGCTTACTGCATGTCAGATGGTAGATTGTTGTTAACAATATCAGTCACTGGATTGTCTGGTCCAAATTTCTACACACTGTTATCATATTTGAAATACTGACAAGTCTGGTACTAAAGAATAAAAGTTGATTCCTCCACTGAGTAAGGTGGTCACAGGGGTTCAAAAATCCCATTGCCCGACGCCGGGACAGGTCAGTATTCATTTCGGGCAATCAAATAATGGTATCTTACTTGTCCGTGGGCTACTAGATAATTTCCACTTATGGTTTCAAACTGCAAATAAACTTTGATTTAATTTCATATCTGCTCAAAATGTAGCTATTAAATTTCTCAATGATAATAAAGTAGAGTTATCTTTCTTTGCTATTTATCACTTTTCAATAAATAGTCCAGTAAACATTTACTTCAAATACAATGTTGATTTATTCTTTCATAATTACATCATCATGATTATTTCCTAAAATCAGGGCAAGTGGAAAATTAGTCAGGACAAGTTACTTTCTTAAAGTCTTAAAAAACAATTGAACCCCTGGGTCATGATTATCCATCATATCCCCCAAAATAATAAGCCTCGTATGACTTGTCACAAGCGACAGAGTATGACTAAACACTGGACACTTACACTGTGGTCCTGTGAACAGCTCAGGGTCGCATATCAGGCAGTTAAGCAATGTCGGTCACAGGAGGTAGTTGGATGGGTGACAGCAGTTGACTCCCGAGAGTTTATATAGCTTTGGACCCTTGAAGATCCGGGTTAGAACTAATCTTCAGTAACCCATGCTTGTCATAAAAAGTGACTAACGGGATCAGGTGGTCAGGCTTGCTGACTTGGTTGACACATGTAATCGTATCCCATTTGGGTAGATTGATGCTCATGCTGTTGATCAGTGGATTGTCTGGTCCAGACTCAGTTATTTACAGACCGCCATCATACAGCTGGAATATTGCTGAGTGCGGTGTAAAACTAAACTCACTCACTTATTATATAGCCTTGGCCCTGCCCCATACTGAAGTACATAGTAAAATGGGTACCCGGTAGGAGGAAATGTAAATGAAAATTAATCAGTACCTAACAAGGAAGCATGGGGTGTATTCTCCCCAGGGAGTGGAGAATGAACATGGAATGCACACTGATCCACTGAATAGAGTAATAATGTTAATGAACACCTTGTGTATGGAGGCTTGCACAATACAAGTACATGTTATTTGTTGTTTCAAAGGCAAGTAACTATAAGTTTTCAAATTGGCAGTTTCAGCATCTCTTCTGTGGAGAAATAAACACTTGACTTGTTTTAAATGTTTATTGTGTTATTTCTCAGCTGAGAACAAGGTAAAATATTGCACTATTGTAACAATGTGGAACATACCAGTTTTGTTATACCTCTATAGCATTTAGTTAACATATTTCTACTTCAGCACAAGTCACCCCCTGACAGATATTGATAACTTTATCTAAAACAGAACTAATCTAGGTCAGTCAGTTCCTCATTTACTTGCATTCAAATAGTTTTTCAAAACTTATTTTATTCATCATCAATATGGCATGTGTAATAAATGCAACACACCTGTGAATTCAAATGGTCATGATTCGGTTTCATAGGGATGTATGTCTCTTTCTTATAAGCCAAAGAAACGGGTGGAAATAACCCATTGCCCGACGCCCGAGTCCAGTGTTTTTTCCTGTTGGGCAAGCAAATTTGTATATCACACTGTACCGGTGTCCAGTTGATATTCCAATGTTAATTATGTTGTTTATTTAAAAAATCAACAAGAAAAAAGGCCGGTATAGTGGAAAAATTATGTGCCACTGTACCGGAGTACACTAGCAATATTAAAGTTATTTCCACCAGTGAGAAAACAGGTCAATTGATAAGCCACACAATTCTAATGAACCCTACTCTACTCGGAACTTAGTGCAACAACACAAAATGTATAGAGCAGATACCACAAGGCTTGGTCACAGTCCATATGCTGTCACATCTTGACCGCTGTATGCTGTGAGCTGGGCTAATATTTGTCTCAACACTCACTTACTTCCCCTTCACTGGAACCAGGCTGTGTATTGATTTGCCAGTTAAAATAGACACTACATCACATACTGACTTGACCTACAGGAATTGAAGGTATATTAATAGTTTTCTTTGACATGTTTAATGTGTTTTTCTGGCTTGACAGTTGACTGTAGAAAAGTTATGAACCAAATACTTTTTAAGAAAGAAAACATTTTTTATGCATGAAAACTCAATACATTTAAATCATAGCTCATTTGAGATAAAGATTGTCTTTGTTTATGAATTTGAACTGAAAATTAGTATTAATTTTCGAAATTTCTTGTATTGAAATGGTTCAATAGAACTTTGTTTGAATTGCTTTAGTAAGTGTAGACACACTGTTGAGATAAATCATTCTTCGATGAAAACAAATTGTTTTTCTAGAAAACAAATATATACTTTTCATGTATTCATGAAGAAATACAAAATGTACCTTGTTCCTACAATGAAAAACACACAGTAAATGTACATATAAACATGATTTAAGTTGTTGACAGCATTTCTTCTCTCTATCACCTCATTCAGTACAACGCAACAACTAACAGTTTCAAATCACAAGCTACTACTCCTACTGAATTCACAATATCTTCTCCCCTTTGCAAGTAAGAAAAATGTTTATATCATTAAGCAACATCCAACGTCATGAAATCACAAATTCACTCTATCACATGTTTATCTTGTGGTCAGCAAAGCAGAATATCTCCATGGTTAACTCCCTTGCTATGGTACCATGGTCCCAAACTGCATGACAGTCAGACAGTGCCAGTCCTGCTCCAGATGACTCTTAATCACCTTTTTTCCAAGGCCTTGAACTTCTCCTCTGCAGATTAAATCACAAAACCTCAGTATGGGTCTTTAATGTGGACAACAAAATCTCTTATGGTTATAACACTGAAGACACATAAAAAACTACTTCTTGACATGATATCTATTTATTAGAAACAATGTCACATGTTACCTTAACATCACAATGTTGGGCAGACCAGTGCAATGTCACATGTTACCATAACATCACAATATGTTGGGCAGACCAATGCAATGGCACATGTTACCATAACATCACAATCAAATGATGCTGGTCCTCACTATTTTAAGTTTACTGTTTACAGTCGGAAGCACAGGGGCGTGTCACGCTAAGAAACAGCGTTAGAAAGACATATAGGTATATAGACCCTACCCTAGTACTATATAAAAGGAAAGGGATGTAACGACGGGTCCACCCCCTCCTCAATCTAAGTTAGATTTCACCACGTAAACTAATTCCAGCCACGTTGACAGCACCTATGTAGGGCTAGATTCGATCGGCAGCGCCATTCCACAGGTCTAAAAACTTATTGCAACATCTACCAATCATTTCCTCGACAGTAAGCAGACATTTTCTCCAAAACCCCTCGGCAATCATACTCACTTGTCGGCCATAGATGGCCTTGACATTCAAGTGATCTGAGCAGATTCGCAGAAACGAAATTGGGCCATCCGATTGGTGGAAAATATAATATACTGCAAGATTTTGACTGTTGCTAATGGGCGCGAAATATGAACTTTGCAATAATCCTATATTTTGGATGATGTACGGAACAGTAAATTGTTAAGAATAGTTTTAGAGGTTGTAAAAATGCATTCGATATTGATTCATTTTTAGGAAATTATATTTATAAATATTTAACTTCTAAAATTATTCTTACCAATTTACTGCTCATGTCACTTAAATGTCAAGGCCATCTATGGCCGACAAGTGAGTATGATTGCCGATGGTTTTGGAGAACATGTCTGCTTACTGTCGAAGAAATGATTGGTAGATGTTGCAATAAGATTTTAGACCCGTGGAATGGCGCTGCCGATCGAATCTAGCCCTACATAGGTGCTGTCAACGTGGCTGGAATTAATAAACGAATTTAAAAGGTGAGTTTTCGCTGTCTTGGGTGATCATTGATTTTGGCTTGGAATTGCGGAGGTTGCTGTTTTCGGTGAGTCGTGGCGTATAACTTTTGAAATAATGATCCGATTGTGACCATTTATAGCTCATTTTGTAGGGAAATCACCTCTCTTTTGATCCGTAGGCCTCGACAGGGCCTTAAAAATAGTTTACGTGGTGAAATCTAACTTAGATTGAGGAGGGGGTGGTTCCATCGTTACATCCCTTTCCTTTTATATAGTACTAGGGTAGGGTCTATATACCTATATGTCTTTCTAACGCTGTTTCTAAGCCTGACACGCCCCTGTGGTTGGAAGAATAATGTCACATTAAAAACTGAAGCTCCTTCTTTGATATCAACTATATGAATACTCATCGACAAAAGTGTTTATCAACTTTTATCAATTAGCTCTCAGGAGACACTCAGATAATATTCTCTACATATGTAGACAGAAACATCAAGAATTAAGAATTTGCATACAAAAATATGAAATGCACACCTTTAGAGTCTCTACGAAAGACATGTAGAAGTTCATTCAATTCTGTTAAGCAGTTTTTGTGGAGACGTGGATAGACTTCATCCACTATTACACTATCATCATAGAGAAATTCAGCAAAATGTACCAAAGTTCAAATGTCTCTAAACTTACAAAAAAAAAAAAATACAAAAACAAAATATGAGATGCACACCATTAGAGTCCCAAGAAAGCCCATGTGTAAGTTCATTGAATTCCACAGAGTGTCTTTTGTGGAGAAGTGGATAGAGTACATTCCCTGTTTCGTCCTCATTCTTCAATAAAGAACTTGTCTATCCATAAAAATTCTTCCTTCCAATGAGCTTTGCTAGTAATGTGCTAGTAATTAGCAGTATCTAACTGAACCAGTAAAACTAAATAACTATATACGTGTGACTTGTACTTACCTAATCTCTTGGAATACTGGTCAAGGTTGTATGCTGCCTGTTCCAGAGCCACAACACTTTCCTCAATCTCATCCACCTGGTCAAGGTAGGGCTGAAGACTTTTGTCTGACAAAGAAAACATGAAACATATAAAAACATATCGCACAGCAGCAGGATATAGGATATACACTTTGCGAACATATTTCAGTCTCATAATTGGTGGGAACAAGAATGTGAAGTTACAGCTTCAATGGTCCAGTGGTTTCTGAGAAAATGATGTTTGCAATGCATGTAAATGAATTTTGAGAGGATTTAGGAGTCCAAATACAATGTACCCAGCTGATTCCAGTGTATTAGACATGTTTGCATGTTACAAGTGTAGCCTTTCTGCTTCATACTAACCCATTGGACTCACTGCCTTGGGTCAGGCACCATCTTGAGCTTTATCATGTTTATTTGAGTTATATCAGAGCATGTCAGCACAATCCTTTTAATATGGATGGTAATCTCAGGTTACAGATGTTAATCACCTTGGCGCAACTCATGAGCATTTTATGGTGCTAACAAAACAAACCCATGAACATAGGATCCTGGCAAAGGTAAGGGACATAACTCTTCAAAGAGTGGTCATTTGTGTTATCCACTCATTTCCCCATGATATACAATGAGTTCAAAACAATCTGTTATTCTCACATTTGTCATTCAGCTCTGTAAGTGATGAGCCAATGCTGACAGCAATGTTTTTCATTTCTGAATATTTGCAGATGGTAACTTTGTTCATCTTTTCCAGGAGCTTGTAGTCTTCCACAGTTCCTTCAAACAAACAAAAGACATAGCCTGACATATACCTCACACCAAATCCAAGACTCATAATAATGTTCAAAACATTTCACCATAAACAAGTAGTGCCATATGCCTTGTTCAATATATGTCATATATAATTATCTCCAGTTGGAATAAATCAGTGCTAAGATCACTTACCTTCTAATTCACCTCTGAGATATTCTGCTGTCTTTTGAAATGTCTCCTCACACAGTTTTACAACATCGGATGGAGGTGCATCTTGTCCATCTTGTACACTCTCCTGCTGCATAACTGCAACACAGTTTACACATGCATTTCCTATGTACATCATACATTGTTGTGATGTGTTTGTAAAGTTTGTTGTGTTGAATTTTAAAAGAAGGCCTAGAAATGTATTGGCATATTCAGTGTTGCTGTGTTGTACAGTTGCAGATCAGTCAGCACAATCGAAACAAACCAAAGCAACAAAAAACAAAACAATATGCATTTGCCAAAATGGGGTAAATGGAAATGGTTGACCATGGTTATTGTCACAGAGGCCCAGATAAGCTGCGTATCCGGGTAAAATACGCAGAGAAAATTTCCAATTACGCATTGAAAAAATAATTGTTGCGTACCAGTTACGCATTTAAAATGTTAGATACGCAAAAAGTTTAAAACAAATGCGTACAGAATATATTTATAAAAAATTGCTTGTGTAATGAAAAAGACATAGATTGCTATCAAGTTGTACTGTTAGTATAGGACAAGTGTTGTACTGTCAGTACAGGATGAGTGATTTTTTATGAAATCATGTCCATTATATTTAAGTTGGTTTTGATTAGGTATGACATAAGGCAGAACATACCTGCTTAGTAAACTTACTCAATGACATATACTTAGGTGAGTAAAATGACTGAAATACGCACATATTTGAAAGCAGTGGGTAACGGAAAATGAAATACCCACTCAACATTCATAATACCCACTCCAAAATAATACAGTGGGTACAGTACCCACATGAGCTAAATCTTATCTGGAGCTCTGTGTCAATTGTGTAATTTGATGACGACAAACTTATATCATTGATACATTCCTTGAGTAATTGTAAGCCTATTTACAAGTTTCAATTTCTACCAAAGACACCATACCCTCCTTACTTTCCCGGAAACTCACAATGATCAATACACTTCCTTTGTCAATGAAACACATATTTGTTTAAATGCACAAATGCATATAATAATCGGTCTTTTGAATCACGAACCAAACATACATATTCCCTTTTATTGTACTTTTAAGCCTTCACTTTCCCTGTTTTGTGTAAGGGAGGGGAGTGGTTAATTCGAAGCACCGCAGCTGTACTTGAACTGTCTACTGTAGCAATATTATTTATAGCCGAGAGCCGCGATGCGGTCCTATACAGTCAAGACATGACCCTGCATCACGGCCGAGAACACCACCTTCATAAATCCTATTCAGATTCAAGTGGCCGATTACCCCTCGTATTTTCTTGAGATTTTTAAATATATTTCCTGTGGGTTTTTGACTGAAAAGTCGATATCGATGTACTCCCAGATAATTTCCCTATACATACACGTAACTGTCATATTTTGGTGATCATACATTTAGATATTAATGGGCCTGAAACCCGTTGAGTTCTTGTTTCAACGATAGCGAGCTGACATGTTGACATGTTGTGCGCATGCGCCAAATTTCTATAGTCCGTATCGGAGGACGTTCTTCATTAGCGGTAGGCAATACTCTCTCTCGCCTCCCGTTTCGCGCGCTCGTGATTTGGGTGAATCACACTTAATGTATATTATATTTATCTGCTTTTTGTCATAATTTACAGATTTTCCTTGCAGAGAGGATTCCATTCATATCTCTACAAAAAGATATGTCCATGGGATCCAGCAGATTTATTAATGTACAACGTAGTGCACAGGACACTTAAGGGGGCACGATCTTGTCACTTTCACTCTCCGGGACCACGATTTTTCCAGTTCAACGCCTGGCCGAGAATTTCAAGTATTCTCCAAATTTTCGTTTCTGTGTTGTTAAAAAAGATCCAAGCAGACTTTAGTTTAAGATTAGAATGTTATTAGTTATTACAGTCATAAATTACATTTCGCTGGACAATATGAATGTTTGAAGTTAATCTATTGTAAATTATTGTTAAACATGCGGGGTAGACATAGCTGTACAATATAGTCTGGTTATGTAAAACAAGGTCACAAATTTGTCGTATTCACAGACTGTGTATGAGATATATTTTTCTGAATGATATAGATTTCAGGAGGTGTGTTTTAGCTCGGTAGTATTATGGAGATATTTTTTTGTGTAGACGTAATGTTTGTTGCAAGGTATATCAAATTCAGACGTCATTACATTTTTCTTTAAATCCAAAAATGAGGTGATTCTATTCTACATTTAGTTTAGTACCGGATTTATTTTCTATCTATTTTATAAGGTTGTGGCTCAATAGTTTTACCTGTGTACATTCAAATAACAAATGAATGACATTTTCAGTTTCAGCATTGCAGAAAGAATACAGAGAATATGCTACAATTTTATATTGGAAAATGTTTTTATCTGTTTCAGCATTCTATGAACAGTATGGTGTTGGAATTATCTTAACTTTGTCTTATACGTTGTTCTTAACGGTAAATAGTTTTCCATCCAACTATATTTCGATATTTCTGTATAAATATCATTTTGCCATTGTTATTGACTATGTTTTCTTTTAAGGCAATATCCTTTACACTGCAGCATAGATTAATCTGCATACTTTTCCCTCCATGTATAAAGTTCTGAGGTTACATGGATCGAATGGTTCTTCCAATATGCTATCCAATGGTACAGAATCTGAGATTCTTTCCATAGATTTTTTATAGATTTGATAAGATCTGTAAGTTCTCAAAGAAAAATACTTTAGAGGATATATTAGTACAACTGAATGTTTCACTTTAGGAAAGTTATTAATATATTTTTAGATGTATATACACACATATTTATTAGGAATTATCCTGGTTATGAAATTTGTATTATATCTATTTATTGACAAAGGCGTTTAATGATTCACTAGGTGTACGTTAAGTGGTGCCTTTTGCTATTTGCAGAATTTTGTGATTTATTATTTTCTCGGTTTCTATGGAAACGATTCGTACTTAGTCCCAAAAGGGGAGGGGTGAGCTTCATTTCCGGAGCACAACTTGAAAAGCATTCAGTATCTTTCAAAATAACTTGGCAGATATATTAGGCAAATTTTGAAATGGTGCCTTTTGCCATTTACAGATTTTTGCCATTTATGTTACTCATGATTTCCAAGGAAACGATTTGGACTTAGTCTTAAAAAAAATAAAGCTGGACTTTAAGTAACTGTCAGATGATTTGTTCTTTCAAATATGTGGGGGCCGGGGGGATATGTCATATTCTGATGACTCTTGCTTATAATATACACGACGTAATCACTATATATATATTGCCAATAATCCCATGACATGATATTAAACTGTTCACTTTATTTCTGCAAGAACTGTACCAAAAAAACGTAAAAAAAACCATGACATGTCCTCCTTTTGACCAATCGCAAGCATCCCTCTGACAGTTCCGTACCAAAAGGGTATTTTTAAGTTCACCTTTCTTCGTATAATTATGAAGAAAATAGCCACATGATAATGAACAATCAGAAGCCAGATCCGGGCATAATATTCGAGCATAAATATTACATTTGATTTTCGCGAAACAGGTGCTCGCGTTGTACACAGTAAGATACATGGTAAACTATCCAATTGTTTATCTATCCAGGACATTATTCAAATGGAAAGCGAGTGAGTTGAGATTATAGTCACACCGGCAATATTTTAGCCATATCGTGACTAAAACAATTCATTTATCACTCCCTCCATTTCTGGTGTCCCTCGCCGTGATATTGCTGGAATATTGCTAAAAGTGGCGTAAAACAATACACACTCACTTCATCTCCATCAGATAACCTGGAACGGAAATTAGGTGAGATATATACTAAACAACATACAGATGTTATCTTTCTCCGGGGTTGCCAAATATGTACAACATGCAACTAATGTGGTGTCGTATTTTCAGTAATTTCATTACATTTGAAAATAAGGCTCGATCTCTGTTAATAATGATGAAACGTTAGTCAAAATACATCTCCAAAATCAATAGAGTTTGGGAATCTAAGAACTAATTTCTAGGTAGATAGCACCATCCATTTAGCTATTACCTCCTTTCTCATGAGCGATTTCCTAATTCATTATAATTTGTGATACTACCAAAACGTATCCGGTTACAATGTGGATTTTTGTATTGAAACAGATTGGCTCATCGTGTATATGTTTGTGTGTGTGTGTGTGTGCGTGCGCTTTCGTACGTGCGTGCGTGTGTCCTCTCTGTTGTCGCTTGACGTCAGAGGAAAATCAACTTTCGTCAATAAGCCATTTTTCACATTGAACGTAGAAAGTTATACATAAGCATACAAATCAATTTCATATATTGTTATGTCGTTCAGATACCACGAAGTATTTTATTCGCACAAAGATTCATTAAAGATTCCAAATAAAGAAATCATCACGTTGTAAGCGGAGACATTTACTGCTTTTCAACGCATAATAAAATTGCGGACAACCTTTAACAAAGTCTACTTTCCAAATCGCCTGTGTATTTGCGCTTCAAATTTACATCATCGGATAGGAAATTTAATACTCTACATATCTGTGTTATAGCCGTAGCTAGAAGCAGTGCATCACTAACGCAATTCTCGCTCAACGTTCATTTTTCAGAACTTCAGAGAAAATAAACCTCTGCTTCCAGGGGGTTAAGTCTTCTGTGCACTACGTTGTACATTAATAAATCTGCTGGGTCCCATGGACATATCTTTTTGTAGAGATATGAATGGAATCCTCTCTGCAAGGAAAATCTGTAAATTATGACAAAAAGCAGATAAATATAATATACATTAAGTGTGATTCACCCAAATCACGAGCGCGCGAAACGGAGGCGAGAGTGAGTATTGCGTACCGCTAAGGTAGAACGTCCTCCGATACGGACTATAGAAATTTGGCGCATGCGCACAACATGTCAACATGTCAGCTCGCTATCGTTGAAACAAGAACTCAACGGGTTTCAGGCCTATTAGTATCTAAATATATGGTTATGAAAACATGACAGTTACGTGTATGTGTAGGGAAATTATCTGGGAGTACATCGATATCGACTTTTCAGTCAAAAACCCACGGGAAATATTTTTAAAAAATGATCAGAAAATACGAGGGGTAATCGGCCACTAGAACCTGAATAGGATTTATGATGAAGGTGGTGTTCTCGGCCGTGATGCAGGGTCATGTCTTGACTGTATAGGACCGCATCGCGGCTCCTTGTGCTTTGATATGATACCTCAACAGAAGACATGTACATGAGAGAATCATTCAAACCAGCAAACCTGATTCCTGTATCTCAAGTCCGATTCCTATGTCTAGTGTATATAGCATCTACTGAAAGTGAAAGGATGGTGGTTTAAACCTTAGCTGCATCATGCCAGACAATGTTAAGAGATGGCACTTGTTATTACCCTTCCTTGTGTTTGGCAATAAGGGGATGAAACAAGAACTAGTCAGCTTAGAACTACAGCGTGGCATATCATCAGTGTGCTACTCCTCTAAGACCAACATTAGTCCTCAGTCCTCAGCATTCACGACCGCCTCCGTGGTGTAGTGTTTAAAGCGTCCGCCCGGAGAGCGGAAGGTCGCGGGTTCGATCCCCGGACGTTAAAATATGGTACTTGTTGGTCCCTGCCTGGCGCTCGGCATTAATGGGCAAGGACTGGTTGGCTCGGAGTCAGTATAATGTGTCTGAGTGGGGTATTCATGCTTCACACTGATATATCTCAGTGGCCTAGCACTATAAAACCAGCTTCAGTCTGGGCTAGTACAAGCAGCCGCACATACACATGCATGCACGTCATCATATGAGTGAAATATTCTCAAGCACGACGTTAAACCCAATTTCACCTCACCACCTCAGCATTCACCTGATGAAGGAGCTAGAATTTGCTCTGAAACGTCGTGAAAAGAATAAAATGTTGTTATCCATAAAACGTGTCATGAAATGTAAACATAAGTCCTGTCTAGTCCCAGCAAACATACGTGCATGCACTGTTATTTAAAGGGACACTGATCCAGAGCAATTCTCTGGGACTGATTGCTGCTTTTGTTATCATTTTCCCCCCGTGACTACCTGGATGATATCCCAGAATTCTTGACTGGGTTGCAATCTCTGCTGCGCCACCAGCAAGAACAAGAGCTACCAGAGATATGTTCAAATAACAGCATCTGATGGGCATCCACCCTTCTCATTGTATGACTAGTTAAGGTTAAAGAAATTCTGCCATGGTGGACAGCTGCCCAGTCCCCATAATTAGATTGTTGGGGCGAAACATTAATTGCTCTGTGTCAGTGCCTCTTTAAGAGTGGGTTACTGATGATCAATTCTATCCCGGATCTTCACGGGTCAGAATGTCAGTTTACTGTTGTGGAATGGCCTCGACTATATCACTGCTGAAGTTTCTGATCTGAAACCCCATTTTATCTCCTCTCTGTCCCTCAACGAAGTAGAAATATGAGGTAGAACCTTTATAGGTCCTTGCCACATAGCATGCTTGAGAAAGATATCTATTCCTAAAACCCTTCCAAATTTCAAAGATCCTGTCCTATCAAACTTTATTTCATTTGTTGTTTTTAAAACAATGTATAATGCAAAAAAAGTAAAATTATTAGGGGCTGTTTTCACATCACAGTAGAAGCCAATTTCACTTTGTGTGAGGTTTCGTGTTTAAACTCGAGAGAAATTTCAGATTATGTTGTAGTAGATATTATGTTGGTCTGTTTCAGATCATTATGTTGTAGTAGATATTGCAGCTTTTTGGTGTCATGGCATCTCCAGTGAATACCAGTATACCAGTGAAGAAATATTTGTGTTGTGTGTGTGTTCATATGTATATATTGAGTCTCTGTGAGTCTCTATGATAGAAAAGGAAGCAAAATAATTCAAGAAAGCTGACATTACATTTGCTCAAGAACCTTCATTTAGACAGGGCAGCCAGAGGTTACTGATGGTTCACAGATCTTTCTGTATTGGAATGTCATCGTATCCCATTTGCGTAGATTGATGCTGATTCTGTTAATCACTGGATTGTCTGGTCCAGAATCGATTATTTTACAGACCACCACCATATAACTTGAATATTGCTAACTGCGTGTAAAATTAAACTCACTCACTTCTGTATTGGATTAAAAGGTCTGATGTTTTAGATTGGATTTCATGAACATTTGATTTTTGTAGATGCCTTAAGAAAAACAGGTAAAATGATTAATATATACCTCGACAGAAAGTATTCATTAATGTTGGCATGTCTGTTTTAACTCCCTTCTTGGTCAACATAGTTGTCAAAATGCATTAATATTTTTCTGCAACCCATGTTGTGAGAATTGATGAATATTATCAATTTATCACATCTTTCTATAGTTAATAGTGTAGATCAAGGTTCACATCATCAATCACTGGACTGTCTGATCCAGACTCGATAACGTATAGACATCATATTGTATAATGCTGCGTGCAACAAGATTAATCTGGTATTGTATGAAAGTTGCTTCCCTTTTGTTTCCAGACTGCTGCTTGACACAGGCTATGCAGCAGACGAGGACTTCAACAGGTGAATAGCAGCATTCTAGTTTATAGAGGGATTCCAAACTAGTTTCCTTTGGCAGATAGTAGTATTAATTGTATAATTGCTGGTTATGATTGCTGCTTGTGGTTACTTTACTTTAAAGACTTGGTTGTGTTAACTTACTGTGTCATCAGAATTAAATGCTGAATATACTGATGAAAACAAATAAGTGCAATTGTTCCAATTTCCTTACCCAGGTTTCTTTTGCTTGCTTTGTATTGCACTGTGGGTGAAAACTTGCTTATGAATAAGGGAACACTTGAACTTTCATGTGTTCCCATATTCAATTCCATCAGCAAACTAGTTAGAAAATGATGGCAAAAAATGAGTGAGTAAGTGTAGTTTTACGCCACTTTTAGCAATATTTCAGCAGTATCACAGTGGTGGCAACAAATGATGCAAATGGAGTAATGTATTATGACTCTAGTATTGTGAATGGTAGTGTTACCAAAGCATATTGTGACATTCCCAGGAAGTTTACTTAAGCTAATATTTGGCACATATAAAGCACCAGTAAATGATTTGACTTTGTTCTAGAATTTTTGGAGGAGAGCGAAAGGTTCCTCCAGCTGCTAAGAAAGTTGTTGAAGATCTTCCAACTAAACTCATAGGACCAACACAAGCAGGTAGATGGATTTGTGGCTCACATGTGTTGATTTCAGCTTTCTGTGGCCTTTGGGAACATTGTGCTTTCACTTATTAAGTTATCAAATTAGTACACAATGGTGGTAGAGATGAAATACACGATGCCATTTCTTAAAGTGGTTAAATGTAACACCTTATATTTGGGATTGCACTTTCTTAGTAAAGTACAGATTGTAGTACCTTTTGGGGTTGAGTCCCATCCAGGATTCGAAACCAACACCCTCAGAGTCAGGCACCTAATCGCCAGCACACAAAGTCAGACCGCTCAGCCACACGTTACAATGGTGGTAGAAGATGTGGAGTTCAGGCAGTCAAAGTGTTCTTGAATGGGATATTATCAATGCATTTCAGTTCAGTAAGCCATTTAATAACATGCTCTGTTTTTCTATCTCAGCTCAATGTATCAAGTGTTCTGTGTGTCTTGCGGAATTTGATGAAGAGGACGAAACAAAGACAATGCCATGCCAACACCAATTCCACTCAAAATGCATTGTACCTTGGCTGCAGCGAGTAAGTTATTGTCGCGTTTAATGTTTAGAGTATGGGCATTTAATGCTTCAGTTCCATTATAACAAAGGGGCAGTGGGTTAAAGTGTTTGCTCATCACGCAGAAAACCTGGGTTCGATTCTCCACATGGGTACAAGTTTCTGTTGTCAACTACCAGGTAATTGATAATAGCGATATCAAACCCATTTAACTGCTAAAAATATCTGTACCATGTTTTTATTCTGAAATGAAACATCACATTCGACATGATGCAATATGCACACACAAAGAATGAGATTATCTCTTTTCAGGAAGGTTGATGGCAATATAGCCAGGTGGTGGGATTGTGTAATTGCTTGGCCAAGTCATTGAAATAGTATGGTTTTGCCATTTAACCAACATATTTTACAACCGTATAAATAACTGACAATCTTTATCCAAGGGTTTCAGTTTTCCTTGTAAACTATGCAGTGATTTCCTGCATTTGGTTCTGTTGGGTCAATGGGCATGATGTACATGTTTCAAATTACTGTAACCCGAACTGATCAACATTCACCAAAGCCAATTTTTATTATATCGGCATTGTGTTGAAGTTTGAAAATGCAATCCTGAAAGTATGTACATGCACAAGTTCACAAGATGTATTGTCACACAATCAACTAAAAAATAAAGCTAGAAATGAATGCTGGAAATCTTTTCTCTTCTCCTTTAGGGCCATTTGATGTTAGGCACATTTTCAATGCTCATATATAGAAAGATTTCTTATTTGAAGACGACTACCTGGATTCAGTTGGACAACCCATTCAATACATGCCACTTCAATCTTCTCTGCCAACCCTAAACAAGGAAACCTGTAGCTAATTGGATCCCCATCCCCAAGGCACCAGCAGCAGTCAAATTGAAGTCAAAATAAAATTCTGTGGTAGAAAAAAACCCCATCGAGATAGATGTGGCTTCTGCAGTGCCTAAGAACTCGACCAATTGTATAGATTACAACTTCTTAAATATCTAGATAGATGTGATGTGGTCTAGGGATCTAAAGCGAAACATCTAGATATATAGGAAGTTTTAATCCATACAATAGCTTCTATCTATCAAACTACTGAACTTAACAAGGTTGAGGCAGAAACAGCTTTTTCACCACTGCCTCAAACAATAACAACAAAAAGCTAGCATTTTGAAGATACTTAAGTTCTTTATTACAAAATCATGACAGGAATGTAGTACAAGATCCAACATTAGTTAAGATTTAATTGTAGCCTGACTTTACTGATGGAAAACACAATCTTACTTAGTTGAGATGTAGAAAACCATTTCTCATTTTTAAAATCCCTTTATGATTAACTGACAAATATACACAAAAAAATGACAACTTAACATAATTTGCATTTATGTAATGTGATACCTTCACCAAACTAATATGCTACAATAGAAAATTAATGATCTTTTTACATAAATGACAAATTACAAAATAATTATTAAAACAACTTTGCAGTGCTTAGTTAAGCATCCTTACTGTATGTTAATATATCTTGTTTGTTATTTCCGACTAGAGTACTCCCTGTATAGAAAGTTTACTTCCAAGTAAAGCACAAACGTCATTACTGCATATCTTGTAAATCTTAGTTTCCGACTAGAGTACTCACTGTAAAGAAAGCTGAAGTTTAATTACTGAACTCGTTGAAAAGTGCACCGTTTGTTAAATATGAACCTTGGAACATTCCTCTTAACAAATTACAACACAGTACAAACATTTGAGAACAGAATGTCTGTCAATGTTTGGATGTGACCCATCACTGCTTGGCTTTACACATTTAAATCGGAATTCAAATTTTGCAGTATTTCCTGAAGTAGGCCACTATAGTTCAAATTCTGTTAATTTCTGCATTTTTGTTTCTATCATACTTTGTAGGCCTTTATAAACCAAACAGTGATGGGTCACAGAGCGAGCTTCTAATCATTTGTTTTCAACAGATGTGTTTATTATCACATGCTGCCCTTGTTTTGCAGGTTAATTCCTGCCCTGTGTGTCGACATGAACTGCCGACAGATGACCCCGATTACGAGGAATACAGGAAGCACAAGGTAAGAGTGGGTTTGGTTCTGTGGGACTTTCCCAACTTCCAGAGCTTGAGCTTATCAACCAGCTCGAAGCGATCGTCTTGTTGCTACATTACGCATTCAGATGTAAGGAGCGCTGCTCAATTGGTTCTCCATAGGCTATTGCCCGGAGTTTGGCATGGATATGTAGCTTGTTGGCTCTATACTTCTGTGGAGACATGTCCTTGACCACATACCACAAGTTAATTTCACACAGCGTAGTCAGCTGTTGACATTCGAGAAACTATCTAGAGCCACTGACAATTACCTTGCTTGACAAGATTATATATGGAATGAACCTTATATCTCAACATTGATATTACAACTTGCACAGTAATGTTTCTTAATAATTACATTCAGTTTTCATTTTTACAATACAGTGGCTAATGAAAGCAAACAAGATTATTCTTATTATTATCATAGTCATCAAATGATTAAATTTGCCATCAATGTGTAAGTGTTCTGAGAATTCAAATTACGGTTAAGAGATGCAGAACACCTTAAAATGAATTAGCATATCATCGTCGGCTGCAGCTTGCAGCAGGCGGGCGGGCGGGCAGGTCTGTGGTGTGTCTGGGTGATGACGTCTATGAGCCAGACAACACAGTCAGTCCACATGGTTGGTTTTCCACAATCTCACTGGTAGGCCAGGCTTACTCTTCATGGTTGATACTTGACACATTCTCGTCAACCTTCAGCTTGTAGTAAGCAACAGCTCACTCTACGATCAAGGGAAGCAACATTGAAGAAATGTATACTCATATAGTAACCTAGGTGAGGTGAAATTGGGTTTAACATCGTGTTTGAGAATATTTCGCTCATATGACGACGTTACAGTAACCTATAAAATACTTTGCCAAGTAACAAAAATATGTAGAACCTTAAAAATAATTGGACTCATATTGGTCTTAGAATACGGATAGCTTGGGATGGTCGTTGTTTAAGGCTACACTCAGCAATATTCCAGCTATATGGCGGCGGACTGTAAATAATCTAGTCTGGACTGACAACCCAGTGACCAACAGCACAAGCGACTCACTTAAGTGGGATGCGATGACATGTGTTAACTAAGTCAGCGAGCATGATCCACCCGATCCCATTAGAGCGAACGAGTTTTAAGCCGCACTCAACAATATTCCAGCTATATGGCGACAATCACATTAGAAATTTTTGCAGTTACCAGAGAGCAAGTTTAATCTAACAAACATGATATTTACAAACAATATAAACACAGTGGTTGTATTCTGATGTTAACTCAAATTGCTAGAACAGTAGTCAATACACAAGCACATGTCTCTCTAGGCTGCTTCTCTTGACCCTTCTTGTGACTACCAATGGTAACAGCAACTCTTTCATTCCAGGCTCGAGCCAAACAACGTGAATATGAGCTGGAATCTTTACACAACTCCATGTTTGGATGATGCAACATCTAAATACTGTGATTAATCAAGAATAGTAGCATGAAGAGGATCTATCAATGTGGAATGGGAAATACTTTGCTGGAATTAATTTGTTGGAAGAATATTAACAATTCCGTTTGGGTTGGATCTGCACATATTCCCATAACACTCACCATTTTCATGCAGAAGGGGCTTCATCACTGTATTTCCCCATTATCACACCATCTTCGTGTAATAAAACTTTTGCCATTTATATTTGTTTTTAGTTTATCCAAGAAGACTGAGTCAACAAGCAAATGCAAGGTGGCAGGAATGAAGGGACTGGTTGTGGATAAGACCAGGGTTTTACACAGACTTTTGAAAATGGGAGTCATGGTGACTCGCAAGTTATTTTGGGGAGTCATGAAAATTTAAATATTTCTTTGTGTTAATCATTCTCAGTATGTAACTGTATGTCACACCACCAAATGTAACTACAGCATTGTTCAATTCAAACAGTCAGGATACAATCTGACAGGTCTGTAAAAGTCAACTATCATCGAACAATATCATTTTTTGCTTATCAAATCAATGTTATTGAATTGAATTGTGAGGGCCACCCATAAAACTTGTCTCAAGCTTGACGCGTATGATAATATTTTGAGAGTCGTTTACAAAATTGTTACATCAAATACGCAGGAACCATGCGTCATGTAAAACCCTGGATAAGACAGCATGTTTTAGCTGTCATATTTAATCTGTATAAAAAGCTAAACTGAGCACCAAATGAACAAAGTAGAATATTTCAGATAATGGAATTAAAAGACAATTGGTAATGAAAAATGATATTTATTTGTTCAAATAAGATATGAATGTTTTGCAAAGCCATGTTATAAGCACTTTGGGAGCATAGACAATTCATGAATGTGGTGTGTGGATGGGTAATTATTCAATTTTAAGAACTTACTTTGTACCAACACAAAGCACAGAACAGACTTTGTCATCTTGTACGGTCAGATGAATGAAGGACCTATCAAATGCAGCTTTTGTTTATGCATGCAGGGTGTTCATATGTGAACGGAGAGTTTTAACCCTTATGTATAAGTGTTAGCCCAAAAATGAGTCTACGTAACATCAGATCTGTAACAATTTTCTCCCCCCTCATTTCACCAGGTCAAGCAGTATGGGGGTTGAATTGTCAATGAACATTGTCTATTTCCCTAAAATGTTGTGCAAGAACCGAAATGTTGATGTGTTGTTGGATTATACATGAATAGTGACTTGAATAAAACAAATTTAAACATTTAACTGGTTCATTTTCTGTGGCATTGACAGTCAATCAAAATGTCCTCATGGCATTTGTCTCAACAAATAAACTGGTTATTTGTATTACTTTCATACTTATTAGATGAAAAAGGTCACACAATTTTAAAGGTTATTTTGACCTCTAATGCATTATTAACATCGAATAACCCTGACCTTCCAATAACATCCTTCAGCAAACTTCATAAATACTTATTGTGTTCACCAACCTTTGATTCCTTGCTCATAGTAATACCAAGTGACCAACCGAGGCATATCAGGATTGGGGTCTCCACTATCCATAAATTGCACATGGTCGAGATGGCATTTTGGGAACCTTAAGCATCCCCACTCCCATACCACAAAACTGCTCAAAAATCATTATTAGTTAAACTAAGAAGTCTATTACTCAAGTTTGCTGATTACTCCAGAAATGATTTTAACATGTGAAGCATATTATTACTGAAGGCTATTCTGCATGAAAAGGCATTTTTATGTTAAATGAAATGACAATGATTGTGAACAGTTATTTTCAAGCTCTAAAGATCACCATTGTAAACAGTAAAATAATGACAATGAAAGGGCTAAATAGCTTGTGGAAAGCCAGCAAACCCCATGAAAATAGAGTATTTCTCATTTATGGAAAGTATAAAATTGTTAAAAGTGTAACCCAAACAATCTGTTTTCTACTCTTATGCAAGGAATACGTAGTCCAAATAACTAAAATTTCCTTTCTGCACCATCATCTAACCTTGATGCATAGCACACTTAGTTATTCATCCGAATACTCACAAGGGCCAAATATGCCAACAGAGAAATGAAAATTTCAATCAATCTTTCACTTTTATATTTTTGTTACCCCTTTTCTAAATCCTTGCTTGGAAGTATGGACCGACAAAATATTTGATGAATTGACTCGTAATATATATGGAAAACCACAGTCATTAAGTCACAAGGTCTAGATATTCACCATTAATTTATTTCATGCATGGACCTGTGGTCATAGCATGCCAATTTCTTTCAGGAATCTTAAACACACATTTCAAGGACATTAAGCTGCATTGGTTGGTATATTGTTGAGAGGAACCATAAATGATAAGTGTCGGTGTCTCAAGCACTTTTTGTTGCAACCTACATTTATTGAATGTTTGTGCACAAGATGCATGCAAAAGGTACGTGAAAACTCCCAAGTCCAATATGCCCAGTATGAATGACAAAGTCGCACCATTTGTTGCTTTGTTCCTTGTGTCAACAGGGTTTCCAAAAGTTAAATATCATTTGTTACTTCTTAAAAAGATGACAAGGATCACACTTCAGCAATAACTACATTAGATATTGTTTTTAGGATTTTTAAAGAAAACTATAATTAACTTGTGAAAACCCATGTTACACATCCAGGAGTAAGTCCAATAGATCACTTCTGTTCATATACAGAAGTGCGAGGGTCCGTCTGAAAAGTCCCAAATGTCAATGAAAGAAATCTGCACCTGTCCGGAGTCTCCATTTCAACATGAAGCAAGTCTATGGAAGAAACTGCAGTAAACTAATGGATCTTAATTTTGAGAGCATATATAAATCCACATGCTTTTTCCTTCAGAGGAAGTTTACTGCAGCTGACCAACTTTGCAAACTGCTCTCCTGCTGTAAAACATTTCCCAGTCGTCGATAGGAAAAGACGTGGATACTCATCAAGAGCCTGTAGAATCCCATATGCAAGAAAAAAAAGATTAACCTACTCCGACCCTAGACACGAGAGGGAGTCAAGATACCACCCATACATTGCCGAGGTCTTACGTAGCTTGGATAACTTAGAGAAAGCAGCTCAGATGAGAAACCACGATAGTTTTACCAGACAGGGAGCAGTCTTTGTCAATTAACATATCACAAAACTACTTTTTAAAATTGAGTTTTTGTTTATTTGTGATGACATGTAAAATCTATTCACATACATGGAATGAGAAAAAAAATAATCAAGGCCATGACAATTAGTGAGAATGAAATAAAAAGCTTGAATGACTGTCTTATGATACACACGAGCACGATGACATCTTTGCAGACTGAAGAGACCCTGTGAAAGAGACAAAAGACTGCTTTTACTTTTACTTCATATTGGTCAATCTGTCATTTTTCAAAATGGATTTTGAACGTCGTGAGCTGCTAAATCTAGGTGCATTCACTAAAATTTTGATCATTTTTTGAAGACATCATGTAAATTTGTCAAATGAATTATCAGCCAAATGTCAACAACTATGACTTCTCTAGAGACCTACCATGAATTTTACTCTGATGCGGCTTATGATCGGTTGTATGGGTGGTAGCCCCCACCCCCTCTCTTTGGTGCCTTTCCATAGTTACTCTGCTGGCCTGATAAAGAAACAGAGGGTATTGAGTTGCTTACGAGAAACAAGTGTTGCCAACTTGGGAGTTGAAAAAACCAGGAGCATGCACTCTCGACATAGAAACTGAAAAAATGTGCCACAGAACAAAAGCAACAAAAAGTGCATACTGTCAAACAACCAAACACTCCTTTCTGGGCTGGGCATCTCAAAGTTCCAAAACAATTCAAACCGACACGTCAATGCCCATCAGAGTTTTCACTGGACCTTTTGTATACATCAAGTGCACATCTACTATCCCATTCACTACCATGCAAGTGACACTACAAGATTTAAACCCTGTGTAGTACAGATGTAGAGAAGAGTGTTCCTTGTACACTGATCCACCAACACAAAAGTGACAAACACCACATGACAACTACAGTCCACTATTCAATTCTACACTGCATATGAACCTGTCGCAGGGGGTAAATAACAAAAATAAATACATAACACAACCTGGCTCCTACATGTGTGTTAGATGTATCTACAAACAAGCAAGGGGTTTTAGAGAAGCATCCCCGAGATCCATCATGGAAAGAGGATTGAGACAGAGCAAGTGCCTGGCTGGCTATCAACACAGCAGTCAAACAATCGAGCATGTCTCCTCCTAGCCTACAACCAGTCAGCAGTCAACTCACCTTGGTCCTGGTTATAGCCCCAGCCTCCGTAATCATAACCTTCAAAATTACAGAAAACTAGCATTACTACCAAGGTGCAGATAACCTTAACAATACTATTTCCTCAGTGTGTCAGAAAACATTCAAAAGTTGGTAAATATTTCACATTCAACCAAAATTCATAATCCACATGAATAATTGGCATCATATGTGAGGATGTAACATGTCCTGTGTTATGCAGGGGTTAATATTTGTTTTGCATGTATTTGTCATAACTGTAGATTTCATAAGATGTAACATTCATGGAGTTCAAATGTTTTCCCCAACTCCAATAAGCAGTATTAGTTGTAACCGGAGATGTAGATATTGCAATTGCCTAAAAGCACACTAACATGCCATGGTACCATGCCTAGTCCTAATAATTTCACTTATGACCTCCACCATGTTGCCAGACAAAATTCAGATGGGCATTGAACTTTCCACGCACAATTTTTTTTAAATCAAATTCTGTAGATTGAACAATTCGAAGTGGCACTTAAAGCTGCAAATCAAAGAAACTTTTACTAAATGACACTGTATATGAGATAGATCACAATTAAATATGCCAAGTTTCATATTTCTTAGGGTCACCTTTTCACAAATTAAGGTTGCAAAAACAGGGCTACCAGATCGATGGCATGGATTCCGTCAGATCATTGGACACGCTGCTTCAATGAAAGCCGATTTCAGACTTACCACCGTATCCTCCATATCCACCATACTGATCATATCCTCCCCATGGGCCATATCCCTGGTTGTAATCATATCCCTGGTAGCCACCATAGCCACCGTAGCCTCCATATCCACTACCATATCCACTACCGTAGTAGTTATTGTAGTTGTTGTAGTTCTGATTGTAGGCCTGATGCCAGCCTTGTCCCCAGCCACCTGCAGATTCAATGCAATCATGAAGGTATAACTCAAAAGATATAACATGCAGTTGGCACAGTTAACATAACGGTTTGCTCAGCTTGACTTGCACATTACATTCATTATGTACATATCTGAAAATAGTATCAAGGTTTGGAGACCTCACATATACCATAAGCCCAATTGAATAAATAATTTCATCACATTATTAGAGCAAAATCAACATTATCTTTTAAAAGTTGCAAGTACAATAAAAACTGCTCAACGACACTGCAATGAATGTTATTGTCCTACCAAGGCTATCTATGAAAGCAAGGCAAAAGCCTTAAATAAGGGGATTGTTGATAGCAATACTTCCCTTGACTGTACTTAAACTACTTATGAATTTAAACTAGATACATATTTAAACTAGTAATAATAATTAAAACAGAGCTAGTTACAATAATGGTGTAGAATCACAAAGGCAAATAAAAAACTTAAATACAATGTACCATACTCAGCTTCAATTCAGTGATGCTGCAAACATTCCACAGGTTTGGCTTGTCTGAGCTGTTTGAATGGCAGCACATTTACCTATTGTGCACCATGCTCAAGTAAATATTGGGAACATTCAGACACTCAATGACAAGGCAAGACACGACAAAGAGCAGACAATGGCCTGACATGGCAAACAATTTCACAACAGAAACTTCAGTTTGTTTCAATGTTTCGGGGGTCTTTTTTGCACAAACAGCACATGCAAAATTTCCTCAATTTAAAAAAGATCTGATGTCACCTTCCGTTTTATCATGCATTTGATCCAAAATTGCCCATCAAATAACAGGAACTCAACACTTATCCATGCCATGTTTGTACTCGTGTGGGGTAGAAAGTACCCGAAAGGGCATTATTGAACTTTTGACAATTTTGCAGCAGCTTGCTAATTATTAAGGGAAATTAATGCATGTTACACTTTTAGAAACAAAAATGTGGATTTTACAAAATATATTTCTAAGGCGTTTCACTTGGAAATGAGTACAATGAATGGATGAAAGTGTAGTGCCTTTACTGGAGCCACTATTTTATCAGGCCATGCAGCTCACATCGTCCCCTACCTCTGCCACCTCCGCGGCCTCCAAATCCCCACCCACCTCCGTAGCCGCCTCTGCCTCCTCGACCCCTGCCAGCAGTTGGTGTTGCACGTTTGATGTCCACCTGAAAAAGAATCTTACGGCTTACAACACATACATACTCCAGAGTCCCCAACACAGCTAACCAGTTAGGATTAAAGACAAAAGGGGGATGGGGAATGAAAAAGCCCATCATTAAAGATGAAATTAAACTCAATTATCAAACCTGAAAACCAGCAAATATACTGCAAATGAAACTGTAGATTACTTCCCTGTCAAGAAGCCTGTTGAAAAATTAAGGAAAATATGCAGTTAAATATTTAATTTAACACAGATGATGGGCGGTTAAACTATATTTAACTGGCGATAAATGTAAACTAAAATCAGCTTAACAAGTTTACATTTATCATTGCCGCGAGAGTTACATGCGGAGGTACCTCTCTGAATCAGACCTCAACTGGCAATATTTCGGCTCCTTTGTCCCACCAATTCCATCGCCTGCAGGAAAGCGGAACAAAACGAGGATCATTTAGTGGTATCATCAGATTTGGGTACCTCTATCACTATTTGAGCCTTTACCACTTACTATTACACACACTGCCAAGCAGCAGTCTTACCCTTTAGACATAAAACTGAAGGCAAGGTAAATCTGTTACTTGATCGTTTTCATCCAACCGGAACTCGATACCATTGTCTTCCCTTTTTTTAAAATTCTAATGAACAATGGGAGGAAAGATGAAATGAAGATCTAAGATGAATTTGCCATTTACCTGTAATAGAAAATAGACTTTATTAAAGAGTAATTGAGACATGAAAATGGAATTTTTCAAAACCCTTACCTCTTGATCTCCAATCTTGTGTTTATTTGTCTCTAAGCAATTCTTGAGGCCCTCTTCTGTTTCAAACTCTACAAAGCAGAAGGCTCTTCTCTGTTCTTTGATCTTGTCATATGGCAGATCCAATTTTGCAACCTATAAAAAAGATTATTTCTTCGTCATATCTAAAACTAGACAGGTGTTTGAATGACAAGAAAACTAAAGCAGGTCTATCATTTTCCTTGACCTCACTAATACCTACCAATGTTCAGAATTGTTTATTTAAAATTTGAAATGCAGTGCAGTTTGCTCCCAGGTTACCTTGTCTACTTATAAGCACTTTTGAAATTGGTATTCCCCTTGTGTATGAAAAACATGCACCTTATGCAAAATTATCTTAAATTATAAGTCCCATGAAATTCAGTTACACCTCAAAACAAATTAAGCCATAAAGATGTACCTACATCAATATTACACAACAATTGACTTATCCGACACTCGTTGACTTTTTAGCATTTGCAGATGCAATGTCACCCAGGTTTGCCTTTTTACCTCATTGAAATTAGGGCATAGACATGCCAAAATATTTGTGACTATATGCAATCTATAAAAAAAATTCTGAAAGACAAAAGTACACATTGAGATAGAGATTGACATTGCACTAGAAATTCTGGATATGATATACAAACTCCATGGTTTCATGATAACTGTACAGTCAAAACTCGCATCACCTAAACCAAGAATGAAGTTTCCACCAACAAAGATACCACTGACAAAGCAGATATTTCAGGTGGGTTATCATATTTTCAGTGATTATGAACTTACTTCTCCGAACTTTGAAAAGTATGTTTTGATGTCTTCCTCTTTCACGACTGGATCTAATCTGCCCACAAATATTTTATTTGCCTTTGCTCTTGGATTTGCTTTCTTTGGGTCGATATTTCTCCCATGAAGTTTGTGTTCTGGTTCCAGTAGTGCCTGTAGAAAAGAAAAATAATATGACATCAAAATATCTAAAAATATCATGGCTACATGCACAACATATGAACATGTTTGTAGTATTATATTTCTTTCAAAACTTTTGTCAAACTTTTCTGTAGCAAGTTAATATAAACCTTCAAAGAAACAACACTATCAGGGCTAAGAGAGAAATAATCACTTGTTCCAATTACAGAAAATTGAGTTCTATAATGTGATTGTTTTAACCATCCAATCAGTCTTCAAATTAATCAGAACACCACTATTTGACAATTCACATGTTGATAAGAATTCAGAATTACTTCATAAAGCATTACTTCTAAAAAGAGTGCAATGGCATATCTCTCAATACATACATATGTACACTTTGCCGTAGCCAGTGCTGATAATAAATTACAATATGCAGATTGATAATCGGAATGCTGTAATCCATCAATAATTAACTATTATTGAGTGCATCAAAAAATTCATATGGGCAATAACTGGACAGTCATAACATTGTGTAAACATAACAGGCACCGATTAATACTACAAACACAATGATTGAGGATACTTCCTGCTCACGCACGTGCAAGTAAGCGGTTTACACGGCAGTTTTATGAGGAAACTCAAATACAGACATTAACCGATTCAAACATAATACTAAACATCCTTCAACATAGTTTCCATTTTTATGAATATTGATTAATCTTACATGCCCAATAATCGTTGATGCAACCAATATCTACCATTTTACCAATTATTAGGTCAATCGCTCCTGCACTAGCTGTTACCGTCTAAAATTATTACCAGCCTTCTCAGTTGAGACTCAAAGGCTAGTTCAGTTTTACATCGCTTTTAGCACCATTCCAGCAATATCAGGGTGGGGACATCAGAAATGGGCTTCACACAATGTACCCATGTGGGGAGACTCAACAGTCAAAATAACCTAAATAATAGCAATGTGTCAGATAATTCCATTTTCACAGTTGCATTTTGAGGCTAGAAAGCAACTTGTTTGGAGTGGCAACAGAGAAATAACTCACTTTGGCAATGTCACATAATTATTAAGCCCTAGAGGTGGCATAACACTATCAAAACAGTCCATAGAGTCAACTCTACTAAACAGAATCCAATTAAGTGTTACAAAATAACTGACATGACGACAATATGAAAATCAGATTCAAACATCTGGACCAAGTGGGTTCTGCTTAGATGTATAAAAACACCAATGGTGGACAAGTGAACAACATTTTGATGTCAATCGGCATCACGAAACTTAGTCATTACCAAGTGCATGGAACACTGGAAATACCATGCTAACAAATCCACTAAATCATCAGGCAACTTTACTGCCTGATTAAAAATAGTGCTTACTAAATATCTGGGCTTAGTATATTGCTTTTATCAAAATTCCATTCCATAATGCTCACATAAAATACAGAGAAATAGTCTGAAGGTTTTTTGGCAGCATACCTGATCAGATTACCGTTATTGATGCATTTGATACAAATGCCGAAATTTGACCCGATTTAAATCAGTTGCAGTTTGACTATAATGTCAACGAATTTTCAGACTGAGATAACCACTGACTTTAACAATACCATTTGTAAAAAATATCTGCTAATTTGATGAAAGTGTGGTGCAAACTGACATTTTAGCTATCTTTAATGAATTTTGCAACACTGGAAAATCCATATACACATATGTAGTTTATTTAACTTGTGACCTTTTGCATTAACTTGTTTGAAGTTATTCATTAGGTATATTTTGACTGCATCGTCAGTCTTGGGAGGAAATGTGCACAGCTGATTGCTCTTTTGGCAAATTACACATGCTGATCATAATCTCTGCATATAAGACAATCCCAAATGTGTGTGTGTTTGCGCGTGCATGTGGTTTCAAAGAATATGTAACTGGTTTCAAAGAGTATGGCTAAGCAAACACTTACAAAAGTTTACTTAGTATTTTGAAAGTTATTTTTTCTTGCATTTATAACAATTTACCTATGCCCATTTAACAAACTTACCTTTTCTAAACACTCTACATCCTTGAACACAACAAATCCAAAACCTCTGGATCGTTTTGTTTCTAGATCTGTCTTCAATGTGCAGCTGACGACTTCACCGAATTTTGTAAAATAATCTTTCAAATCCTCTGCAAGAGAAAATTTAAAGATATAGTCCAGGCTATAGAACATGATTCCTAACATTGCAAACTTAATTAGATGTAACATGTAATAATTATGTTAAATATGGTGCAGGATGTTTTCTTGAAACTTGAATTATATGAAAAAATTGTTAAACTTTCACTGGTAACTTACTTGATGTGGTTTCCCAACTCAATCCGCCCACAAATATTTTTCTGAAAACAAAAAAGAAAGTGAATACTTTCTGCATAAATAATGTAAAAACTTAACCTGACCAAAATGTCATGAAAGGGACGTGCATGCCTACTTAAGACATACCATTCTTTTCAAACAAAAAACACCTGAGTAAATGCCACATGAATGATGACTGTTAGATATGGCTGTCAATATTATATTTAAGACAGAATCAAATCTTCCCACAGTGGGAAGTTTTGGCTTCAAAGGTGCAAAAAGGACAATAGAACAGGCACGTTGAGTCACAATATAAATACTATAGTACCCTTATAAATGGCTAAAAAAGCATTTCAGGTAACCAGTAGTAAAAACAATCACTTGAGCAGGTAGCCAAAACATACCTTTTTTATTTTAATAAAATCCATTTCAAATAATAACATACAATGCATGGAATATGTCTGCCATTCTTAAATTTTCTTTTAACAACAGATTTTGATTTACTTTCAAAAGTAACCCGCATGGACTATTATCCATATGTTCGAGGGCACCAGCTCAGATCCCTTTAAACTAATTTAAAGTAATTTGCAATGATGTGAAGTGTGACATTTGTTCAAAAGTTTATAAATCCACTTGCTTGTTAGAATATTCAAAATATGATTATCATGTCCATAACATTTTGTTGTGGAATTCACCTTGGAGTTAAACTGCTAATTTCAGGAGATGTGAGCCATACAAGTTATTGGTAAGAGTTCCGCCTGTAACCCCGCTTGAAATGTATTCTATTTATTAGGATTATTTCAAGGGTTTAGGGTTAGGGTTATGGTTTAGCATAGACTGTTTATAAAAAAAACATAGGCGTATATTCTTAGGCATATGATTTTAAACAATACCGGGGTAACGGGCGGAAATCTTTCCCAAGTGGTCAACTCATTTAGTTCATTATATTTGGCAGATCGCACTATTCACCATGATTTACACATAATCTGACTGGTATGATACAACTGACCTCCTGATTGAATTCTAAAATGTCTGAGAATCGGTATTTGATCACTAATGGCATACTTTGATCATAATTGTCATGTTATCAAATGCCTCCACGCTGCAACCGACTGAAAATGGACCACTGGAGATCAAACCTTTATAATCTTGATGTTTTTCTTCATTAATACTAGTATAACACTACCAGTATAAGATCTTAAATGATCAGAGCACCGTGTGCACAAAGCCTTTTTTTGCCACAATAATCTCCTTTGGATTCTGATACCAGTTACACTTTCCCTATAAGGAGTATTTTAGGTTGGGAAAAACTACCATTTGAAAAAATTGAAAAAGGTCACCTATTCAATACAACTTGACCACAGAAAATTTGAACATTCCATGGTAAGAGTTCCCCCATCCCTAACAGTTTTAATAAATTTATATACACTAAGATTATTAACAAACGGACGGAACTCTTATGTGTTTTGATCACACACCTAACAACCGAAAATCCGCTTTTCATAGTATACAGGCAGTACGACACTATGAGATAAGACGTACGTACTCCATTGTGATCAGATCCCTTCGCTTATCTGCAAAATGTCCCTTTGATTCAAATCTATGTCGCCATATGGCCCGAGCCGAATACGGGGAAAATATAACGCCACTTCTTGGTAGCATAGGAAGCCATTATGCTTGTATAAAGAGTATGAAAAAATCGCCCCGGTAGGTAGTACAACGCAATTACTCTCTGCCTTTTGCACACTCGGGCCTAAATGAAGATCTGCATTCTTTTAAAGACAATATTACGTATCTCCTTACTCCGATGTTGTCCTTCCATCAAGAGTTATTATCGCTGCACGACATCACTGATCATTTACTGCTGGTAATTGGAATTTCAAAAGTGGGTCATCAGCTAGCGACAATGAAAGCACATGGCAAGCCGGCCGCCATATTGGACGCCAATTTCCAAATGCTAGATCGGCCCGACACCGGTCGTTAAGATGCAAAAAAAAGACGCGATCAGGCTAGCTGATACAAAGTATCACACCTTAATAACGTTAAATTGGTTATAGCGTATTTTTAAGCATTGATACTGCGGTAAATTCATATATACAACGAACCTTGCGTCTTCGTTTCCATCGTCTTTAGATTCATCGTCACCGGAGCCTGCATCTTCTGTTGTTTCCTGGCCTTCCATTTTTTCTTGTACATATGCCCCTGAATTTTCTTCAAAATCGTTCCCATTTTGACCATCAAAATTCGAATAATCCGCCTGCGAATATGCGTCTCCTTCTGCCATTGTGTCGAATGAGTTTAACACTACAAGCTCCTGTACAGAAAAGGCAGCAGACAAGCGCGCAAGGCTTTGTCCAAGGTCATGTCCACGTGACTTGTGTATCTGGCTCCGATTGGTTGGTGTAATCACATGATCACAATCTAACTCGCTCCCCCGTGGAACTTGCTTTTAGCCGGGCCGCAGAAATGTTATCACAAATGTCACAGCCAGGAATGACATACATAGAGATCGAGGCAACCAACTTATTCAGTTTTTGCTTATTGCATATTATTCCTGCACGTCTGCACTATTAAACGTGACTTAGCATGAGCTGAAAGTAGTACCCGGATGACATACAGCATAATTTATATTGAATCTTTTTACAATGACTATGAGTCACTCCAAACTGAATGGCTACCACTGTCACTACTACATTTCAAAGGAATAATAATTCAAACAGATGAGTAATGTAAAACAGTGATATACACTTTACTGCACCCCTCTTTGAATTCCGATCACGAGAAACTGGACTCGCCTGCCGAGTTAACAGACAACACAAAGAGAACTGTTTTTTAATGTGTGAAGCGGCTTCGTGCAATCCATTGTGTTGCCAAGATCTTTAATGCCAAACGACCATCCCGAATTACGTTCTCTGGGCTAATACGAAGTTGAAAACACTACTATGATACTCCTCTTGATATTCATAATGTTTTAGTTTACATATTGCACATTTACTGTAATAAGTGCAGTAATGCAACCCCTTGGATAAACTCATCTTTCACCTCACTTGATCACACTCCTGACACATCATAAGTTTAACAATATTATTTTTACTACATAACATAAACTATTCATCACATTGCAAATTATAACATCACACGTCTGCATAAAATCTGGTGATAATCTCACAAGATAACTGGTCACACATACGGAAGTAACATAAAATTATCTTACATTACAAAGTTGACATATTTTGTTCTAATACGGTAGGTTTTCAGAACAAGTTTCGATAGTACCGAGTTTGCTTTGTAAAACGCTACCCGGGGAATCTAGAAAATGGCAAACTGGGTCGATTGTTAATAGATATTGATAGATTAAAAAACAAACATTAAGACATAACAGTTGTATATTTACTATAGTGCTTTATCTCTTTTTATGAAACCTGCATGCCAAATAAACGTAGACCAATTCTACAGTGTTTAAACATTCGATAAACATAATAGGACTGTTTGATGTAGCTAATAGTTAACATTGTGAGAGCTGGATAAACAAGGAGAAAGACAAATTCACCGATCCTTTAAATTTATATTCATCCTTTATATATATATATATATATGTATGTATGTATGTATGTATGTATGTATGTATGTATGTATGTATATATATGTATGTATATATATATATATATATATATATATGTATATATATGTATATATACGCACAAAATGTCCAAAATAGTACAGGTGTTCAGTCATAAATATTACATAGATAAATAAAAACAGAATGCCTTTTTCTCCAACATGTTTCTATCTTTACTCTTCACATATATTATGATATTAGGCCTCACATATGTCATGATGTTAGATTACCTGCTTCACATATACCATGCTAATAGGTTATATGGAATAAACATATATAGAAAACATAAACTTACACTTAATTTCTTTATATTCACTTCTAGAGCTTTGTGCATATATAACTGTATTATATTGTTAGTATATTTACTTGAAGCGGGTGCTTTTTCCAGTTTTGTAGACATGTGTACTTTAGTCTTAGTGTAATATTGATCAATATCACAGTATTTTAAATATATTTCTGCGTGGAATTCAATAGTCTGTCCTTTGCCAAATTTACCCAAAAGTCTTGTACACTTGTAGACCAATCAGTAACTTCATATTACAACACTTCTTTCACAACAGATATATTTTTGTCATCTTAACCACCTTCACATATATTATGATATTAGGCCTCACATATGTCATGATGTTGGATTACCTGCTTCACATATATCATGCTAATAGGTTATCTGCTTTACATATATATCATGATGATATATTATTTGATTCACATATATCATTTGTTAGATTATCTGATTCACCTATATCATGATGTTAGGTTATATAATCAAATAGATCATGATGTTAGGTTATATAATCAAATAGATCATGATGTTAGGTTATATAATCAACCTATATCATGGTGTTAGGTGTAATGCTTTACATCAATGCTTGTCTTACATTCAAATAAGTGTGGGGCGGTGGGGTAGCCTAGTGGTTAAAGCGTTGGCTCGTCACGCCGAAGACCCGGGTTCGATTCCCCACATGGGCACAATGTGTTAAGCCCATTTCTGGTGTCCCCCGCCGTGATATTGCTGGAATATTGCTAAAAGCGGCGTAAAACTTAACTCAGTCAGTCAGTCAGTCAGTCAAATAAGTGTACTCTTTGTGTTTGTCTTAAAACGACATAAGTGTCAATATTTCTGCTTCATATAAAGGTATTGCTTCACTCCAATATTTTTGAAGAAAGAAGCCTAGCTTATTCATCCAAGTATATTGGTATACCTTAGTATACCTGCTAATATTTTTTGTGCTTTATATTTAGCATGTAATACCAGTGTATGAAATAAGCCAAAAGTCCAGCCAGACACCAGGGCCGGTAACTTCAAAATGTTACCCGCCCAAAATGGATTTATCCACACCAAATATGATGAATTTACGCAGATGTATGGAACATCTAAAAGTTTCACTAGACCGTCTGGGGCGGTCGGACGGGCCTTATTTCATACACTGGTAATACTCAAGAAAGCGGATAAGCAAAGTATACTCGCAAAGATTTCTGTGAACTAGCTGAAGTTGTTATCAGATACCCTTGAAGGTCCAGGTTAGAATTGGTCTTCAGTAATCCATGCTTGTCGTAAGAGGCGACTAACGGGATCAGGTGGTCAGACTTATTGACTTGGTTGACACATGTCATCGTATCTGATTTGCGTAGATCGATACTCATGCAGGATATCGATCTATGGAATGTCTGGTCCTGACATATAGCTTGAAAACTGCTGAGTGCGGCTTTAAACAATAAGCACGCCAAAAAATGACAGGAATCGAATGGTTCAGGTCAAATTTAGTTCAAATGTTAGTGTTATTAAAGCTTTGTAGTTGAAAAAGTTACTACACACGGTTATGTATAACCCTTCTAAGATGCAAAAGAAAATTAATGACAGACTGGTCTTAAAATTGGTTATATGAGGCTCTTGTTGGAACTGGGAGTGTATACGGCGATCACGACATACTATCATGCTGACCCAGTTTGTCCAGGTTCAGTAGCCCCGGTGCCACTTGTCTGACCCATAATCCATGAACCACATTATGTTCCCTTTCCCCCACCCTGTCTAAATGAGTGAGTGAGTTTAGTGTTACGCCGCACTCAGTAATATTCCAGCAATGTGGCAGCGGTCTGTAAATAATCGAGTCTGGACCAGACAATCCAATGATCAACAGCATGAGCATCGATCTGCGCAATTGGGAACCGATGACATGTGTCAACCAAGTCAGCGAGCCTGACCACCCGATCCCGTTAGTCGCCACTTACGACAAGCATGGGTTACTGAAGGCCAATATTCTAACCCGGACCTTCACGGGTCCCTGTCTAAATGAAGCAAGCCTAGATTTTCCCCAGGTTCAGGTATCTCACTGGGAGTCCTTTTGAAATGTACATGGAATTATTTGTTTTTAACAAAATAATGTATATTCAAAGTATGTCTATTGCATGAAGCTATCTTAGTGCTACGATAATCTAACTCCCGTACTCTTAACATACAGTAGTACAGTTAAGATAGACCAGCGTTCCAATCGCACTATATTTAATCAACTTTCTTTCTCCTTCTATTTCGGAGACTTTGCCTCCAGAAGCCCTGTGGCATCCAGTCAAAACACAACACTGAGAAATATGTCGGATGGCGGTCGAGTGCCTGCTTGGTTCTCTTCATATTTTCTCTAGTCGTTGCCGGACATTGTCCTGGGCAAATATGCCTGGGTGGGGAGTCTGTGTCACACTCCTAGTCTGTCTCACAGTCCCTGAACCGCATTATTTTCCCATCTGCCTAGTCCTCCCCTGCAATGCTAAAGCCCTGACTTAAGTAAGTCTAGATTTCCTCAGGTTCTCCAATCTCACTGGGGCTCCTTTTCAATTTAAATGGGATTAAATTTGTTACTATCAAAATTATCTATATTACGAGACTATTTTACCACACTCCCTGAACCCTGACCCCCAGCACGTGTAGCCCCAATGCAGATATTATCATTCTCTGACTCTCCCATCTCAATCCTTTCCACCTCTTTTCTTTACCATGTCATGACAGATTTTTTTATAGCAATATGAAGGAATCGGATTTGGTTCAACTTCTTTCCAGTTGTAGAGTTTAGGGTCAATCGGTAAACATTTATAACGAGGAAATTCTGTCAATATATGTATATTTCTAAAACATGATAAACACATACCTTCATAACTAGCTATTTGGGTATTTTACAAGGTCAACTTAAATACAATTTGCTTCCACATCAAGCTATTCCACCACACAAAACCTTCAACGGAGATAAGGCTTGGATGAGACCACCTTCATCATGAGATTCTCATTGCATCACATTGCTTCGCAAGCCATTGTGACGTAATCGTTACCATGACGTCACAATAGTATAACATCCCTAATCTCACTGCAACTGATGGCACTGACTTACAAAACTGAGAAAGTTGGATAAACGTGGGTGGTAAATTGAATCTGAAACTCATACCTTCCAAGCACAAATCCACCGACATTCGTTGATACAAAGCCTAAGATATTTGTATCTTTTATCAGAGACCATATCTATTATATGACCTCTGCTTTTATCAACCCGTTTTGATATACAATGTAATTTATGTTAGAAGACGCTGCAGTGAGATTATATACCAAATCTACTTAGGGACAGGAACTAACCACGGAATGTGTTTTCAGACAGCTACAATACCATATTTTAAAAAAATACAGTATAACCATGAGTCTAAATATTAACAACCAAAACAACCACCATAACTCGCACTGTATGACCTTGGTAAAGACATCCAGGCATTCTTTAAAAAAGCATTGACTTTTCTCTAGTATTTCTGGCTCAATATTGTTTGCGAATGGTCGGTTTCTCACTGAAATCACAAACGACCTTGTTGGAATTATTTAAAGGTGTATGTAAAAAGACTAGTGATCTCAAAATATGACGTATATACACACACCTTCATATTTTTTCTATCATAAAAGCAATTCTTGATATCTAAATACCGAATTTGTTACATCGATACATTCATTAATGGGTCATAACAAATTATACAAGTTACAGGTACACAATTTAGTTTTCTGGGACGACTATCACGCATTGCTATGTATGGAAATATTTTTTGTGGATGTGTGAACAAAATTGATTTTACCTTTGAAGATACTTTGCCATTTAATTGGTTGGTTGTTGTTTAACGCCGCACTCAGCAATATTCCAGCTATATGGCGGCGGTCTGTAAATAATCGAGTCTGGACCAGACAATCAAGTGATCAACAGCATGAGCATCGATCTACGCAACTGAGATATGATGACATATATCAACCAATTCAGCTAGCCTGACAACCCGATCCCGTTAGTCGCCTCTTACGACAAGCATGGGTTGCTGAAGATCAATTCTAACCCGGATCTTCACGGGTTGCCATTTGATAACCCGTCAACAGATCCGATTTGCGTATAAAAATACTTAATTTCGCTCGTATCATAAATTCGCTTTTAATATTGTGATACTATATATAGAGAGAGATCCCAAAACACATTGTTTATCATGAAAAAATAATTACTAGCATCATGAATTCGAATGTTTTATATCAGTAGCTATTTATGAAATCAACATTTCGTTTATGTCCTACAATCGAATGTTACTTGACAATATTTCGTTTTATGGTGTATATAAGTGGACTATATATTGGAATTGATAGCGAGAGGTCATTACGTAATCTGGGTAATACATGGAATATGTTTACATTCAAATCTAGCTGTGCCACGACTGTTGATTACACACAATGTGTGTGCATGTTGATAGGCATGTGTGCATGCCTCTTGCCTTTTAGCTTATATAACTTGTAGCGTGTATAGGAAGCGTTTAAATCTCACCATAAAGTAACGAATCCAACATATTTATCTTGTGACCTTTATTAAGCAATGGTAAGTATGAATTGTTTGCAGTGCAATTTTATTTTGTACGAGGGTAACATTATTGACTATTTGAAACTCCTTCCGGATAACGCGTATAAGACACCTTATATGTGATGGAATGGTGTGTGTAAGTGTGGATGGTGGCAGTAATTTATTTCTCAGTACTTAAACCTGTCTAACGCGCCACATAATCTCATCACATGAAATGCGCCTTGCCTTGACTGTGTTCTGTCTATAGTACGCAAAGCAGGAGGACGTAACCAGTCCATTTATGACACGGAAGTTTTCAATACGCGTGCGCAAACACGACCCCGAGCCATAGCAACGTTTCAACAATTTGCTGTCACTTGATTGTGTGACTTGGGAAAAGTTTGGCTACAAGGCTAAGCAGCAACACCTGAAAGGTAGTAACTTCACCGCTATTATACTGTATGATTTATTCAGTTGTTTGCAATGTAGGCAGCGAATTGTCAGTTCAGATCTGTGTATTTGATGCGTTGAATCCATCGTCTTCCCTGGAAAAATATTGTATACTTTTTTCGTTGTCGACATTTTTTGTATTTTTGATTGAGGACTTACTTCTTTTCTTATGAATATGCTGTAATTATAAATGTAGGTTCATCAGTAAACCAAGCAGGTATCCTTCGTTGCTGTTTATTTGCCCATAAGTGTATAAGCTGCTTTTCCAAACACGATCTTAACACCGACTAACATGCGATCATTCTGCCAGAGTCGTCTTGAGATTTTAAAAATCATCCTTTTCTCGGTCAGTAGTATCAAACGAAATATAACTGAATCTGTACAAGAGTTTTAGAGAATCTCTTGGGTAGTGTTGATATTTTCCCATTGCTTTCGTTCAACTTTATGTTTGTGTTTTCCCTCTCATATATATTATCACATGGTACTGTAAGTGTAACAGCATAGGTAACTAACGTTCTATACTCTAATACATTTGCTAGATGTAATTTATATTACCATGTTCTAGACGATGTAACTAATATTCCATAATAAGTTGTTTGGGACCATATAAATAATATTCTGTCATAACAAATGCATTTGGGTAGACAAATGAAGATTCATTTTTTTTAATCATTGTTCACACTGTCAACCACTGGTTTGCTATGATGTATTTTTTAATATTATTTCATGTATTTAAGAATGTTATTTTATAGTTTTTATCATGTGTCTTTAAACCCAGACCAAATATACAATTATGAACTTCAAAGGTTCTGCAAATATTTCATATTATACAATTGTACATTGTCTTTAGGTAGTGATATAGCCCAAATATCACAATGGCTGCAGCAAGTGTGTCACAGAGAGTTGAAGACAACCTCCGAACATTGGCACAGACAAAGCGTATCCGGGTTACAGAATTCTTTCAGGACTTTGACAAACTGCGTTCGGGGTACATTACAGGTACATAGTATTCAAAGGAAAATTCTCATTCACTCTTAGACATTTTATGCATTTGAAAGTTAACAGAATGAATAGCTTTCAACACAGCCAGCTGGATTTGGTTCAAAGAGTATTATAAACAGATTCTACTGAATTTTTCCTGTTAAAAATTCAGCTGGAGTCTATGCTTATTGTAGAGTTGATGGACATGGATGGCGTTATCAGTGACTCAGCAGAGTGTGTGTCATTGTGCACTGATAGCATTGCACACTGCTCATGCTTTCAGTCAGTAGTTTCCCCTGTCCAGACATTATTATTATTCTGGTATGTAGCCGATTGTGCCTCTAACTTAACCTCACCAGAACATTCACTCACTCTCTTCATTTTGTGGTATGACAGGGAAACTGAAAGGAAGACAGAAAGCAGGTGTAAGATGTTAATCAACATTAATTACCATTATTTTCAAACCCTTCAATTCATGTTTGGTGCTGGCAGATCATGGATCCTTATCAGGGCACATAACCACCAGAGTGGCATGGCTAAGGGACATAACTCTGCAAATCATGCTATGCCATGATGACAAATTCAGATATTTGAAAAAGGCTTGCAATCACATGATATCTAAGTTACAAACAGGATTGACTGAGGGCGCATGTAACATGTGTATTCCCCTTGGATGCCACACTTTATGCCACTATGCTAACCCTACCTGGGGTGACAAAACAAATTTGTAATATTCTTCATAACATTGTTGCTTCCAACTATTGTAGAACCACAGTTTTTCCGCTGCCTGTGGCAGACATTGGGTGTTCAGCTAAACCCTGATGAAGAAGTAGCTCTTAGGGGAGAAGTATGACCTCTATCGAAGTGGGCGGGTCAACTACAAGCACTTCTGTCAGGAGATTGATGGCACATTCAACCCAGGGGACTTGACACAGAGGCCAGCCCCCCAGCAGCCACTGGAGTTGTAAGTCTAACAAGCTACCATGGGAGGCTTCTAAAGGTTCTCTCCACTGTTTCACTGTTTTATTGGTTTGTTGTTAAGACTCAGATTTGTGTGCTTGATATCATAGTACCCTGATGACATACTCCCGTTTTCATTTATGTTGACCCCTTATTAAAGGCCAATGTTGTATACCTTGGCTACTGCTGAAAGGGACTTAAAAACGAGAAAAATCTCAACCTTCTTACTTTGTTAGGTAATAAAATGCAAATTTATGAGACAAAAACAGAGGTGACCTTTCTCGTGTACATTGTCCGAAACGTTTACATCCACAGTCTCGGCACTATCCGGTCAGTGAGACCATTGAGCACCGATTCCGAGACACGACTAGTGGAGGTCTTGAAGCACATGATGAAATTCTATGAATACCATGGCATCAACTTGAGAACATGTTTCGAGGATTTTGACCGCCATCACATCGGAGTCATCACAGAGAGCCAGGTACACTAATGTGTTAGACACTAGCTAAGTCACTGTAAAATGTCTTCCTGTAAGCTTGGCCAAAATTTATCTCCATCATAGCACATTTTCAGCAAGATTATTTTATAAGAGCATGAATGTGTAAGAAAAGGAAATGCTGAACTTATTATTTGTGCAGAGCCTGGTGATCAAATTCATGAATACAAGAAATGTTATGTTTTATGCAAGTGTAGCTACATTGTCCTGACATTATGTTTCCTGTGGTACACAGTTTTATCGCAGCTTTCCGGGCCCCCCTGATGTGTCGGAAGCAGACATGAACTTACTGGCAACAAAATACCGTGACCCTGAGCGTCCCGGCGTCATCAACTACCTCAACCTCCACAAGGACATCACTTCCCTACAGCAGGTGCAAGCACAGGAGACCCAGCTTCCTCCAATGCCCCAGATGTCTTTCATTGATTTCACTCCACTTACGGTAGGGATGGCTATTGAAGACAATCTCATTGAAATCACATCTTTAATCCAATATATGTCTCTACGTGAAGATCTGTCAGCACCTCCATAAAATGTCAAGTCAGAGGAATCCTGAACTAAATTTCCCTGCCTAATGTTTGTGAAGGATCCTCAGTCAATCAGATGTTAACAGCTTTATGTGACAGGATCTGTAAAGTGTCAACATATTATGACATGGTCTTGTTCTATTTACACTCAGAAATAGTGATTTGGGGTTTGTTTTCAAAACAGACATCAGATATACTGGAATAAATTTTCTGTTCACTGGTGTTGGTGAGAAGGTTCTTCTCATAAGAAATCCATGCAAGAGCTTCATGTACAGCTGAACCGTATAGGAGTAAATGCTTTGAATATTATGAGATTGTATCCTTGAGGTAAAAAGAGGAGATCCTTGAGGCAAACAGAAGTCCTTAAGACCAACAGGGGAAGACTTTAAGGCCTATAGGGGAACTCTTTGAGGCCAATAGGGAAATTCCAAACAACAGATGCGGAAGACCATAAGGCCAGTAGAGGAAGCCCTTTGAGGCCAATAGAGCAAGGCCTTAAGGCCAATACAGGAAGCCTGTGAAGACAATAGGGAAACCCATAAGGTCAACTGGGGAAGTCATGCAGCCAACAGGGGAAGCCAATGTGGCTAATAGGTGCAGGCAGTAAGGCCAAAAGAGAAAGTCTTTTAGGCCCATCAGGAAACCCATAAGGTCAACAGGAGGTCTTTGAGGCCCATTAGGCAAGTAAAGAAGATGACAAGAAGAGCCATTACGGCCAGTGGAGCAAGCCTTGGGATCTGTAATGGAATCCATTAAGATCTATGGGGAAAGGAAATCAACTGTTGACCTTCATTTTTTTCCTTCCCCAGGTGAGTGCTGACCCCACTCTGAACCAGATATTTGACAGGATCCGTGTCGCTGTGTACAAGAGCGGCATCAGAACTATAGAGTTCTTCAAAGACCATGACAAGCTGCGGAGCGGGGTGATCACAGAGAATCAGTTTGTTTGTGGATTGGCACTGGCAGTGGGAAAGGAAGCCCAGCTGTCTCGCCCCGAGATACAGAAGGTGGTTGAGTTCTACCGCCAGCCTGATGGAAGGATCAAGTACAAGGAATTCTGTGATATCATGGAAAATGGTACAGTTCTTATTTGGAGATTATGTTGCTACAGATATTTAACATATATGTGAAAATTTGATACATATAACTATAATGATAATATTACTTTTGTCACTTTATGATTAATTTGTATTACACTTTAGAGATTTGAGACTGATTGTCTACAGTACATATGAAGGAGGTTTTCATCCATCAGTATGATGATATTTAGAGTAGTCTCCCCTTGAGACCACTTTATACCTGATCATACAATACACAATACATTTCATTATCAATTCATGTCATTACTCTGTTAGCATTATCAAATAAAGTGTTACTGTGTGCAACATTTGTAATAACATAGCCAGATAGCTAGTATTATCTTACCACATATCATGAAGCAAAATGCGTAATTGGAATGCATAACTAATTAGAAATAACCAGTAGCGCAAGTAGGTAACACAATACAGTAAAATTGAAGATCTCTTTGTCTCTGGTTACATTCAGTAGAAATTGAGTATTGTGAGAGATTGTTCATTGCCTGACACATATCTCAAGATGAGTTGATTAATGAAATAATTCTATCATAACATCACGACAATATGTATCTTTGAATCTTCGTTGTAGCATATGTGAATGGTAACATAATTGTATGCTGGTATTTCTTTCAGCATTTAACATTCCTGATCTGGACAAAAAGCCGACCCAAGAAGCTGTGAGACCACCAAAGGGAGCCTTGTCCAGGGTAGGTTTTATGGTCCATGGAGAGACAAATTACAAGAAATGGATAAGAAGTTCAGTGTCCTGGGGTAAAGGTCTGGCTGGCTGTATACGAAGGACCCGGTTGTGGCTGGGTGGTGGACCACTGAAGGACCACTGTTGATTGCCTGTGTGGATGACCCCACTGTGGGTTGGCAGGCTAGGTGGTGGACCACTGAAGGACCACTGAAGGTTGCCAGTATTGATGACCCCACTGTGGGTTGGCAGGCTAGGTGGTGTTGGTTATGTTGTAAGGACCACTGAAGGTTGCCTGTGTGGATGACCCCACTGTGGGTTGGCAGGCTAGGTGGTGTTGGTTGTGTTGTAAGGACCACTGTTGGTTGCCTGTGTGGATGACCCCACTGTGGGTTGGCAGGCTAGGTGGTGTTGGTTATGTTGTAAGGACCACTGAAGGTTGCCAGTATTGATGACCCCACTGTGGGTTGGCAGGCTAGGTGGTGTTGGTTATGTTGTAAGGACCACTGAAGGTTGCCTGTGTGGATGACCCCACTGTGGGTTGGCAGGCTAGGTGGTGTTGGTTATGTTGTAAGGACCACTGAAGGTTGCCAGTGTGGATGACCCCACTGTGGGTTGGCAGGCTAGGTGGTGTTCATCATGTTGTAAGGACCACTGAAGGTTGCCTGTGTGGATGACCCCACTGTGGGTTGGCAGGCTAGGTGGTGTTCGTTATATTATAAGGACCACTGAAGGTTGCCAGTATTGATGACCCCACTGTTGGTTGGCAGGCTAGGTGGTGGACCACTGAAGGACCACTGAAGGTTGCCAGTATGGATGACCCCACTGTGGGCTGGCAGGCTAGGTGGTGGACCACTGAAGGTTGCCAGTATTGATGACCCCACTGTGGGCTGGCAGGCTAGGTGGTGGACCACTGAAGGACCACTGAAGGTTGCCAGTATTGATGACCCCACTGTGGGTTGGCAGGCTAGGTGGTGTTCGTTATATTATAAGGACCACTGAAGGTTGCCAGTATTGATGACCCCACTGTTGGTTGGCAGGCTAGGTGGTGGACCACTGAAGGACCACTGAAGGTTGCCAGTATTGATGACCCCACTGTGGGCTGGCAGGCTAGGTGGTGGACCACTGAAGGACCACTGAAGGTTGCCAGTATTGATGACCCCACTGTGGGGGCTGGCAGGCTACCCACTGAAGGTTGCCAGTATGGATGACCCCACTGGCAGCAGGCTAGGGTGTTGAACGTTATGTTGGACCACTGAAGGTTGCCAGTATTGATGACCCCACTGTGGGTTGGCAGGCTAGGTGGTGGACCACTGAAGGACCACTGAAGGTTGCCAGTATTGATGACCCCACTGTGGGTTGGCAGGCTAGGTGGTGTTGGTTATGTTGTAAGGACCACTGAAGGTTGCCAGTATTGATGACCCCACTGTGGGTTGGTAGGCTAGGTGGTGTTGACCATGTTGTAAGGACCACTGAAGGTTGCCAGTATGGGTGACCCCACTAAAGGTATTTTTTTATAACATGACATTGATATTAAATCATTATGTTTCTGTGTAACCAGGGTTTGAAGGCACTGAGTGAGAAGGAAGACCAACGTGTGGAAATGGTGTTGCGTGAACTGTCGGACAACGTGAGGCGAGCCGACGTCTAATGATGTACCCCTACTTCAAGGACTACGACAGGGTGAGTGTCTCACCCCACAATCATGGGTAGCCCAGTTCATGGTCATGTGATTCTTGTCACATCAAAGCTGTTTGTTCAAGATGGGTCCACACGACCATGGGCCAGTGATTATTTATCATTCACAGTGTGTATAGATAGTTTTCTATGGGTATTCAGTATATTTTACTCTTTTGGGGCATTTTCCAGTACCATCTTTTCTTAAAGTTCTGCTTAAAATGCATTTACGATAATTTGCATCTGTTCATGTTCTGCCTCAAGTGCTCACAACAGCAATATGCATGTCATAGTTACAATGGACAGGATGTTGCAGCTTTGTGCATTATTCACTGCAGGAGAGTTATTGTTAATATTATGTCTACATGCAATCAATAAACACAATCTCTTCAAATTTGGTAGTTTTCAGGTTGTATCATTTTTTCACATGTGTAGAGCAAAAAGGAATCAGTCAGGTATTTTTGAGCCCATGACATAATTAGGAATGACACTAAGTGGTTACATGAATATTTTGAAAGACAGGAGCCTGTTCTTTAAAATATAAATCTTGTACATAACATCATTACTTTGAAAAGCACTCATATAATGACAAATATAGAAGAGATAAATGCATAAAAGTCTGTAGGTGAAGTAAAAATTCAAGATAACAGGGATGGCAAATTTCTGCTGATCCGCAGATTTTATTTCAAATTGTTCAATTGTAAATCGTCTAAATTCTTTGAGAAACACTCAACTCGATGACACAATATTAAATTTTCAGCTAAAAATAGATTTTCCCATTGCCATCCATGACATAAAAATACAGTATTCTTGAATATTCTGAAATAACAAACTTGGAAAGACGGGATGGTGTTGCATTTTGTTCTACTGTTACATGATAGTCTGTTCAATTTTGTTGTTTCATAATTTCATGGTTTTTCAGATATATTTGTTATATCACCAGCAGTATCATTGCTTATAATTCCCGATATTAACTTGGTAAACATATGTATTGTACTGTATTTTGTAAACAGAATGGGTCAAGTCAAGTTCAGAATGGTTATATAGTCTTGTGAACATTGGCTATGTAGGTTACTGCGTCTCCAAGCTGTTGAGATAGCTGGGCCATACACTAACACTTAGTCTCTGAATATATATAACTTTGATAGAAACAATTAAACTCATTTACATTGACAAGTAGCCCCAGTCAAATGGGAAATTCAGAACCTGAGGAAATCTACAATTTCTTCATTTAGGGCTTCAGCATTGCAGGGAGGGCTAGACAGTGGGGAAAATAATGTGGTTCAGGGACTGTGAGATAAGCTAGCTGGGCCACTGTGTGCTGATGTAGGCCTGCTAGATAGCACTGTACAGGGCAAACTGCTGATTGGGATGACCTACTTTCCCATGTTGACCTAGGTGGTGCTGACTCTGACATGTGGATGCCATGTGACGAATTCACTCATTGTTCTGATGCCAAATGCTTACACAAAGACAAGTATTTCTGTCTTAAAAGGTCACCATTGTTATTTTGTTTAATCTTAGGTTTCAATAAATGTGGGTATTGTTATGAGTAGGGGTGAATGTCTGGCTTGAAGAAACAAACTTTTAGAAACAATTTTCCTGAACTTATCATATATTTTGTAGAAAATGTTTAGAATTGTTATATTACTGGTAGCTTTCATGTGTATTAGCAGGAGGATAGTTTGTTATGTATGGCTGAGGTTACCATTACTCAGCTGAGAGACACTCCCTTCCCCTCGCCAAAACCTTTCCTTATAATTTAAATCCTTATACAAATCATGGTCTCTGTGTCTAGTTATATAATGTAGCAATAAATGAACACTTGGGAGTAGTACACTAACCAAGGCTTATTACTTTTAAATTAATGAATCATTACCAATTACGTGTTTCCTTCATGTAAATACTATTTCAGAATATTAGATTTAAGAATATAATGTGTTTTCAACTTGTATTTATATTTCATTCACTGACCCCATATTGCATTTTGAAAAACATATTTAGATAATTGAATTTAGATAATAAATAAACAAGAATGAGGAAAGATGACTTTATTCTCATTTCCAACAAAATAATGAGTTAAGTGGTAGCAGATGAAACTGCAGAAATATTATCAAACTACCTACAAGTTCAGATAAGGCACATGAGTGAAACCTGTCAATGTCACCCTTTAGACTAAAGCTTAGTCTCTGAATATATATAATTTTGATAGTAACAAACAAGCCCATTTAAAAAGAAAAGGAGCCCCAGGGAGACCAGAACCTCAGGAAATCTCGACTTGCTTTATTAAGGGCTTTAGCACTGCAGATAGGGCTTGGCAGTAGGGAAAATAATGTGGTTCAGGGACTGTGAGACAGACTATGTCAACCTTGTACAAGTGAAATGTACAGATATTGTTCAGATTTCTATTTATTCATGTCAATGGCCATATAATGTTATAATTACAGGGTGTATTGCATGATATAAAATTACAACTCATTTAAGGAATCAAAGGATATATCTTGAGGACACAAGCAGTATTATAAGTTCAAATGATCATCATGCTTATATAATAAGATACTTCTTGAAACCCATTAAATTTTAGCTGGATAGTCACATAGATCAGAGCATTTATAAAGAAAACATTGGTTTATTATTTGTTTAAGTAATATTTTCATTAAAGTTTAATATCTTTTTCTTAAGTTGGGTAACTTTATTTATTTGGTCATGTTTGCGTTTGTGAGCCAGTGATCAAGCTGATTACTGAATTTAATTCCAACAATTGACTTCACACCAGTCTTTATCTTGACAAAGTTTAATAATATGAGGCTGTCCAATTTAACTTTGTTTTGTTAATATTGCTTTTTTATCTGAGGGAAATGAAAACCATTGTCAGAGGGAAAAGAAGTCCTTATAACTATCCTCTGTGCTTTTAGAACCTTTAGTGCATAGTGTCCTCGTTATTTTCTTTATCATGGAGATTGTGACATGTGTGATAATATGTCACCCTTGAACAGGTATAGTGCATATGCACCTTTACCAACACCCCAACTGAGGGTATGTGAGTACTGAAGCGTATCTCCTGGATAGACAAATGTGGGTGCGGGATTAGGGTGGGGATGTAGAGGGGGGTTAAGGTGGGTTCTAGAGGGAGGTTAGGGTGGGGAAACTGCTGGTTGTGATGTAACAGTTCATTGACACAACAACCTATTTCCCCAAGGGGGTCTCACTGCAATCAGCCAGGCTGTTAGGGTCAGCCATTCAAGTGTTAGCTTTCAACAATGGCATGTGTGGGGGACATAACATGATGTAACATTTGTACTTTGTTGCAAAACATTTATTATGCTTTTAAGCCAGCAATTACTGTCAGCCATAAATGCATGTCTGTTTGCATCTTTTGATGCTGAGATGAAGGGTATCCTGTCCCCTCCTTGGGCTTGCGTGGTTGTTGTGTGTGATGTAACAGGGAACATGTGTTTACGTGTGGGGTACATAGACAAGGATGAGTTGGGGCAACTAGCAGGTCACCACATGCTTTGTGTCAGTTTAATGTATCATTGGTGTGGACTTTGATGTAAATACTGTGCCCATTGTCACTAGAAGGTATTCTTAGAATATTCTTAAACCACTGATTTCGTATATATAATTACAAGTAGTAACCTGTGGATTAGATTCTTATTTAGAAGGCTATTCTTAGAATTAAACTTCTTAAACACTGATTTCATTGATATATAATTACAAGTCCCAGTAACCTGTGGATTAGATTCTTCATTTAGAAGAGCTAAAAAAAATTCACATTAAACTTAATATCTGAAACTTTTCATTGATTTGTCTTAAAATTATCACTGGTTTTACTGAACATCTGAAACATTTTCATTGATTTGTCTAAAAATTATCACTGATTTTACTGAACATCTGAAACATTTCATTGATTTGTCTTAAAATTATCACTGGTTTTACTGAACATCTGAAACATTTTCATTGTTTTGTCTTATAAATAGTACTGATATTACAGAACATCTAAAAATTATTATATTGATATATCTTAAAATTAGTAGGCATATTACTGAACATCTGAAACTGTTTTATTGATTAGTCTTAAAACTAATACTGATATTACTGAACATCTCAAATTATTTCATTGATATATCTTAACATTAGTAGGCATATTACTGAACATCTGAAACTTTTCATTGATTTATCTTATCCTATATTTCAATAATTTGCATTGAAATTTGGGTACATTTTACAAATTATGATGTTAAAGAAAATACATGTGCTAAAAAATATAGGTTGAATATCCAGCCTGGATGTTTTGAATGATATTTCTAATATTGTGGTTGGAAAAGTGTTCAAGTTTGTCACTGAACATCAAACAATGTCTCTATAGATTCTTCCCTCTGAAATTGTTCAATATCATGATAATGGTATTCTTCTTTCTGCATCTCAAAAATATCAACTAGTGAAATATACATGGTTGGGAAATTGTGTATGCAACTGATATCAAAGGCATGCAAAGATCCAATATGAGCATTTGCAATCTCCACCAACACATATTTACAAAACATTCTGTTTAGTTACTAAAAGTAAATGAGTGAGTAAGGTTGTTGGGGGTTTTTTTTGGGGGGGGAGAGAAACCAGAAATGGGCTTGACACATTGTACCCATGTGGGAATCGAACCCAGGTCTTCGGTGTGACGAGCGAGTGCTTTAACCACTAGGCTACCCCACCGCCCCTAAGTTAACTGTAAACAGAACACTGATGATGGGTTGGGCTGGTGAGTGTCACATACTCAATCATCATACTGATTGTTACCTGTAGGCGAAACAAATTAATCTGTGATTTATTACAAAGTACAGCATGAGATTACTGTCGTGTTTCTTGTTCATAGGGCATTGCCTACACTCGAGTCGTGACCAAGACACAGTTTGGGCGTATCCTGCACTTCCTAAGTCTCAATGTGGCGCCTGAAGATCTCAAGCTGTTGTGTTGCAAGTTTGAAGATCCCACCAGTGGGGATGTCAACTACCCTGCTTTTGTGCAGGCAGTGGATCAAGGTTGGTGTTCCTGAATAATGATGTTTATTTATTATGTTGATTGTAAAATACCATGTCAAGTCATGTTGCATATTTAAAGGTGTTTGAAGGGTATTTATGCATTTATGAAAGACATGTTTTGGCCAGGTAAGTGTTCTAATGAAGTAACGTAGGGCATCATGTGATGATAGTGATATTGACTACAATGACGATGATGATGACGATGATGATATTGACTACAATGACGATGATGATGACGATGATGATGATGATGAATAGGTTCCCCATCCCACTCCCAACATCTATTGAACCTCTAACTGTGTATTCTCTTGGTCAAAGAATTTGTTAATTATTGTCTTTATATAGATTTCCACGTTTAATGACTCGAGTGATGGTGATTTTCATTTCAAGTACAAGTATATCATTGATTTTGTGCATGACATGCATAGGGGTCACTTTGTACATGCTTCTCCATAAAAATCATCATCATCCCCGAGGCCATAAATCATGAACAGTCCCTTAAGTGTCTGGCTTGACCATGTGTGTGTGTGTGTGTTTCAGAGTTTGTGGGACACACCCTGGAGAACGTGAATCTCCAGGATGAGGAGCGTACCAACCAGCCTGTCCCTGATCAACCTGTGCAGGAAAGTGAGGTCAGCTTCGAGGACCTGATGGCTCGCATCAGACACCATGTTCTCACCAACAGGCTGAGGGTAGGTTGTCCCTCATGGTCATCAGTCTCAGAAATTTTGAAATATAACTTGTTCTTACTGTATCCAAAACAATTAAGTAATAATGACTTGTAATGTAATCAAATCCTTTTCAGGGATTCTGGATTAATTATGCCCTCAGTATCTTATGCTTGTCTTAAGAACCTACAAAGACAGGAATTCATTTGTCAGATATGTAATATTGTGGACATTCGCCTACACACTTAATAGTTCTTTTCTGCTTCTTTGATGGGCATTTTAGAATTTGAGTTGATGAAGAATGATGACAATTTGTATGGATATACAACTTCTTTTATTCTGTGAAGGGCGACGTTTCGACATAGATTCTAATGTCATTGTCAAGCACTTAAACAAGCACTAAACCAGAGACCATATCATATGGTCTTTGCTTAAACAAGCTTGACAACGACATTAGAATCTATGTCGAAACGTCACCCTTACAGAATAAAAGAAGTTGCATATCCATAAAAATTGTCACCATTCTTCAGTTCTTTTCTGTATTTGGGTTTGGGTGGACCACTAGTGGCCTAGTTGTCTAAGGTGCTTCAATTTGTTGTCCAGAGTTGTGTCCCTTTGCTTTGTGTTGGTTTGAATCAGCATTCGCCCAGGTATTTCTTCATTTGTTAAGCACCATACCCATGCTTGTAGGTTTTGACTGAAATGGTAGAGACCTGCATCATTTATCACATGCAATGTACAGTATATCAAGTGCAGTATTCTGTATATCACGTTGAAACTGGGAGCAGGGAGTTCACAATAAAACCATGTGGACCTGGAGACAGACTTGTATTGTCAATTTCAAAAGTATCTGCCATCATCATTTACAACAACATCCAACAACTGCTTTTACAACTTTTACAGTGGATACCTGGCTTGACAATGAGCTGACACACTGGGACATGACAAGGATACTATTAAAAGCAGTGTTAACCCAAACTAACACTGAAGGGGTCATTGTCGGCACAGGTACTACAGATACGTACCCCAGGTACGTTTCTGTATACAGATATGTACCCTAAACAAAGTCAAAATACAGAAACGTACCCGCTACCCTAAAAGGCGGACGAGTCCATATTCCGCAATCCCAAACCGAAACCGCATTTAGGTGTTCCTGTTCAACTGATTGCAAGTGGTATTCATATGCATTGTGAAATATCTGTTACTGTGTATTCTCATTACTTACATAACGCAATCAAATGTATCTAATACAACAGCATGACAGTTCCGATCAAGAATACGACACAATGAGAATGGAATTGTCCTAGGGTACGTTTCTGTATTCTCATTATGGCCAGGGTACGTATCTGTATACAGAAATGTACCTGGGGTACATATCTGTAGTACCCGTGCTGACAACGATCCCTTCAGCCAAACTAACTCACTCACTTGTCTGTATCAAAGTTCATAGTACATTTTTTACCAGTTCCCTGTTTTGTTCCTGCCAGGTGAAAGAGTACTTTGAGGACTACGACCCTCTCCAGAGCAACTGCATTAGCAAGAGTCAGTTCCGACGGGGCCTCGGCCTGCTGGGGTTGAGCAAGCTTGGGGCTCATGACCTGATAGATGGCCAGTTTAAGTTGTTGTGCGACATCTACCAGAACCCTGCCAAGACAGACCAGGTGTACTGGACACGCTTCATGGACGATGTGGAGAGTGGTCAGTAAACATATACACATGCTTTGGGTTTCAATTAAGGTACATGCTTCCATACATGGCTTCATCAACTTAATATAAAGGCATTGTTCCACCACCTGTAACATGTAGTCATAGTTCCACCACCTGAAAGAAATATGCATAGTTTCATCTCCTGTAACTAAAAGACATTGTTGCACACCTAAAACATACATACATGGTTGCACCACCTCTAATATAGGCATGGCTGCACACCTAAAAGGTATATACATGGTTGCACCACCTGTAACATTTAGGCATTGTTGCACACCAACAATATATATACAGGGATGCACCTGTAACATATAGGTATGGTTGCACACCTACAATATATATGCATAGTTTCATCTGTAACATACAGCCATGGTTGCACACCTAAAAGATATATACATGGTTGCACATAGCCGTTTTTTCGTCACCAGTAACATGTAGACATGGTTGCACTACCTGTAAGATATACACAGTTTCATGACCTGTAACATATAGACTTTGTTGCACTCCTAAAAGATGTAGACATGGTTGCACCACCTGTAACACATAGCCGTTGTTTCATCACCAGTAACATATAGACATTGTTGCACACCTAAAAGATGTAGACATGGTTGCACCACCTGTAAGATCACCAGTAACATATAGACATTGTTGCACACCTAAAAGATGTAGACATGGTTGCACCACCTGTAACACATAGCCGTTGTTTCATCACCAGTAACATGTTGACATGGTTGCACTACCTGTAAGATATACACACGATTTCATCACCTGTAACATATAGACATTGTTGCACACCTAAAAGATGTAGACATGGTTGCACCACCTGTAACACATAGCCGTTGTTTCATCACCAGTAACATGTAGACATGTTTGCACTACCTGTAAGATATACACACGATTTCATCACCTGTAACATATAGACATTGTTGCACACCTGAAAGATGTAGACATGGCTGCACCACCTAAAAGATAAATAAATGGTTTCATCACCTGTTGTACATGTATACACATGGTTGCACCACCTGTAATGCAAAAACATTGTTTCGTCACCAGTAACATATAGACATGGTTGCACTACTTATAAGATATACTCACGATGCATCATCTATTTATCTAATCACTGTATTTGCAGTTTTCACAGAACCGAATCTGGAAAAGAGCCCCACGTATAAAGTTCCGCCCTCAGAGACATTCCGGGTACCCAAGCCAGGCAGCATCAGTTGGGAGACTGCCAGCGATGACCACAAGAGCTTGTATGAAGAAACCATGGAGAGATTGAGACAGAGAGCTGGGCAGCGCAGGCTCCTGGCTAAACCAGTGTTCCAGGATTTTGACAGGTAGGACAGCATTGTGAAAACACAAAACGGAGGGAATATAGGGAGCTATTAGTATGGGATTATTTAAAGTGGGCATGGCTTGGGGAGAGTTCTTAGCAGTTAACCTGTGTTAAAGTGTAAATTCTTAGCTTCAATGAAGGGGGTTCAACAGAGACAATTGGATTCTGTTAAAGTTGTCTGTATTCCAGTGGCATGAATATATTACTTTGAGGTCATGTCATTGGGGTCAGTAGATGATTTTCAAAATTTGTTCAAACCCCATGAAGCCACCATTGCGTCTGCCATGGTAACATTATTTACAAGGTTATGTTGAATATTCTGAACACCATAATACTGGGAAATATAAGGCACCATGTGACGTGGGAGAATGGTTATACTTTGCTTGTGTGTGTTTTATTATATAGTGCGGAAAAAGGTCACATCTTTGTATTCCCTGATAACAAAGCAAATACTCTCTTGAAGACAGAACGTCAGTGTTTGGGGTAGACCAATACTGTAGTGAGTGTTGATAATTCCTACAGTTTGTTTGTCATTATACCTGCATTGACAATACCACATAGTTTTGTATATGGTGCACCTGCCAATATTCAGCCCCAAATCTGCAGCAAATGTCAGGATTAAGTCAGTAAAAATCAAACATTTTGAACATTCCTAAAGTTGGCTGTCACAGTGATAACTGATGTTATGGATTTTCAGAGGTAACTTGTATTTCATTGATAACAGGATCAACATAGAGGAGGAGGCTTCAATTAGTTGTACATGATTTTGAGTAAAAGCAAATTCAATGTCAAAATACCCTGCATTTGAGAAATAAGGACTTTTTAAAAATAACAATTTTGAACAAAGGACAATCTATCCCAGTTGACAGTGAAGGAAGGTTTCCAAACTGTGCTCAAAGACCCATGTGTGACTAAACCAACTTAATCCATCCAGGCACAACAACAACCACGTGACCCGCTCGCAGTTCCGACAGTGCCTCACCATGCTGGAACTCCACACCACAGAGGCCGAGGTTGCAGCTCTGGAGGCCAGGTTCTGTAATGATGTGGGATTCAACTACCAGGCATTCCTGGATGAGCTGCAGCCCCCAGTACCGCCACAGCTCATGTACGTGGAGAGACTGAAGACACTACGACTCACCAACGAGAAGGGCAAACTCCCCGAACTCAATCCTGCTGGAGACTTGGAGGAGGTCCTACTCAAACTCAAGACAAAGGTCAGTGGTTCTTTCATGTGACCCCAGGAATTTCACAGGTACCACTGTCCCCAGTGGTCAGTTTTTGCATAAGTGGATGTCATCATGTATTAATTATGTAGACTCTTGTTCAGGCCTTCTGTCACTGCTGTTCTCGAGACTTTATTATATAGAGGCCACTGTGACAGAGCTGGAAAAACAGTGATACACAGTATTCAGTTCTCCTTTCAGGACATACTTTGTGTTATCAGTCTAGGTCCTGATCCAAAAAGCATTTGCAGTGTTACCAGCCATCATTGCTACATAATTAATCATTAGCTTATCAATATTGTAGTCCCATCAAGTTAAAGGACCAAACGTCTAATTTTTAGTAGATTTTAAAGTTAGTAATTGGACTGTTATTAGCTATTTTTACCGGACTGGTTTCCATTTTTGGTGAAAGGAACAACAATTTTTTATTGTCTAAATATTTGTTAAAGTTAAGTGGCATGAAAAAAACCCATAGTACTCATGTAATCATGGCCCTTCAACTTTGTGACACCACTGTAGTGGTGGTCCGATTAATTGAAATAATCGAAGATTGGTCGCAGTGACTAAACGACCAAGCAATCGGTCATGTTTTCTCATAATCGAACACAAACAATTCTGGAACACTTTTTGCATTAAACATATTTTTCACAAGGTTGGTTTTGTCAGTTACATTTCATAAGCACTAAAAGCTCGTTCCAAGTCATGATTGAATTTATCTTAAAGACTTCAGGACATTTATGTTCCTAACTTACTAGTCATCCTTTTAAGATCTGAAAATTGCCAAGAAAAACCCAAAGACCTACATGTTTTTTTCTTTATGTTCTTGTGCATTAACAAAAATAACCAGGAAAAATTCATAAATGACGCTAACCAATTATTTCTGATGACTGATCATCAATTATGAGATGTTAACCAATTCCCAACACTACACCACTGATGACAATACACGGTAGACATGACATATATGACATTGTAATGATGCCAGGATAACTATTTGAAACTCTTGGCTTAATGATAAAGTTTACAACATAGAAACATTCCTGCTGACTTGAAATGATCATGAAATATTCATAATAAATCTTTATGACATATAAGCTTCACAGTGCATTTATGAACTTATTGTATTATCTTCTGACAAGCTCAGGAACTACAACAATTCTGACACTTGTTTAAAAATCAGAATGATTCTCTCATGATATGGTCAGTCTCTACAGCTGATACTTTCTCTTGACTTGTGTGTTGAGTCAGTTCCTTTACATTACAGGTGTTCAAAGCCAGACTCAGGGTGTTGGACTTCTTGAAAGACTATGACAAGCTACGGTCAGGGCGGATGTTGAAGACGTCATTCCGCCGTGCTCTGGACCTTGCTGGGTTTGAGTTGAAGGAGTCTGAAGTGTCCATGTTGGAAGACAAGTAAGTACAGCAGTGGTAGAAACTCAAATAAGTCCATCGTCCTTATCACGTCAACCTTTAGATATACTAACATAGCGAGGCCTGAGAAGATCTGCCTTAGAGTTAATGTCATCAAACCATGCTTGTCGTAAAAGACATCTAACAGGATCAGGTGGTCAGTCTTGCTGTCTTGGTCAAATAGAGTCCCAGATGCATACTTTTGATGACATCACTGCAATCGGTTGATATTGGGGGGGAGACAATGAAAGGCAGAAGTCACAGACACACAGCCTCACACAGACACACAAACAGAGAAAAATATATCCTGTATATACTACTCACACTTTGCTAAGGATCACAAAAATTCACAACTTTACTTAAAATTAGATTTATAATTTGAAATTGTATCCATTTAAAACTGGATGATTAATATTATGGTAACCCCTCTTTAGGCAAATAGTCACTTTAAGATGACCTTATGCACTTGATACACAAGTAACCATAAAAATGGTTTTCATGGCACCAATCAACCATTTTGCAAATCATGGAATGAGTCATTGACAAATAAACAACCCATGTCAATACCAGGTATGGGATCCACAAGATGCAGTGACATACTGAAACCTAGGATCCATGCTTACAATAAGCTTAGATATTTAAACCAAATTTGACCCCACATCATAGTTTTCTGTTGAATCTATGATTTGATCCCAAAGCAAAGTGAATAGTATATATAACGGAATGCCTGTGATAAGACATGGTAAATCAACTGAATTTACAAAATTACAAATTGTCATTCAGTTTCTGAGACACTGACTAATAGTTTCCACTTACTAAGAAACAACAGCTCATGTTTACATGTTTGTTCAGGTACGAGAGCCGACGTGATCCTGACTACATTGACTACCTGGCATTCTCGGATGAACTGGAGTCCATCTTCACTGTAAAGAACCTGGAGAAGGCTCCACTGCAAGAAACAGTCCAGTTCCAGCCACCAGTGGAGTGGGAGCTCAACTCTCTCCCAGCAGACAGCGAGGCCAAGTTTCAGGCTTGCATGGCCAAGGTGGCAGAGAAGGTAGGTTGGAGGCTGACATAGACAGCAGGGGGGTTGAGTCTGTCTTGCAGTCCCTGAACAGCATTTTTTCCCCTTCTTCCCAGCCCTTTCTGTTGTGCTAAAGCCTTAAATGAAAAAGTCTAGATTTCCTCAGGTTCAGAATCTCCCCCCTTTTCAATTTTAAAGGATTTGTTTCTATCAAAATTATATATATATTCAGAAACTAAGCGTTAATCTACAGGGGGATTCTATAGTGGTCTCAGAGCCTTCCAGAGCCATTTGGAACATCAGCTGGTGGCTTAATTTACAGGCTTTTGAGTCATCCCTTGAAGGGGGGTGGGGGTGTGTGTGATTAGCCCAGTGGTCTGAAGCACCCCAATTTGCTTTGTAGAGATGTAGGTATGTCAGAAACATCTGCTTACAGGTATGAATCCTGATTACAGTTTAGTTTTGCTGACAACAGACCTATGCTCGTGCGTTTCACCAAAGTAGTAAATGTCCGAGACAAGCAACACTTCTGGCTTTCCTCGAAGCTGACATGTGGTGACATAACTGTAATTCTGTAGATATTATGCCCTTGATAATCGAGGATGATTCACATTTAGATATTATGCCCTTGATCATCGAGGATGATTCACATGTAGATATAATGCCCTTGATAATCAAGGATGGTGCACATGTAGTTATTGTGCCCTTGATCATCGAGGATGATTCACATGTAGATTATTATGCCCTTGATAATCAAGGATGATTCACATGTAGATGTAATGCCCTTGATAATCGAGGATGGTGCACCTGTAGATATTATGCCCTTGATAATCGAGGATGATTCACATGTAGATATAATGCCCTTGATAATCAAGGATGGTGCACCTGTAGATATTATGCCCATGATAATTGAGGATGATTCACATGGAAATGTAATGCCCTTGATAATCGAGGATGATTCACATGTAGATATAATGCCCTGGATAATCGAGGATGATTCACATGTAGACATAATGCCCTGGATAATCGAGGATGGTGTAGCATCATGAATATTATCTGCCTTTTAATTCTGTAAGAGCAAATATTGAACAAGGAACATTATCTGTGTTAGGTACGCAAGCACAGGATGCAGCTGTTTCCCTTGTTTGAGGACTACGACCGTGTTCACAATGGAGCCGTTTCCCGATCCCAGTTCCGCCGAGTTCTCACAGAACTGGAGCTGGGCAGCATGGTCAGTCAGGAGGAGTTCCAGCTTCTGTGGCAGAAGTTTGACATCAAGATAGGCGGCAAGGATGATGTCAACTACATTGCATTCTGTGACTTCATCTACAAACTCGCCGGCTTCGAACCAAGAAAACCCTAGAGTGACATCAATTTACAAAGGAAACTTTTACATGTGATTGTTTTTCACAAGGAAAGAAGTATTATTTATTGACTATCTAATGATGGTCAGGAGATGAACTATGTTTGTATATAACCATGGAGATGTGATGTTTGAGTATCAGGGATACTATCCATACATCTCATGTATGCTGTTGTCTCATTCCTTACATAGTAATTACTGCTGCCGCCAGTTTTAAGGCTTTTTGTCTCACTAACTATCCAGTATTCTAAATACTTTATTGTCTCAGTATTCAGGATTTGCTGACATTAATAAGTTTATCTCATGTCTCAGGATGTCGTCTCATTTGTACACAGTATTCAGATGTAAATACATTTTATAAATTCTTTGGAGTATTTTGCCTTCCAGACAGTACAGGAAGTATGATTTTAATGTCACATTCCGATCACTTACCTGTATATTATTTTAGTTCTTGCATAGTATTTAAATATTGACAATATTTTAGATATTTTATCATGCACCAGTGTTTAAAATACACAGACATTGATAGGGTTTACTTTATGTCCTTCAACAGTATTTAAAACATGTTGCCAAGACCCGGTTCTTCTGCTTGTTTAATATTCTGTGAACAGTATTATAAACATGAAGCCAGAAGAATGTCAGAGTTTGTAAATTTGTCTGACATTCAGTATTTATCAAACCAAAACCAATATGAGATATTTCAGTGTGAAGTTTCTACAAATTATTTTCCACACCATTTATCACAAAGAGCATTATGAAAATGTTGCTTGACTGCAAGGTTGATATTCTAAATATTTTAATACATTGTGTTAAATTATTTTATTAAACATAATACATGTCTCATTTTACACATTATTTTACATATGATATGCCTGTGATTGATGTTCCAGAGATGTTTTATCTATATTCCAGCGGAAGTATTAATTGTTATGGTGTTTCAATAATTAATTATTTTTATAAATCATTTCAGCATTAATGTCAATATTCCGTTGTTCAATCACAGTGGGTACAGTTTGAACATGGATAAACTTGCCGACAGCAGTTAAAATATGCTGCACAATAATAAAGTTATTGACATGAGGCTTGTGCTTGTGGTCCAGTATGCATCTCCAGAACCTTGGAAGAGGTGCACAGCCCTTTGTTCAGAACATACAGTATTAGAATGAACTGCTGAGTAGTGCTCTACCCCGTTACTGGTTTGCTTTAAAACTGATGATTACTACAGAGATATAGAGATGTACATATTTCACATACATGGTTTAAAATAAATTTTAATATACAAATGTACTGCCAAACTGGTTAATGTTTTGTGTTTAACATTTGTACTGCTTTGCCATGGAGAAGAGTAATCTGCAAACAGACACTGGTAACACTGTGCCATTGACTAGAGGAAGTTGAAGAAATATCTGAGACCTGGAACATGCTGTGCTTCCTTCCACATTGAGGACACATCTGAATATAAGTGTACTATTGTTCAATCACTTTCTTAAACACATTGAGAAATTGGCTGAAACATCCATAACACCTTGTCATATACATAAGTTAACAGCAATAACACCATGCCATAGAACATATACATGCAGCTGAAACACTGGTAACTCCTTGTTGTGAAGCTGTTGTAAACGGTTGTAACACATTGGCATGTGGAATATGAAGTTTGTAAAACACTCATGACACCCTGCCATGATGGGAATGAAGTTGGTTTAACACTGGTGACACCTTGCCATGACAAGGATGAAGTTGGTTTAACACTGGTGACACCCTGCCATGACAAGGATGAGGTTGGTTTAACACTGGTGACTCCCTGCCATGATGGGAATGAAGTTGGTTTAACACTGGTGACACCATGCCATGACAAGGATGAAGTTGGTTTAACACTGGTGACACCCTGCCATGACAAGGATGAAGTTGGTTTAACACTGGTGACACCCTGCCATGACGAGGATAAAGTTGGTTTAACACTGGTGACACCCTGCCATGACAAGGATGAAGTTGGTTTAACACTGGTGACACCCTGCCATGACAAGGATGAAGTTGGTTTAACACTGGTGACACCCTGCCATGGCGAGGATGAAGTTGGTTTAACACTGGTGACACCCTGCCATGACAAGGATGAAGTTGGTTTAACACTGGTGACACCATGCCATGACAAGGATGAAGTTGGTTTAACACTGGTGACACCCTGCCATGATGAGGATGAAGTTGGTTTAACACTGGTGACACCCTGCCATGACAAGGATGAAGTTGGTTTAACACTGGTGACACCATGCCATGATGAGGATGAAGTTGGTTTAACACTGGTGACACCCTGCCATGATGAGGATGAAGTTGGTTTAACACTGGTGACACCATGCCATGACGAGGATGAAGTTGGTTTAACACTGGTGACACCATGCCATGACGAGGATGAAGTTGGTTTAACACTGGTGACACCCTGCCATGACAAGGATGAAGTTGGTTTAACATTGGTGACACCATGCCATGATGGGAATGATGTTGATTTAACACTGGTGACACCATGCCATGACAAGGATGAAGTTGGTTTAACACTGGTGACACCCTGCCATGACGAGGATGAAGTTGGTTTAACACTGGTGACACCCTGCCATGACGAGGATGAAGTTGGTTTAACACTGGTGACACCCTGCCATGATGGGAATGATGTTGATTTAACACTGGTGACACCCTGCCATGATGAGGATGAAGTTGGTTTAACACTGGTGACACCCTGCCATGACAAGGATGAAGTTGGTTTAACACTGGTGACACCCTGCCATGACGAGGATGAAGTTGGTTTAACACTGGTGACACCCTGCCATGATGAGGGATGAAGTTGGTTTAACACTGGTGACACCCAAGGATGCCACTGGTGACACCCTGCCATGATGAGGATGAAGTTGGTTTAACACTGGTGACACCATGCCATGACGAGGATGAAGTTGGTTTAACACTGGTGACACCTTGCCATGATGAGGATGAAGTTGGTTTAACACTGGTGACACTCTGCCATGACAAGGATGAAGTTGGTTTAACACTGGTGACACCATGCCATGACGAGGATGAAGTTGGTTAAACACTGGTGACACCTTGCCATGACAAGGATGAGGTTGGTTTAACACTGGTAACACCCTGCTATGACGAGGATGAAGTAGGTTTAACACTGGTAAGACATGCCATGACGAGGATGAAGTTGGTTTAAAAGTGGTGACACTCTGCCATGACAAGGATGAAGTTGGTTTAACACTGGTGACACCATGCCATGACGAGGATGAAGTTGGTTTAACACTGGTGACACCTTGCTATGACGAGGATGAAGTAGGTTTAACACTGGTGACACCCTGCTATGACGAGGAGCAGGAGTTGTCCGTCATCACAGACGCTTTAACCACCAGGCTACCCCACCGCCCCAGCTCGCGTTTAAGTGAGTGAGTTGGGTTTTATGTCGCTTTTAGCAATATTCCAGCAATATCACGGCGGGGAAAGCCAGAAATTGGTTTCACACATTGTACCCACGTGGGGAATCGAACCCGGATCTTCGGCATGACGAGCGAACGCTTTCACCACTAGGCTACCCCACCGCCCCGGCTCGCAGTTAGGCCCTACGAAGGCTGTATGTACCAATGCATGTTGTCAGTACCGTCAGTACAAATGTTGTTTATGAGCATGTATGTATCCTTCAAAGTTCCCGAATGATTTATGACACTCTTTAACGTACATGCTGTGTAAATAAAACATAAAATAGTCTCTACGTGTTAACATTGCAACACGCTTTTTAACCCATTCAGTGCAGGATCTTCTTTCATGACCATCTCTTTGATCAAGTGAGAAGATCTCTCAAGGAAGTAATGACAAATGTTTGGTTAAAAAAGGCACCAGTCTTGGTTGAATGCTCTATGGGGGTTTAAGCACGCTTCATCTACTTCCTGCACGAGGAGATGTTACCATTTTGAAAGCGGCGCCACTGCTGGGTGTCACCAGAGTCAAACCAACCTCATCCTTGTAATGGCAGGGTGTTACCTGTGTTAGACCAACTTCATCCTGGTTATGACAAAGTGTCCCCAGTGTTAAACCAACTTCATCCACATGATGGGGACGCCACTGCCCACCGACCTAGACTCATCCTGCCGTAGTGAGTTCCTGAAGCTCACATCCAGCTTCCTGATGGCCTCTGCCTCTGTGTACAACAGACTGTGATACAGTATACCAGACCTCATGTGATGTCTTGTAAAAGACTGTTACTTCCATAACATATAACCTTACCTATAACCTTACCTATAACCTCATAAACTGATACACACACATACACACACATAGACACACACACACACACACACACACACACACACACATATATATATATATATATATATATATACACACACACACATACATACATTTCCACACTTGGGGGAAATAAAGGTGATGATGATGATGATGATGATGATGATGATGATGATGATGATGACGACGACGAACTGAGGAAATATGTAATATATGTTCATTTCGGGTGATAGATGGTCAGCCAGCCAGGCCACAAGCATAAAATCATAGATTATATGCATTCTCTTCCAGAAACAGAATGAGTTATAGTTGGCTTTACTCTTAGCACTATATCATATTTTGGACAACTACCTGTATATAACGAACCAGAATACCACTGGTTGATGCCATGATGAACATCCGACGCCGCAGGGGAATCTATCAGAACTTAGAGAACATGCACTAAAGTACTGTCGGGAATAGAAAAAAAACAACAACTGTTATTTCACATTTATATCTATAATTTTTGTAGATAATATGTGAAAAGGTGAAATATTTGTTAAACTAAGTTCAGCCTAACTATAGTCTCAGTCGGAGAATGGAAACGTTAAAATTGGACTTTACCGAGGAGAGATTACTGCACAAATGAGCATGCGTTTTTTTCTAGTCCAAATCGACTTTTTTGGAACAGACCATGGCTTTATGCAAATTAGAGGGCGATGATATTGTATACCAAAGGACACTTTTTAAACACCCATTTTGAAATTAGACTTGGCTTCATTCTAAACAATAGCTGACACGTGTAAAAAGGGAGATATCAGCTAAGATAAGATAATTCTTCAGGGGAATTAAACTGGGGAAGTAAACGGCATGCCATAACAATTTACAAATAATATCCAGTCCTGTCGATCTTCGGGTGGTCATGCCACCTATATATTTTGAGACATTTAATACGATGACTGATTATGCTTTTCTACGGGTATCATACTCTTTTACACATCTGAACATAAACTTAATGAAAGACACGTAAGATGTTAATCAATAGATGAGACATATTCAACACACAAGAAAAAGCATAAAATATCTTTGCGATGACCCCTTGTACCTGTAAGCAGCACGCGCATTCCATGCCAGGTGAGTCGATGGTCCGTCGTCATATCTGGTTGAGCGACCTAATTGCCATCTATAGTCTCATCTATTGTTTTCAGCAGCTATTCGTATTTTTTTCTATGATTTGCCCGAATTTACGAGTAAACATGCTTTTTCATGATATCCTATTACGCATCCCCCTGAACGCCCAGTTAGGCCGATGTGGGTTATTTCGACATATGCTATTTGCAATTGTGCAAATTTTAGGGATACAGTGTACCAGCCTAAAAACATTTTTTTGTCTTTTTCTCCGACAGTACTTTAGTGTCCTTATCGATGGCCATCCTGAGTGTATTTCAGGTTCATCATTACCCCAGTGGGCATCAGGCCTATAACTGGGTTTCAACAACCCATGCTCTTCTTAAAGAAGCGACAAACGGGCTTGGGCTCGTTGACTTGGCTGATGCATAGCACTGTATCCCAGTCACGCAGACTATAGATCAATACGCATGATTGTCCCTTTTGGCTCGCTTATTATTTACAGACTGCCGTCAGATACACATAGATGGAATACTGCAACACAAACAACAAACAAATAGATAACATTATTCTCTAATTATAGATAATATGTTTTTCGTGTGTGTCGTGGTGACAGTTGCAGCCAGAAAATACGTTTGACCAGGGAGACTATATAAGGATTGTTGTAGATTATCCCTGGTTTGACATAATAAGGTACAGAGTAAAAATGACATCTGTGTGCCACCATGGGTCACGTTTAATAACAATTTGTTTAGGTATATAATAAATTGGACATGATTCCATATTTGGCTGAAGTTCGCTGTAAAAAAAATCCAAAAAGGTTGGAAAGTTTCAAAGTTCGTGTGGTAAAATATCTAAGCCAAACACAGATATAGATGCCTAAATGATTTCAGGCGAGGCATCAAAGGCACATACGCAAAGACGCTGCTTCCTCGTGACACCGTCAATGTTGGCCTTGTTAACTTATTTCGTTTTATTTCGGGCATGGTTAAATGTCCGCTCAATGGGTGTTTCAACATTTAAGACAAAAACGAGGACTTCGACCATACACGCAATGCCTTTATCGACAGGGAAAGTCCCTCTTGTCTTGGTTGAACGGTAGGCCTCGGGCTGACGCGATGAAACACGTGACGAAATACAGATGTCTGATTGGTTGTTTCCCATAACAATCACAAATCGGCCAACCGCGCCATTAGATTCTACGCTGTTTTCATGGGGTGTATGCTGGAATAGTTACGTATCGGAGAAATTTAGAGAGTTCTTCCTTCTGATCGTTGCGTGAATGTTCACAAGACGTGAATATTAATGCGTCATATACCAGGTAGGTTTGTCGATATAGTGTGTTATGATCCGTAGACTCGATTGCTGGACACATGTGTGGACGGTGTAGAGTCTCGAATCTGACAATCCACAGGCTCTCTCGCGATGCCATGGCTAAAATTCGGAGAGATGCCGGGCTTGTTTATGCCAGGTAGCGCACCATTGCCTATGTAATAGTTGGTAGCAAGTGATACATAAAAATTATGAGCCTTAACTAGGATAGCAGCAACGGAAATTCGGCCGTTTATTTCGATGCAGAGAAGATGCTAGATGTCATTATGTAAATACACACCTTGCAAGTTGCAGTTGGCAACAGCGAGCTCAGCGCAGCTCCCTGAAGTCAACCTTTGAGGTCACTCATTCGTAAACCGAAGTCGTTGGGCGTGGCTTGGTCATTGGGGAACACATTACCCCGTGGGAAAGAATAACAAACATATACGGGACAACACATCTCAAAATAAATACAACAAATAGTCTAGATTTATCCAGAAAATGTCTGCCACCCATGTGACCGAAGTATGACATGACTCATTCATGAACATGATCAATGTAAACGCTGTTTTAGATGAACATGGTGAGTAATTCATAAATAAGTTATATGTAACCATGAAATATGAACCCAAAATAATAATGATAATAATAAAATCAATATCATGTATAAGTAAACTTAGATATGAGTTTTGAAATAATAGATCTACTGGTTTTATGATTTTGTATTGTGGGCTATCCGTTTGGGGAGAAGGGGATGGTTGGTTATAAAAAATGACAGTGAAAGCGATGAGTGTCAGGTTGCTAAAATTGATGGTTCCTGTTTTTTGTTGTTTTTTCTTCAAAGAATGATTTAAACATATTTGTTTTGGATAAATTTGAGAAATATTTAGGGACTGGTCATTTATTATAAATCGATCAGGGTTTAGAGTTGGTATTTAAAAATATATGTATCTGTGTGTTATTGAAAAAAAATATGAAACATATACAGTCCAAAGTGCAAGCCTACCCCCTTTGTACCAAATAATCACCCCAATATCTTAAATTGCTACACCTGGTATTTTAGGTGTTTGGACTGCATGATGTGTTAGCTGTAGTGTTGGGAATTGGTTAAAATCTCATAATTGATGATTGGTTCATTACAACTGATGAATCATCGAAAATAATTGGTTAGCATCATTTCTCAAATTTTCCTGGTTATGTTTCTTAATGCACAAAAAATAAAGAAAAACATGTCGTTCTTTCGGGGTTTTTTTGCAAATTGCACAATACATTTGCAAATTTCACATCTTTACAGGATGACTAGTATGTTAGGAACATAAATTACCTGGACTCTTTAAGATAAATTCAACCATGACTTGGAATGAGCTAGTAGTGCGTATGAAATGTAACAGACAAAACCAACCTTGTGAAAAAACAATTGTTAATGCAAACAAGTGTTCCAAAATTGTTTGAATTTGATTATGAGAAAACATGATCGATTGCTTGGTCGTTAGTCATTGCGACCAATCTTCGATTATTTCAATTAATCGGACCACCACTAGTTAGCTGTAGTCGTCAGTCCAGTCTACAGCCTAATACTATAAGCAACTGCTAAGTGTGTGAGCATATGTCCAGTCCATGATGTTTTATTTTGTGTGTGTGTATTTTTTTTGCAATTTTGGGTCAGAAAAAGTTGACTATTGGTTGTATGCATCATAGTTGTGTATTGGTGTTAACTGAACTGTTATTTCCATGTTTATTTTTGATATTTTGGATTCTAACATGGTTGATGGCAAGATCAAAGGTGCAGTTCAACATGTAAACAACATCGTACTGGTAATAGCAGAGGAAAAGACCAGAGCATGCAATATATGCAGATATATTGTTCATGTATATTTTATGATGATGTTCATGGTTCCATGATCCGTGAAGATCCAGGTTAGAATTGATCTTCAGTAACCCATCTTTGTCGTAAGAGGCGAATTAGGGGGATCGGGTGGTCAGGCTTGCTGACTTGGTTGACACATTTCATTGTATCTCAAATACGTAGATCGATGCTCATGCTGTTGATCGCTGGATTGTCTGGTCCCGCCTCCATTATTTACAGACCGCCTCCATATAGCTGGAATATTGCTGAGTGTAGGGTAAAACTACACTCACTCCATGATCCATGATGTTATGTCTACTGTGACATCCCGTTCAGCAAACTTGGACAACAACTTCAATACATCGATTCACACAGATGATGTAATGATAACTAGGACACCTTCATAATAGCTCTGAAGAACTGATCTCAGAAGTGCATTTGCAGGAAAGAACTGAGCCACTGCTACTGTAACTAATCAACATGAGAAGTTTACCTTGGGAAGAATAACAAATCTACAATAAGAAGTTTGTTTGCAGAGTAAAACATCAACAATAAAGTGTTCCTTGGAAGAGTAAAGAATCAACAGTATGAAGTTCTTTGGGAGAGTAATGAATCTGAAATAAGTGATTTTCGGAAGGCTTGGATATTGAGCCATTTCTTGTTATGCTAGGAATTGCATTTATGAAAGACAATCATTTGTTTAATTTGATGAATGACATTTTCTGAATGATTTATATGATTGTTATGACACTACCTGTTCTGAGGTTTTGACCCCAAACCTGACAATTGTGGTAAACTTTTCAACAAAATTTATGCAAGTTAGCTTAGCAAAATAGTTGCTGTCCTTGGGTATGATAAGAACCCACGATTGTTGGTTCAAATCCCATTTCTCCCTGATTAGGTTTCAATGTTTGTCAGCAGAGTACCTGTACTCATCAGTTTCACCAAGGTCTTAAATACCAGTGAAGGTCCAGGCTAGAATGTAGATCTTCAGTAACCCATGCTTGTCGTAAGAGGCGACTAACGGGATCGGGTGGTCAGGCTCGCTGACTTGGTTGACACATGTCATCGGTTCCCAATTGCGCAGATCGATGCTCATCCTGTTGATCACTGGATTGTCTGGTCCAGACTCGATTATTTACAGACCGCCTCCATATAGCTGGAATATTGCTGAGTGCGGCATAAAACTAGACTCACTCTCTCAAGGTGTTAAACATGTGGGAGAAGCATCACTCAAGCTGAAACACCATGTTACAAGTGGAGTACTGTTAAAAGCATCATCGGTCCCAACTCGCCATAAAACCCCCAATCCTCTGAAATATCTCTTCCTTCAAGCTGCTGTACAGGACTCATGATTAATATGAAATAGACCAGAAATTTACTACCTGATTATATAATGCAACAGACATCGCTTTTCCGTTTTGGATTGACATTAATAAGTCTGGAACAAATTACATTTTAGCCCAACCAATAACATGAGTTTTTTTATGAAAATGTATTTTCTAGATACAATTGTAAAACTTTGTTAATCATTGCGCTTATCATGTAAATAAATTTGGAACCACATCAAGTTTGAAGATATGAACTTAATGTTGAATGTAAAGGCTCAGTTAGCAGAGGATGTAAGAACCGTGAGTCAGCATCTTTGCTGTGTGTCTTTTATTTAGTTTAATCTATGAATTTTTTTTCATTCTGATGATGGTATTGTACCTTTTTTTGTATTTATGTCTTTCTGGAAACCTGAGGGTTTCAGAAATTTGCAAGTCTTGTTTTAGAGGTTTAGTGATTTTCCGCATTATTAAAGGTGCTTTCAACACTGAGAATCTGTTTAGAGAAGTGCACTAAATGTCTTTGAGCATTATTTGTAGATGGGTGTGAGATTATTTGTTGGCAAAGGTACATCAACTAATCATTGCAACTTTAGAACATGTTAAGCTTTCTGTTTATTTTTCATTATGAGAATAAAGTTTATATAGTTTTTCAAATATGTTTATGTTGTATTTCATTTTGATGAAATGAAAAGGTCTGCACTAGTTTCATACATGGGAAGTGATATATTCTTGACTCGGAAGGCTAAAGGTACTCTGGTATCAATATTCAATATTTTCACTTGTAAATCAGTGGGATAGAACACTAACCTGTGTCAAGCTGTATCCACTTCGCAATGCATTTCACTTGCCCATGGATGACTTGTCACCTGAGAGAATGGTGACATTGGCATGAAATGAAATGCACACCTTTCATTTTTTGAATGAAAAATACAGGGGAGTTACCAAAATTATTAGTTTACTGAAACTGATACCAGTCTGATAAAGAGAAATGGAAGAATAGGTATACCACTCTGCTTCAGGACCTTCGTCTTGTGAAGTTGTTGCTGACAATCCGTGACCATTTTGTGAAGGGATATGATGGTGTCCTACTGACAACTCCGTAACAATGAACTGGGCATGTCCATTTGGTTGGTAAACTGTGCTACGTTCAGTGCCTTGATTTCATCAGGATAACATTTGCAAAATAACATTCCTCATCTTGACTGCTGGACCATAATTTCTAGGATGAGAAATGAGAGCTGTACTCTTCCTTCAGATGATCCTGTCCAGTTCACAAGAATTGCTCATGCCTTGCCCAGTCCAGGTCTTTCAACTGCACTCCAGGCTACTATATTATAATCCTGTATGGTACCAGTGTGGTTTCTGGTGAAACCCCTTCTAAATGGTGTGCTGGTCACTGCTGGGAATTAGCTCAACAAATCATCCGAAGTCACAAGAAGCTAATTACAATTTTATTTACAAGATATTACTCTTACAGATGCGAATTCCTCATTACAGGAGGAATGGCTGTCATCCTGGCTTGTTGCTCGATGGCAACTCTGATGCTTTTCTGATTTAAATGTATTCAGTGAAATTTGTGTCATCTTTGAATTTCTGATAATGATGTGTGTTTATTGAATATTGAAGACACTGATCCAAAGCAAGTGTTCAGTAGTGTTGGGAACTGACCTGATGGAGCAGTATAAAAGCGAAACAACGGGTTGTTATCAGATACATTTTAGGATATTTGAGTATTAATGTTACTGTCTGAATTCTACACTTTGGTGTCTTTTAAACTCAATTTACAGACTTTTCTCATAAGTATCTGATGGTTATCCAAGATGTACTGAAGTAAAAGTATTAAACAGAATGTTTTGTTTCACAAAAGTGCAACAGTTGTCACTTGGAACTGCAGAAGAATGATTCAGCTTGTGAAAGTACTGAAGACATTAAATATAACATGAGAATTTTCTTTGGAATTTGTTCTTGGAAATTATGCATAGTATATCCATATCAGGACATTCAGCATGCCACATCTAACAGATGGACCAGGGGAGTTATTTAGACAAGTCATGGCATTGAAAGTTTGCAAGGAAATGTTGTATAAGAAGTGTGATTTAAACTCTTATCAATAGGAGTAACTGTTTTCATCAAGTTGGTAAATATCAACTGAAGGCTTTGTTCAAAGTGTTTGTTCAAAAGTGAAGGTCATGGCTCGTTTTTGCAAAAAAATTGACGTTCTGTTTTTCAGGCATATTACATATTACAGTACTTACATCAGAAGTTCAATCTGTCCAAAGACATGAGAATAGGATCGGTTACATAACACATGAAATGTATACTGTTCATTGATAGAAGCTTACCCATGTGGTTTAGTAGCGCTCATGTCAGCTCAAGGTCACAGTGAAAGCTGTAGGGTATTTGCTCAGTAAAAGTCACCAAAAGGATTTCACTCAGATGATCTCCTCCAGAAACCATTGAGTATTTGCGGATAACTTTCATCATGTTGTTGATGTAAAGATGGTGGTTCTGCCAATGATGTTGACTTTGGTCCTAATAATGAGTTCATGATGATGATGTTGAATTTCTACCTTAGCCATTTTGGCATTTCCAGCAGAAGCAAATCCATAATGCTGGGAAACCCAAGTTTTCATCAAAGGAGGATGTACCTACTTGGTAAAGCAATAACACAATGACCTTTTCGGTTAAAAGATTTAAGATTGTTAAGGGTGATGTAAGAGATATATTGTTCATATCCTAGTGAATAAATTGAAACCAATCCTCCATGGCAGACTTTCTTCTGATCATCTTAACAAGTATAAAATTAGGAGATAATCCTATTGTGTTTACATTTTGGAAGTGATTGTCTCCATTCTACCATGACATATGCACCATGAATAAAACGCAGTTTTAGATATGCACTCATTACCCTTGCGTAGTGTTTGTAAGGGTTAATGAGTGCAAAATATTCCTACACACAGTGAACCGAATAAGTGGTTATTGAAAATGTTTCACTTCTAATTTTTTGGTAACAGCCAATCAAAAATGAACATACTTAAATGTCATGGTAGAATATATTTTAGTCAGTTTTCATCTTTGTAGATGTTTCCTTAGCTTTCTTGTTGAAGAAATGACTCATTAACAAACTTGGGTTTGATTCCCAACATGGGTACAATGTGTGATGCCCATTTTTCTGTTCTCTGATCTGATTTTGTGTCCAGGTATTTTTGATATCATCAATTTATGGACTGACTTACGGGATCTATGTGCATGTCTGTTGTTTCTGTTTACATTGCAGGGGCGGTGGGGTAGCCTAGTGGTTAAAGCATGCGCTTGTCATGCCGAAGACCCGGGTTTGATTCCTCACATGGGTACAATGTGTGAAACCCATTTCTGGTGTCCCCCGTCGTGATATTGCTGGAATATTGCTAAAAGCGGCGTACAAATAAACTCACTCGCTCACTGTTTTGAATTGCACCTAGAAAATCATCTTCTTTGAAAGCCAAGTTGTCTAAGGTGCAGCAGTTACTGTGCGTAGTTGTGTCACGCCGTCATGCCAGCCTGTCATTGTGGTTTGGAAGTGCAGATTCCTTTAATCTTGCTCATCGGTTTTTCAGCATCATACCTGCGCTCATTGATTTGACAAAAGCTTTAAACGATGGGACATGCATCACTTTGGGTGTTCCTCCTACATGTCATACAGGTCAAAATAATACTGAAATACTATTTACCTTGAAACCACTCACTCACTTTAATCTCTTTACAATATTTAACTGAATTTGTACAAATATCTATATCAGAATATTTGCATAAACTTATCATTGTATCATTAGGTACATGAAGTGGGGTTGCTACATAAGATTGGGATACAGCTTGCCAAGTACCTAATATTATCCAAATATTTCAAAATATTTTCATTTTTAAAATTCGAAAAATATTTTGAAATATTTTTATAATATTTGGTTCTTTCAGATATATAGTAAGCAGCAAACTCGAATTGATTTCAAGTATGAAACAAGCATAAGATTGTTAAGATAGCAATTATTATGGACCCTGTGATAGATGTTATATAAAACTGAACATAAACTGACGGGCAAAAGTTAGTATATGACGTTTTGAACGTTCTGTAACAAAGACATACACCGAAATTCCCCAAAAATATTTAATGCATCATAATAAAAAATCACTTGAGCTGTAAATCACAAAAAATCAACAATTTCATGCAAGGAGTTTGTGAGCCGCTGTCAAGTAAACACGCAAGGGGTGGAATTTTGCATAAATCGATTATCACAATCTGAGTTAATGAGTCAGTAGCAGGGCATTCCTTGAATACAGGATCTTGTGCACATCAGTATCGTGTGTGACCCCTGCTTGCGTCAATGCATGCCCTCACATCGCCCTCATTGACGTCGTCAAACGTCGAATGGCGTCATTGGGATCTGCGGTTCCATTCCTCTCTGAGTGCTTGCTCTAGCTGTTGCCTGTTCTGTGGAACTTGTTGCCGACCCTGATCTTCCTGTCCAGATGATCCCAGAGGTGCTTTCGATCGGGTTCATATCCGGTGAGCACGCTGGCCAGGGCAGGACGCCAACATTGTTCTGTTGCAGAAAGTAGCGAGTCTCTCTCTGGCAGTGTGAGGTCTCGGCGTTGTCATGTTGTAGGAGTACACCCGGGGTTGATTCTGTAGGAAGGGTACCACAACTGGCTGTAGGATCTGTCCGATGTACCCCTCGTGCATTGAGATTGCCCTGCACTACAACCAGGCGGGTCTTCTGGTCTCCACAGATACCGCCCCAAACCATGACTCCACCCGCCCGAATGGATGAACTTCTCTGATGCATGGCCTTGCTAAACGTTCCCCTCGTCGGCGATATACCCGTTCTTTGCCATCACACTTGTAAAGGGGTGAAGCGGCTTTCATCGGGAAAAAGAGAACACGCCGCCAATCTCGGACTTGCCACCTGTATACTTACCTTGCCCACCGCTGTCTGTTTTGGCGATGTCTGAGGGTCAGGACCATTCGGCGGAAAGGCGGGTAAGCCCTTATACCAGCTAATCTCAATCTTGGTCACTGTGCGGCGACTGATACACGATGCCCGAAAGCGTAGCAGCCCGTCGGCGTTGCCGCCATTCTAACCTGTTCGAGGAGATGGATAGTCCGGATGTAGCGGTCTTCTATGGGTGTAGTGACCGTGGCGAGTCCACTTCTCGGGCTGTCTTGAGTGCTACCAGTATTCGGTAACGTGTGAACAGCCTGGAGATTGTTGCTGGGGGTACAGCCGACGTTCTGGCAAGATGAGCTTGGGTAGCTCCCATATCGCTGCAGATTCCATGGCTCGCTTTCGCTGAATTTGTGTCAGCTTCGGCATTTTGCATGTGCTTTCAGTTACTGTGATATGCCAGCGTGTATCCATCCCATTTCTACCCGACTGGTGCACGTGCATGTTCGTGATTTTCAAAGATTACATGTTATACCTTTTTCTCGTGCTAGGGGTCACGTGACTACATCTACTGACATCACTACCATTCTGCAATATTCTCGTGACTTTGACAATGTTTGCTTTGGATGTTTCATTGGAATTTAGACATGCTCAATTTCCCCAAACCAAATTGAAAACGTTATACTAACTTTTGCCCGTCAGTTTACAATAAAAGAATATAATCAATGTGATGACTTTTCATATAATAAATTTTGGCTAGATTGAAAAAAGAGATAACTGATGTTTTCAAAGATCAAAGTCCCCAGATATATATTGTAGTATAATCAGTATTTGTACTCGTTTGACTATAGTAATTTCCAAAAGATAATAGTGGTTAGTACTGCCGATGGTATCTCCATGATCATGTACATTTAAAGTGACATTGCTGTAAGGAGCTTGAAATGCAGATTGGACAGAGGTTGTTTTTGTCACTGCCTTGATGGCAGAGCATATGTTTTCCATTTTACATACCGGTATAGCTAGGTGAAGAAGCAGAAGATGAGGCTTTGTCTTGTTATTTTGTAACAGTCCTCCTTTAGTATCAATAATGTAATCCGTCAGCTTCCAGCACAACTAAGTGTCTGAGTAACAGCTTGCTCACTCCATAATGCAAAATTAAGTTTGATCTGTGCTTTACAGAGCAGTAGGGGATCATCAGAATGGTCCTACACAATAGGTCCAGTTTGAATAGGCAAGTGGGTGGGTGGGTGAGTAAATGAGCATTTCTAAACGCCACATAAGCTGTTTGTTTTTGAACAACATTTAGCAGTTATTTTTCTGAGTATTTGATGTCTACGCCAAAAGGAATGACTATCATGGGGGTAGCCTTTTGGAAAAGCTTTGGCTTGTCACGCCGAAGACAGCTTCATGGTACAATGTGTGAAGGCCCATTTCTGGTGTCTTCCCTCCTCTCTCTTCTCTCTGCCCCCCCTCCTCCGGTGATATTGCTGGAATATTGCTAAAAGCAGCGTTAAACTAAACTCACTCACACTCTGCTATCATTGGAAGGTTTTTTTTGTCGTGGTTGAACAGCTGCAAGATTATTGATGCAGTGTTATGAAGTGATTACTCATGTTGGTCTTTGTGCTTTGTTTGGTCATTCACGATGGGTTGATTAAAAGAGACAGGTGTTCACTGAAGAATTTCATCAGAATATTGGCTCATGAAAATGAATCCCTTGTTATACAGCAACTGTTTAATGAGATCCATTAACATGCCAAGACATTTATGTTGCCATCATCATATGCGTTGCTGTTATGCTGGTGTTTCATGTGAGTTTCATGTGTGTTTCATGTGAGTTTCACACGTCCCTGGGCCCTTATGCCTGTTGTAGTAAGTTTGTCCTACTTACTACATCTTTGATTAACTCCAAATGTCTCCACCGAAATCTAAAACAGTTAAAAAAGCTATTTCAGTATTCCACAGGGCAGTGGGTTAGCCTAGTGGATAAAGCAATTGCTCGTCAAAAACCTTTGTGCGATTCTCCACATGGACACAATGTGTGAAGCCCATTTCTGTGTCCCCCCCACCATGATATTTCTAGAGTATTGATAAAAGCAGGCGTAAAACCATACTCAGTGTTCCACCTAAGACCCAAATTAAGAAGTCTGCACTTCCACAAGTAATACATTTCAAGAAGGACTAGTGACCATTATTGAGGACTAGCTTCATGGTCCTTGGCAGCCTGGAGTAACAGATGAGATATTTATCAGGGTGGCCAGCCTAGGTGACTAGTTGATTTTGCGTCAGGAGTCAGTATAATGTGTCTGAGTGGGGTCTTCATGCTTCACTGCGGGATGGTATCTCAGTGGGGTCTTCATGCTTCACTGCGGCATGGTATCTCAGTGGGCTAGCGCTATAAAACCAGCTTCAGTCTGGGCTAGTACAAACAGCCTCACATACACATACACACGCATGCACATCGTCATATGAGCGAAATATTCTCAAGCACGACGTAAAACCCAATTTCACCTCACCTCACCTCTGATTTAAAACCCATGGAAATACAATGATCCTGAGTCTGTGCATGAAAAAGGGTTTGTTCCTCATGCTGAAGACCCAGGGTCAATTCCCCTTGTGGGTACAATGTGTGAAGCCATTTCTTGTGTTCTAGGATATGATATTGCTGGAGTATTGCTTAAAAAGGCTCAGAATGCATGAATACAGTAAACAACATTTCTAATAAACACGCTTATCACAAACTGACAGATACAGTGCTCTATTAGCTGAATAACAGTTAAGTCAAACTAAAATAAGTGTTTCCTTTGAGAACTTTGCTGTATATGTTCGATGAGGAATATTGTATATGTAATCTGAGTGCTCATTGGTCAGAGTGAGTGAGTTTGGTTTTACGCCGCTTTTAGCAATATTCCAGCAATATCATGGCGGGGACACCAGAAATTGGGCGTAACTCATTGTACCCATGTGGGGAATCGAATCCAGGTCTTCAGCGTGATTAGTGGACGCTTTAACCATTAGGCTACCCCACCGCCCCTCATTGGTCAGAGCACTGCTGGTTCCCCCGGTCAGGAACCAGGTCATGGTTTGATTCGTTGGTTAATACTGGCAACTAAGCCTTAAAGTGATCATGTATGTTGAATGGTGTAAAGGAGGGAATGTATACCAACCCGAGAAGAATTTACAAGGGTGTGAGATTATGGTCAGATTACACCATAACTGAGTTTTCCGGTTCACCAGACTAGTTGATGGCCATGATTATTGTCACATAAGCTTTCATCCCCTTTTAGCCAGCTTGTCATGATGTTGCTGAAAACTGGGAATGTATGGGAAACTCACACTGGTATGGATGTAGCTGGTGCAGTCAATGTTGCCCCAGTGGGATGGCAGTCAGAGTAGTTTCCCCTTTTTTACAGAGTTACATCCCTTGGGCACAACTGATTGTTTGCTGTATCATGGTTTACCTCGATGTTGTTTCCAGGTTCGTCAGCACCTTATGTGTAGGTGTCACCGAACTTGTAAATGTCTGTGACCTGTTTCAGACTTTCCTCCTACTGTATACTGATACGTCATGATATGACAGGATTGTTGTTCAAAGACGCTTTACACCAAACCTACCTGCTCATTGCTGGATCCACTTGCACAAAGAGATTTTAGCGCTATGATGATCGTAAGCCTATGTTAAAGTATAGGAGTTACGATTACCTAAGTGCTAAGATAGCTTTGTACAAGCTGCCCTGTTCTTTTGAAGAACCAGATCTGATAGCTACAACAGAACCCTTGGCCGATTGTGTCAAGGTACCCTGATGTCATTTAATGGTCTTGCTGTCATTCACCTGCTTATTTGAATACACATTTCTTCAATATGTCTAGTCTTGGCACCAATATATGGAAGAGTTGGTTTTTAACCTTGGGTCACCATTGTGGAGAATCAAACCAGGACCTTGCTTTAATCCCTTGAATACCCTGTTGCCCATCTGGTGCCAACAGTGTACCAAAGTGTAAGGAGTGTTCCATACCTCAGAACCAATTACTTTGAGGTCTCTGGGGCCATTTGTACTGTTCCAGAAGTCTTGGAGCATCAACTATTGCCATAATGTATTGGTCCTAATATTCACACCAGGAAAATAACAAAGGAAGGCCCTCATGAAAACACTACACAAGTACCCTTGTGTTCAGGGTTGAAATGAAGGGAACAGACTTAGCTGAAATGTCAGTGAAAGAAAATGTTGAACTTTAGGGCTGTCATTTATTGTAAGGGGTATGATTTAGAGGTTCTTGATGCACATATGTACTGACAATAATGACCCTACTTTAATGACGTCATACATTTGGGTGACCCTGTCCCATGTCCTTGGTTCATTACCCTCCTGAAAAGCCAAAACGCACTTTATATTTTATTAGAAAAACGTCCATTTTGTATGACCTCCCCTAGAGAATATCATATATTAGGGTGACCATCTTGATTCCCTCTGACAAGTGACACGTCCCAGATTACCTTCCCTCAAGCAGCTGACACCCATGAAGATCCGGGTTAGAATTGGTCTTCAGCAACCCATGCTTGTCATAAGAGGCGACTAACGAGATCGGGTGGTCAGACACACGTCATCGTATCCCAGTTTCATAGATTGATGCTCATGCTGTTGATCACTGGATTGTCTGGTCCAGACTGGAGTATTTACAGACCACCGCCATATAGCTGGAATATTGCAGAGTGCGGCGTTAAACAACAACCAAACCTTCCCTCGAACAGCTGACAATTATGATGCATCTGTTATGTGAGTCATACACTCCTAACTGATCACTTACATCTGGTCTGAGACGAGCACAAAGCTAAACAAATATTACCGTATGGATTATTTAGGTACAGACAAGTTCTGAAAATTCATCATTCGCAAGTGATTTACATAGCTCTATAAATTATACCAAAATGACCATTGTGAAAAATACAATGGTTAGTTAGTAAAAGCAATTAGGTCATTGACTTTGTTATTTTACCCAAGAAGGAGAATGACAAAGAATGATGTCTGAGTGAGTTTATTGTTTTGGTGGTTTTTGTTTCAAATGGGATGGTGGTAAAAACATTAGCTCATCAGGCCGAAGGCTTGTGTTTCATGAGTGAAGTCCATTTCTAGTGTCCCCAGATACTGATATTGCTGGAATATGGCTAAAAGTGACATAAAACTATACTAACTGACTCACTCTTGTTTCAAGCTTAACTTGACTTAGCACAGCTACTTTCAGATTGAAATTGGGTAAATTTGTCTGTTTGGGACCCCTAGTGCCAAATATTAGTTAATTTCATACATTTAAGAGTGGATGATTTGGGTACAGCTGACAACTGCAGAAATACAGCAATATTATTGACAGATTAAACGTCATCCATACAATCCAATAATGACACTGAAATGGGGCAATAAAATAATTACATTTTGCCCAGGCTGGCGACAGATTAATTGGTTGATGTGTCACTATGGCGATGGGCAGCAGGATGGGAAAAGTTGAATTATGTTTTGTTGTAGGAAAATAGCACCTTTCATCCAGTCATCCAGCTATTTCTGACATTATTTCCTCTGTACATAATTGGATAAGTCTTTGGGGAAATTCTCTTAAACCACCTACACAATAAATCCTGGTATCATTATTAATGGAAATACCTCAGAAACATGGTATATAAGGTATGGAAGTTGGACAATTAACTATTTATGAAGTCACAAATGTTTCCAGCAATACAGCCACTTATATATTGTGTAAGTACTAACCCATGTTCAATGCCAAGACATAAATTAATAACATTATATACTGTTACCCACACACCAATTAACACTTCGTTTCATCTCATGATTCTTTGAGTTTGAAACAAACATAATGTCTCTCATAAATCATCAGGCACTCTTCATTGTCCAGTAAATTAATTATTAACTGTCAATGAAAATGTATTGATAATCATTTCAAATGAATTTTAGTCCCTTTGTGTGTATTTCTAAAACCCATCTCTTTAGAAATGAAATGAATACAGCTGAAATCAATGGTGACCCCCCAGTTTGTTCAAAAGGTTTGAATGCAAGTATCCGCAGCCATTTTGAAAAAAAATACTATGGCAATCATTCTGAGGCATTTTAGTTCAAAATTTAATCTAGTTGGGTGTATGTTTAGCTGGATTTGATGTATTTGAGATGATATTTTCCCAATATTTTAATGTCGCATCTGGCAATTTATCTTTTGTAATTACTCTCAAATTTTGTAATTACTCTCATATTTGGCTCTGTAAACATGTCTGAAATTGTTAGGATCTGAATTTTGGTGTGGATGTTCTTCCTTTTGAGGGGCGGTGGGGTAGCCTAGTGGTTAAAGCGTTTGCTCGTCACACTGAAGGTCCGGGTTTGATTCCCCACATGGGTACAATGTGTGAAGCCCATTTCTGGTGTCCCCAGTCGTGATATTACTGGAATATTGCTAAAAGTGACGTAAAACCATACTCCCTCACTCCTCCTTTTGATGAAATCATTTTGTTCAATCTTTAGGATTTTAGTGCAGGACTTCAGTATATATGCTGTAAATACTTAAAAATCATAATTGGGTTTATTACTCTTAATGAAAAAGGTTAAAGATTATGAATTTTTCTTCATACCATACACATAACCTCTGTCTTCACTACAGGTATATCTCTTGATAATGTTCTTGATCCAGACATTCTGTACAGTGTACCTTGTTTCATGTAGATGAATACAAATGACTGCTGTGTGACATGATGTTAACACAGTTGAAAAACACACCCATTTGGTCAGTCGGGTGACCTCGTTTGACCTCTTTCTTTTCAACCTCTTGTGTCGTGACCTTTTGGACAGTCAGTTTCCATTACTCTGTGTTTTAAACATTTTATGACCCTTTTGTTATCAAAGAATTGTCAACCTTATGAAAGATAGAACTAGTTATGTATATTTATGGTATGTTCAGGCAGGGTTTTTACCTTGACTTACAAACATGGGGGTCCCGGGGTCCCCTAAGTATTAGTTTTAGGGTCCTTGCCGGCAATATGAGGGTGCTGTGAAGTAACAGTGTTGAGAACTGTATGTGTTGATAATTTCTTTAGAACCTAGAATGAATCATTGATCATGTGGACTGATGGATGAAATGAAACACGTAACTGCTCTGAAAGAAACAACCAAACACTTAGCAAAGCCATAGATGTGTTGTGGGTACAAAGAATCATATTGTGCGCCCCTCTTGACGCAGTGAATTGTTTTTCTGCGTCCATTATCTACATTTGTGCGTTCTGGACGCACATCTGCACGTTGCGTAAAACCCTCTTCATGGATTGTGACAAATTTCATGTTATCACTCTGACTGTAAACTTTTTTTGAACAACTTTTTGTGTAGAAATTTGATATTCAGTGGCAGGGGTTCAAAATTTGTTTAAAAAGCCACTTGCCACAGGGCAAGTGACTTTAAGAAAGTAACTTGTCCTGACTAATTTTCCACTTGCCCTGATTTTATGACATAATCATGATGATGTAATTATGAAAGAATAAATCAACATGGTATTTGATGTTAATGTTTACTGGACTATTTATTGAAAAGTGATAAATAGCAAAGAAAGATATCTCTACTTTATTATCATTGCAAAATTTAGTAGCTACATTTTGATATGAAATTAAATTTGCAGTTTGAAACCATAAGTGGAAATTATCTAGTAGCCCATGGACAAGTAAGATATCATTATTTGATTGCCCGAAATGAAAACTGACTTGTCCCGGGCGTCAGGCGATGGGATTTTTGAACCCCTGAGTGGACACTAATGTCTGCTGATTATTATGAAAATGTTTAATGGGTGATTTCTTCTTTTTTTTCAGTTCGTGACTTTACACTCAGAAATGTGGTTCCCAGAACCCAACGCACTAAGGTAGGTCCATATTTCTGTTGCCTTGGTTGTTTGGGGGATGATTGAATTCATATCCCATGTTGATATGGGTTCAACTGGCTTTCAGCAGTCCATGAAGGGTCTTTAGAGATGAATCATGTGAGTGGGAGGATTTCTGTAAAAAGTAATTAATGAAATTCACAGGTTTAAATTTCCCTTCTAATATCACAATGTTAGACGATAAATGTAAAGTAGCTGAAGGGATGAGTGATGTAGCATCAGTTGAGCTCAATATATCAATCGGTTGATTTTCCAAACTTTCTGATCAGTTATGATCATCACGGTCCAAGTACTCCTAGCAGTCCTGACAGGCTGCAAGATTCTTAAGTATCCCTAGAATGTGAGGTTATTTTTCACCCACGTTATGAGCACTATGTTATGCATATTGTGTGTCAGGTGTTGTCTTGGCATGGATGCAGTTTGCGTAATCTGTCACTTGTTCCTCACTACGAAAAATTTGATATAAAATTATGAGCTTTAAATTTTACTACTGGGAGCACAGGCAGGCAGTCCATTAAATCTCAGCTCTCAAATTAACTGATAGTCATTCAATATTTCCGTACAGATTTCTCTACCTTTTTTCACCTAAATCGCTTAAACAGAGCTACAGATAACTTTTTGGGTCATTGAGTTACAGACCCGTGCCAGTTATATTCGGACACTTGACGTAATGTCCATAGACTTACATGTTATTTCAGTGTAGCATAAATAATTTTCATGAAGTGAGTTTAGGATGGATCAATGTAAAATTTGACAGGTAAATTTGAAATCATCTCTGCTCTGCGCACATAATTTCAGTTCAGTTCTCCGACCAATATTTAACTAATGATATCACATTTATCAACTTTGGTATGGTTCCACAATGCACAATCCAATAGGCTGCCATGTTAAAGGAGTTCACGGCGCTGTACATATGTTGATTAATTGTTGCCATTCAATAAGTAAGCAACGGAAAATTAAAAAGAAATTATGTGATTATAGGTAAGATGATTCCTCACAACTGTGCAAAATTTGACTTGGATCTTACAAAATTGAAATTCATGAAAACTATTATGCTACACTAAATTAACATGTAAGTCTATGCAAATTATGTCAACTGGCACGGGTCTGTAAGTACTCGCTTGTGTTCATCTCATTTGGGTATCCTAATTTTCCTTTGAGTAACCAAATAAATTGCACTCATCTCACTCAAACTCAATTGGGTATTTTGCCATTTTCCATTAATTTTAAAAATATAATAAAGTTTAAATTTTAGTGTTTGTTATTTATATTTGATCTGTAATATGAGAAACAATAAGAAGGACTGCAAGTTGTCAAGTTCATATCCTGAAATAGAACTTCTCAAATATACCTCAGTGATTGTATCTATCCACAGGTACACAAGCTAATATTTGACGTTTTTGTGTGTACGTGTGTAAGATCACATTTATTGAGTATATACAAAAATTCAAGCGTACTTGTACGCAATAGACTTAATAGGAATTGAGTTTTCACATAAATATTTGCGTAATTTACGCAGATACGCAGCTTATCTGTACCTCTGCTTAAAGTTAACTTTGTTACCATGGTTAATGGTAAGTTGAATGCTCCTGATACTGATATTATTACTGTTATTATTACAGCCTGCGCAGCGATGTCTGAACAGGCACAGCTCAACTTTAATATCCCCAAGATCAAGAGGCAGTTGTCTAAAGGTACGTACAAACACCAGCTATCATTAGTTACACAGCTATTTGCTGTATTTTCTATTTCCAGCTATATCCGTATTTCCTGAGGCCAATGGCCATACCACCTCATTCTACCTGGGAAAGTTTTAAGCCTCAGGAAATATGGATTCAAACGGGATGTACTATCCCATACTACCTTGCAAATGGCTGTGTAACAAATTCATTACTTTTCAGTTTTTATTCGGGGCGATATAGTCAACGTCTCGTCCGTCTGTTTGTCTGTCTGTCTGTAATCATTTTGTTTCCAGAGCATAACTAGGAAACTGTTCAATATTTTTCAACAAAAAGTGGTGCCTTTTGCTATTTATAGATTTTTGGCATTTTTATTTTTCTGATTTCCATGGAAACAATTTGAACTTAGTGTCAAAAAGGGTAGGATTTTGTTTTTGGTGCATAAGTCATAAAGGCAGATCCCCACGCGGTGCCTTTTGCTATTTGCAGATTTTTGGCATTTACATTTTTCATGATTTCCATGGAAACGATTCGAACTTAGTCTAAAAATATGAAGTTGGACTTTAAGTAAGTGTCAGATGGTTTGGGGTCTGGGGGATTTGTCATCTTGTTATGACTCTTGTTTTATTTGAATTTTGTGTGTTTTAGCAACCATTTTCATCCATTTCTCTTCTTGTATTTCTGCCACAGTATGTTTCACAAAGCATTTTGTCGTGATTATTGTCACAGACCAACATTATCAAATATTATTCAAAGGGATGTAACTCTTGTAGGCTTGAAAGCTGTGTTGACAGGGACTTGATATTTCAAATAATACCAGTTTAGGAAATGTCTTTAGGGCCAATTTGTGACCACTTCAGAGATAAATAATAGCATATTCTCCAAGAGGTTTAATGAAAAGAACTTTTCATAAAAAGAATAGTTGAATTCTGCTAGCGAATTGGATTTCAATGTCAAGGTCATCCATACTACCCTTTGGAACAAGGAATAATGGATTCATATTACCTGTGAAACTTTACTGTACTGTTTCATACGGTATATTTAATACTTGACCTAAGTGTTTTGACCTAAGAGTTTGGCTAGTTGAATGTAATTATTGTCCAGATGTTGAGTTACCCTATTTCCGTATAATGTTTGACGTGGTAGTGGGTTACCCAATTTCAGTGATGGACACTGGATTTTAGTCCAGTGATTGATCAGATAGTTGGTTACCCTATTTTAGTACAATGATTGATCAGATAGTGAATTACCCTTTTTTAGTCCAGTGATTGATCAGATAGTGACTTACCCTATTTTAGTACAATGATTGATCAGATAGTGGATTACCCTATTTTACTACAATGATTGATCAGATAGTGAATTACCCTATTTTACTACAATGATTGATCAGATAGTGAATTACCCTATTTTACTACAATGATTGATCAGATAGTGAGTTACCCTATTTTAGTACAATGATTGATCAGATAGTGAGTTACCCTATTTTAGTACAGTGATTGATCAGATAGTGAATTACCCTATTTTAGTACAATGATTGATCAGATAGTGAGTTACCCTATTTTACTACAATGATTGATCAGATAGTGAGTTACCCTATTTTACTACAATGATTGATCAGATAGTGAATTACCCTATTTTAGTACAATGATTGATCAGATAGTGAGTTACCCTATTTTAGTACAATGATTGATCAGATAGTGGGTTACCCTATTTTAGTACAATGATTGATCAGATAGTGACTTACCCTATTTTACTACAATGATTGATCAGATAGTGAGTTACCCTATTTTACTACAATGATTGATCAGATAGTGAGTTACCCTATTTTAGTACAATGATTGATCAGATAGTGAGTTACCCTATTTTAGTACAATGATTGATCAGATAGTGGGTTACCCTATTTTAGTACAATGATTGATCAGATAGTGGGTTACCCTATTTTGATCAGATACAAGTACAATGATTGATCAGATAGTGAGTTACCCTATTTTAGTACAATGATTGATCAGATAGTGGGTTACCCTATTTTAGTACAATGATTGATCAGATAGTGAGTTACTCCTATTTTAGTACAATGATTGATCAGATAGTGACTTACCCTATTTTAGTACAATGATTGATCAGATAGTGAGTTACCCTATTTTAGTACAATGATTTGATCAGATAGTGAGTTACCCTATTTTAGTACAATGATTGATCAGATAGTGAGTTACCCTATTTTAGTACAATGATTGATCAGATAGTGGGTTACCCTATTTTAGTACAATGATTGATCAGATAGTGAGTTACCCTATTTTAGTACAATGATTGATCAGATAGTGAGTTACCCTATTTTAGTACAATGATTGATCAGATAGTGAGTTACCCTATTTTAGTACAATGATTGATCAGATAGTGACTTACCCTATTTTAGTACAATGATTGATCAGATAGTGGGTTACCCTATTTTAGTACAATGATTGATCAGATAGTGAGTTACCCTATTTTAGTACAATGATTGATCAGATAGTGGGTTACCCTATTTTAGTACAATGATTGATCAGATAGTGAGGTTACCCTATTTTAGTACAATGATTGATCAGATAGTGAGTTACCCTATTTTAGTACAATGATTGATCAGATAGTGAGGTACCTGTTTGAGTTACCTGTGAGGTACCTGTTTCATCACTGGTGTGCTAGTACTGAGACACTGATTGTATAATATGTAAGTCTATTTTGATTTGTGCTTTGTTTTTCTTGTAGACAACTTGAGGAATGTCACCCTCACTAGTCGTGATGCAACCGAGTTGCTGCAGGCCATTGACCGGTGTTACCTTGACCAGGAGGTTCGAGGTCAATGGGAGGTCAAGGCCATACAAACCTTTGACAATCGGGAATTAGAGAAGGAATACAGGTATGTCTCCATCGAGCTAAATATTTGCTTCATCTCTGATGATAGTGATTAGCCTACCTTTGTCTATGGTAGTTTTCCAGAAAAGCAAATACCATCATTTATGTCAATAGTTTCTTAATAATATTAAGTGCAACATGTAAGATATCATTAAGTAACAGTGTCCTCATTCAAGCCAAAATTGTAGGAATTATATGATCCTTTTTGAGGTGATAATTCATGTCCCAATTTTAAACTACAATTGCATCCAGGTTAGAATTGGTCTTCATTAACCCATGCTTGTCGTAAGAGTCGACGGGATTGGGTGGTCACACTCGCTGACTTGGTTGACACATGTCATTGTATCCCAGTAGCGTAGATCGATGCTCATGCTTTTGATCACCCGATTGTCTTGTCCAGACTCGATTATTTAACGACATATAGCTGGGATATTGCAAAGTGCGACATTAAACTGCAAACAACAAACAAACTAAACTACAGTTGAAACATTAGTTAGATTGGTTACTGATCATGACAGCAATATTTATTCAATGTCACTTGTAATGATTGTCAAATGTGTGTCAGCTCTAACCTTCATGTTTGACAATGTTTCATGTTACCAGAGAAAAGCGTGCAGAGCTGAAGGAGTCAGGGCGCCATGCCCGGGAATTGACGGAACAGTATGCCTTCGTCTACTTCAGGGAACCATCTGGCATTGTGCCAAGCATAGCCAAAAATGGACTGCGAGCAAAACCCAGCAACTTTAATTGGCTTGGTAAGTTCATTTTGGTGTTTGAGTGGGAAATTGTTGAAAGCAGATTCTGGCATGATTTCAGACATGCAAGTTTGAAGTGATTGAGGAATGATGTTTTGTCCATGTTTGAGTGATAAATGTATGACCGCTGTCAATGAGCGTCATTTTATGTGTGTCCTGGTGAAATTTATGCTGGTCATCTTTATGTAGCCTTTTGGCAGCCATTTAGTTAACACATCTTCTAGCCATAGAAGGAATACCTGATGCAGTGCTGCTCAGGCAATCGTTCAGTCAAAGCTTGCACCTTTATTTCACCAGTCTTCACAGATATTGTACCAAATATACAGTCATGTTAAAGCACCAAAACCCTTTCCATGTCCATAAGAAACGTCTGCTAAAAGTGTTGATTGTACAATTCATAATTTTGTGTGTGTGAGTGCGTGCGTGCATGCATGCGTGCATGATGTGTGCGTTTGTTTGTTTGTTTGTTTGTATGTACTCGTCAATATTACAACTGTATGATGTCTATGTGAAAATAATTGAGTCTGGACTAGACAGTCCAGTGATTGACAACATGAGATATGATGACAGAACATATGTTTGTGAATAACTATACTATTCACACTTTGCTAAGGATCAAACCATTGATTTAACTGAAAACTATGATGTGGGGTCTAATTTGGTTCAAATATCTAAGCTTATTGTAAGCATGGATCCTATGTTTCAGTATGTCACTGCATCTTGTGGATCCCATACCTTTCAGGTGTGTCATTAGATGCTGCATCTTGTGATATCCCATGAACATAGAGCTATTGACATCTTCTTGTGTTCTCGAGTACAACGTTTCAGGGCTTGTTCTGGCCCCATCATCAGGTAAACTGAACAGTAACTTTGTTAACCGGCTTGTTCTGGATGATCATCAGGTAAACTGAACAGTCCATGAACTTTGTTAAAGTTACTGGTTGATTGGTGCCATCAAAACCAAACGTTTTATGGTTATTCATGTATCAAGACTTCATGATTTGCAAAATGGTTGATTGATCAAAAACATTTTTATGGTTATTCATGTATCAAGTGCATAAGGTTAGATTAAAGTGGCTGTTTGCCTAAAGAGGGTTTACCATATCATTATTTATCTAGTTTTAAATGGATACAATTTCAAATTATAAATCTATGTTTAAGTAAAGTTGGGAATTTTTGTGATCCTTAGCAAAGTGTGAGTAGTATATCAAATAGTGATGATACCAGGTGTTCACGAAAAAGGTGACATTATCTTGCCCCACATGTTGCACCCATCATAAACATATGTAAAGGCCTGTAATTGTCAGCCTGCAAATAATTGCTGACTCTTGCTTTACTTTACACTTGATGTGACGTGAATGACGTTATTTAATACTTGCATTCACTAAAGGAGACACAGGTGACCTTGTGTCTGAGGTTCACAGTTCGCCAGGCAGAGTAGCATCTCTTACATGTTGCATAAAACATTTAAGGTCAACCCACGTGTTCCTAACCTGGAAATAACTGCACATTTAAGGCTTAATTTAACAGGTTTAAGCATATTATGTAATTGTAATATATATATGTTGCGTACTACATAATTTGCAGTTACAAAATTATGCTTACAAAATTTGTAAACTCATAAAAAACTGTCAACATCTCTTCGTGTTATCTTCACTGGAGTGAAGCACATGGCAAACCGCCAGTCCCACTCTTAGAGTTACCTCCCTTGCCCCTTGGACATAAACATGTGGATTGCAACCCAGAACAATTAAATCTTTCAGTTACAATAACATTTGTTTGAATCCCAGATTTGCCCTGATTATGTTTCCAGGTTGGTCAGCACCATATCAGTATGTGTGGATTATACTAAAGTGGTCAAATTATAAAACCTGCAGAGTTTTGGTCTTACCTCCTTCGCCAAGAGGGCAGTGGATTAGCCTAGTGGTGAAAGCATTCGCTTGTATAGCCAAAGATCCGGGTTCGATTCCCCATACAATGTGTGAAACCCATTTCTGGTGTCCCCCGTCGTGATATTGCTGGAATATTGCTGAAAGTGGTGTAAAACTAAACTCACTCACTCCTTCACCAAGCTGACATGCAATGATCTTACCTAATATCACTGTTCACTGTAGCATTAAACCAATCAGTCACTGACTCATTCAGTAAGACTGCACTGTATGACTGGGTCCAGCTGTACAATAAGTAAATATCACAGCCGCCGACCCAGGGGCTTATAATTGAGGTGGTATAATAGCATCATTTCAACAGGTACTGAATGAACTCAACTTTATTAGCCATGTTAATTGGTGGCACTTATTAAAGGCACAAATATTTATGTATATGATCTGACTATTAAAGCTGGCTAGTGGGGCTAGTACCCCAGATGTGTAACAGAGCTCCATATACTTTGCATATTTCTGTCAAATATATACAATTTATAACAAATACAAATATTTGCATCAAAATATTATGCATCAACGCACCAATTATGCAATAACAATCTTTATAATAACCCTTTGCTTTTTGTTCCGTTTGTGTGCGCCATATAGCTGGAATATTGCTGAGTGCGGCAACACTCCATTTGTGTGCCTCTATTTCTTTACAGATTTTTATTTACCAACTTAAGTTAGGCATCGCATTCTCACAAGCATTACTATACTACTGCATGTAATACTTGTACATAATGCTGTTAATTTTTGTGTTCTCGACTTGTGGCAGCCAACTAACAACTACAAATTAGAATTTACTTGAAACAATATTTAAGCAGGGTTATGCAATAACACAAAAGTGTTTTCTCACTGGCATAAAAATACCCATAACAGTCGCCCCAAGGATGGATTAACATATACTCTTAAAAAAAAAGTAGGGGAACCTGAAATTTCAATCTGGATAGGAAGTATAAGCGTTAACAAACTTTTCAAAGACAGACATCATATGAACGCACCACCATTCCTCTTTATCCTAAACACAACGTATGGGATGCACGTGCACAAAGGAGTAGCCCCATACAAGTGCATGGGGTGCCATTCTTGATTTTGACGGTTTCAAGAAGGTCAATTAATCACTGTAGACCATTAATTTTGACAATCATTTTGCATCACACTGTTTGTTTCTAGCCATTTTTTTGTTTGAAAATGAAAATCGTACACATGCAAATTTCACGTCATACACCTATCATCTTTCAAGAGCGAATACTGTACAAACAACTATGGTCATAAGGAAGTACAAGTGGTGATGCACTCTCAAAACATTCATTATTATCATATCAACATTGATTGACTCCGATATATCTCCCGATGTTTTCAATCATAAATTAAAAATGAAATTCCCCTACTTCTTTTGAACAGTATAATAATTCTCCAAAGAAACTATCAGTGCCCATCTGAATAGTCAAGTGTGTGAATATTCAGTGGCTCGATAACTTCTCTTGGACTCTCAGCTGATGATGATGGTGAATATAATGCAGTTATACTGTAACACCTGGCACATGGGGTCGTTATAATATGTCATGTAGCATCTTCGTTAGGCAAGGGAATTAACAGATTGAAAACTCCAGTTTCCACCCTTGCTGAACTAGGCTGGGAAGATGTGGCTCACTGGTAAAGTCATCAGTGGCTATTATGAGTTATGTCATGTCTATGGCCCTCCAATGGGCCGGTCAGATTCCTTATCACATGTATTAGCTTTTATACAATGGCACCTCTGAATCAAGACAATCACTTGGTGTACATATGCTTTGTAAATTCTGCAGATAACCAAAATCTGCACATCAATTGCCATGTTTGTGTTTACTGTTTGTCAAATTTGTTAGATGGATAGCCATTTGGCCTGGCAAAATATAAGTCAAACATTTTAGCCAATTTTGGTCAGGGAAACAACCTTTGATAAAATTAAATCAACTTTGATTGATTGTCATCAATCAGGTCGTTAGCTTTGTACCGGGATTTTATACATTGTTGACATTCATCACGATCATATTTCTTAACCTTATGTAATAGAAACTACTTCCAACAACTATGGTCGATAGAAAACCATACAAACAGTCATTGAAAGTTGGTCCATGGTCTGCAGAAAGATGTAATTATGATATTCATGTAGTTTTTCTCATTTTGTGTAGCTGAAGAGTCAGGAAACATTGTGCCATTGTATTGACACATGATATTTCAAATTTTGTAACATTTATCACAGATTTCTGAGGGCGTCCTAAATGAAACAGTCAGAGACTTCTTGTTGTGAGGCGTAAGTCCTGAGGCATCATTACTCCTGATGAAGTTGTTCTCTCTTAGAAACAAACATATCATCACTCAGCACTGATTGTTCGTCTGTTAATTGCTTTTTCAAAGCTTTGTTATCACAGGTGATAATTAGTCAGTGAGATAGCAGGATTAGGGTGTTGTCTTGCCCACACAACTGTCATACGAAGGTGGATCTCCTTGTGGTTGTGACACTACTACGTTCGCATCTGTTCCTGGTTGGGTCATCACGACCTGGCTGTCAGTTTGGCCGTTGCTCAATCCGTTGCTCAATCCGTTGCTTGGTCCGTTGCTCAGTCCGTTGTTTGGTTCGTTGCTTGGTCCGTTGTTCAGTTCCCCATTAGGAACCATGTACTTGTTTCTTTGTTCCTTCTGTTTGTTCTTGCGATGTCCCCGAGAGTGAGACGAGGAAGTAGTTGACGTAGTAGTGTAGGTGTCCACATACGAAACTTGCACCACGTTGTCGGTGGTGTCGTTCACACAGCCGCCGCAACAGAGACCACATGCAAACTGGTCGCATGGGTGACACTCGTTGCAGTCACATTTGCAGTCGTTGCATCCGCAGTCACCGTCAAGGCAGTTGCAGTCGCAGTTACAATCACCACAGGTACAGTCTCCGCAGTCTCCACAATCACCACAATCTACGTCATCCATGATGTTACACTGTGTCAGTGCTGTTTATCTGGAAAGAGAAAAGTTTCCATCAAAGTCAAACATTTAATCGGGTGCATTATCAATTTGAATGATTGCTTTGACAATTTCAAGAATCCTTGAGTTGAATTTCAAGTTCTTTACTTCTAAATAAAGATATGACAGTTTTACCTTTTCGTAACTTCACATGAGTTGAAACATGAAATTCTTCTTGTGGGAATTAGGATGTGAAATAGGAACACTAGCTCAGGTGTTCAGGGATCGTTTCAGAGTCCTTGGATATATTTTCTGCCAGAAATTATAGTCAAACAGCTATTGACAATACAATGAAATTTTGTCACAAAATAGAAGTTAGGAGAAGGTAAATCTTTTGTGGAAAAGTGAAAATGTCAAATTTTAAAGTTTGAGAAAACAAATTTGGGACCAAATACACATGTACATAAATATCCCCATAATGATTGAAAAAGGAAGATCAGAAGAAATCCCTTGTGAAAATCTAAAAAGCAACCCTTTCAAGAAAGTTTGGCCTTACATTTCAGGATCCCAGCCTAATTTACATTCCTGACACCACATCGGATAAAATTTATAATGGTTTGTAAAGATTTTCATTCCCTATGCTATGTCTATGGTGGATGAAAAGGTCCCTTTGTCATACCATGTCTTGTAGTGATAGAACATTCAAATTTCTCCCCACATTTCATTCAAAAATGCAAGGGAAAGTTGCTTACCAAGATGCAGTTTAGCTTTTCCTACATTATGAAGTTAGGCACAGGAACTAACAATGTATTAAGGAGAGGCTTTTGATTAACGTACATAACATTCTGAATGCCTCCTGTTGAGACTGTTTACAATTTAGAGATGAACCATACTTACACTGGGTAGGGCTAACTCTAGCCTAAGCCCATGGATGTATGGTAATTCTATCCTTAAAAGAGGCAAGTCTAGAGAAGTGGGCAGTACAGGGACACCAGTTATGTTTTTTTAGAAACTATTATTTGAGCTATTAATTATTACCTTATAGACTTGTGCAAGTCTAGGTAGGTGTGTGTGTGTGTGTGTGTGTGTGAGAGAGAGTGTGTGAGAGAGAGAGTGTGAGTCTTCTTATGAGTCACGGGGCGGTGGGGTAGCCTAATGGTTAAAGCGCTGGCTCGTCAGTCAGTCAGTCTAATGAGTCACAATCTTCTGTGCAGAGTTGCGTCCCTTGGACACATCACAAAGCTATGACTGCAGGTTCAAATCCCAGTTCTCCCTGTTCCTGTTTGCTAGCACCATTATACACATGCTTGTATGTTTCACTTAAGTAAAAGCTGACATGCGTGGACTTGAGTGGAATACTGTTAGAAGTGGTGTTAAACCAAATTGTAAACCAAGTCGCTGTGTTCTTTAATCTGATTGGTTGAAAAACATGATCAAATGGTATTCGATTCCTGGAAATTCGCTGCGTATTAATACATACAAACATCGCTGACACCATTGCATTGTTACGTCGTCAGCTGTGATTACGTCATTCAAATCATATTGTGACGTAAAGTCCGAATGACGTCACAAATGAGCAGTTCCAAATGCTGTCATGGGAGACAGCCGAAACAGTTGGCTGATGACATTTCACTGCTGTCCCCGTACTCGATGTCAATGAGTGCAGACACAAAAACGTGTGTGGACCTTTTGGTTTACTTTTGTGTTTACAATGTCAATAAACATCATGTGTTGGCCAATTTCTGAGTTTCATTGAGTATTTGAAGCATGGGAATATGAATTCCCATGCTTCAAATACTCAATAACACCCGGAATTGGCAAACACATGATGTTTATCTCTAGCTCACTTGTGCATGAAAAATGTATATAGAGCACAACTGAAAACAATATTCAGCTATTTGACTTTGTGTTCCTTACTATCAGTATATTTTCATTTGTCTGATGTGTATAGCAAACCCTGCATCCACAGTTGCTGAGGCATATCTTCTCCTGAACTGCTTGGTGACGACATTAACTAGTCATGCTCTTTGTCCTCTTCTAGACCCCTGTGTATTTGGGGCTATTCATGTGAAGCAGTACCAGGACATTAACACAATTATGTTGTTGTACGCGATATGCTAGGCTCAAACCATACATATGGGTAAAGAGGGAAACATATGGCTTCATGAGTTTAATAGTTTGAACTTTGAGGCAGTAAAATAGGAATGGAAGGATGATAGTGAATAGTTTTCTGTTTAAATCAATAATTCCTGTAGCACAGAGTTTGAGTGGTACTCTCATCAGGTAAAACCAACACAATATAAATATTGGAGGGAGAAATAATTGATGAGGGTTACTGAATGGGATGTTACAAACTGTTAACCAACTGTAACTGTGTATCTTATGCTATCTAGGTAACCATTATCTCACAAACAGGTCCAATAGAATCGGTCTGTACTTGAATGAAATGTGATACACTGTTATCTCACTGTAACTATGTGTCCGATACTACCTAGACAACCATTACTTCACACACAGGACCAGTAGAATCAGTCAGTACTTGAATGAAATGTGATACACTGTTATCCCACTGTAACTATGTGTCCGATACTACCTAGACAACCATTACACCACCTACAGGTCCAATAGAATCGGTCTGTACTTGAATGAAATGTGACACACTGTTATCTCACTGTAACTATGTGTCCGATACTACCTAGACAACCATTACACCACCTACAGGTCCAATAGAATCGGTCTGTACTTGAATGGGATGTGATAAACAGTTATGTCACTGTGTGTCTGATACTACCTAGACAGCCATTACTTCACACACAGGACCAGTAGAATCAGTCAGTTGTTGAATGGGAAGTGATAAACTGTTATCCCACTGTAACTGTGTGTCTGATACTACCTAGACAACCATTACTTCACACACAGGACCAGTAGAATCAGTCTATACTTGAATGGGAAGTGATAAACTGTTATCTCACTGTGTGTCTGATACTACCAAGACAACCATTACTTCACACACAGGACCAGTAGAATCAGTCAGTACTTGAATGGGAAGTGATAAACTGTTATCTCACTGTAACTGTGTCCCGATACTACCTAAACAACCATTACACCTCCTACAGGTCCAGTAGAATCAGTCTATACTTGAATGGGACGTGATAAACTGTTATCTCACTGTAACTATGTGTCCGATACTACCTATACAACCATTACACCACCTACAGGTCCAGTAGAATCAGTCTATACTTGAATGGGAAGTGATAAACTGTTATCTCACTGTAACTATGTGTCCGATACTACCTAGACAACCATTACTTCACACACAGGATCAGTAGAATAAGTCTATACTTGAATGGGAAGTGATAAACTGTTATCTCACTGTAACTATGTGTCTGATACTACCTAGACAACCATTACTTCACACACAGGACCAGTAGAATCAGTCTATACTTGAATGGGAAGTGATAAACTGTTATCTCACTGTAACTATGTGTCTGATACTACCTAAACAACCATTACTTCACAAACAGGACCAGTAGAATCAGTCTATACTTGAATGGGAAGTGATAAACTGTTATCTTACTGTAACTATGTGTCCGATACTACCTAGACAACCATTACACCACCTACAGGTCCAATAGAATCGGTCTGTACTTGAATGGGATGTGATAAACTGTTATCTCACTGTGTGTCTGATACTACCTAGACAACCATTACACCACCTACAGGTCCAGTAGAATAAGTCAGTTGTTGAATGGGAAGTGATAAACTGTTATCTCACTGTAACTATGTGTCCAATACTACCTAGACAACCATTACTTCACACACAGGACCAGTAGAATCAGTCAGTACTTGAATGGGAAGTGATAAACTGTTATCTCACTGTAACTATGTGTCCGATACTACCTAGACAACCATTACACCACCTACAGGTCCAGTAGAATAAGTCAGTTGTTGAATGGGAAGTGATAAACTGTTATCTCACTGTAACTATGTGTCCAATACTACCTGGGGCGGTGGGGTAGCCTAATGGTTAAAGCGTTGGCTCGTCACGCCGAAGACCCGGGTTCGAATCCCCACATGGGCACAATGTGTGAAGCCCATTTCTGGTGTCCCCCGCCGTGATGTTGCTGGAATATTGCTAAAAGCGGTGTAAAACCAAACTCAGTCAGTCAGTCAGTCCAATACTACCTAGACAACCATTACTTCACACACAGGACCAGTAGAATCAGTCTATACTTGAATGGGAAGTGATAAACTGTTATCTCACGTAACTATGTGTCTGAAACTACCTATACAACCATTACACCACCTACAGGTCCAGTAGAATCAGTCTATACTTGAATGGGAAGTGATAAACTGTTATCTCACTGTAACTGTGTGTCTGATACTACCTAGACAACCATTACACCACCTACAGGTCCAGTAGAATCAGTCTATACTTGAATGGGAAGTGATAAACTGTTATCCCACTGTAACTGTGTGTCCAATACTAGCTAGACAACCATTACACCACCTACAGGTCCAGTAGAATCAGTCTATACATGAATGGAAAGTGATAAACTGTTATCCCACTGTAACTGTGTGTCCGATACTACCTAGACAACCATTACTTCACACACAGGTCAAATAGAATCAGTCTATACTTGAATGGGAAGTGATAAACTGTTATCTCACTGTAACTGTGTGTCCGATACTACCTAGACAACTATTACACCACCTACAGGTCCAATAGAATCGGTCTGTACTTGCATGGGATGTGATAAACTGTTATCTCACTGTGTGTCTGATACTACCTAGACAACCATTACTTCACACACAGGACCAGTAGAATCAGTCTATACTTGAATGGGAAGTGATAAACTGTTATCTCACTGTAACTGTGTGTCCGATACTACCTAGACAACTATTACACCACCTACAGGTCCAGTAGAATCAGTCTATACATGAATGGAAAGTGATAAACTGTTATCCCACTGTAACTATGTGTCCGATACTACCTAGACAACCATTACTTCACACACAGGTCCAGTAGAATCAGTCTATACTTGAATGGGAAGTGATAAACTGTTATCTCACTGTAACTGTGTGTCCGATACTACCTAGTCAACCATTACTTCACACACAGGTCCAGTAGAATCAGTCTATACTTGAATGGGAAGTGATAAACCTACCTTACTGTATTGTAGTGCTGGGAGATATTGATCACTTCCTTTGCATGCTATGCTACCGGTACACAGTGAGGAAACTATGAAGTGTTTATCTTGCCTGAATATCCTGGTCAAATGTCTGTGTGTGGGGGGAGATTCAGGAGGGGTCCGAGATAAGGGATTGGTCATCAGGTGTTACTGTTCAGAGACTACTTGATCATGTTTATCAAAATAGGTGTGTATACATCATATTGTACTAAATAACGCCATATACAGTTGTTTTCTTCTGTATTAAGTCCTGGTTTGTGGAACTGCTAACGACCAAAATCAGGAAAGTGAAAATCTTTTGATTCAAGTATAATGTACTTACTGCATGCCAACCAGACAAGTTCCAATGTTATTTTACTATTGTATATACACAATATTATATGCACTGCAGGGGAGTGGGCTCTCAGTATTAGAAATAACGCATTTGACCCATATCTCCATAGCTAGCTTGCAGTGTAATGACAGGCCATCGGAAACGTGAGGAAACTCAGCGGGGAACTTTGAGTCATCAACTAACAATGGCTTGAGGGATAATGTGGTAAACTTTGGAAGTAATTCATACCTATAATAGTCCGTCCTATGACATGTATTTAAAAATGTATTATTCATGACACTGAGCTTAGCTATATTTACACCCAGGTTGCTAGAGGCAATGTGAGAAATATGATAAATGATGATTATGCATAACAACATTGCCTGTACATAAAAACAACAGAGCATTGTCTTAAGTATGTTCACTGAGCTGTCACAAGGTATTGCAAGACATGATACTTGCATTATTCATTACAACCATGTTGTTGACTTAAAGTCCTACTTGAAGGGATTCTCTCTGTGTGTGTACAACATTGCTGTGGCCTGGGCTGTCCCACATATACAGGCTTGTAACTCGATCAAGTTGACTGCTCACAAGGTCATACAAACACAGAACAGTGACCAGGTGAAACTTTTAGGGTTTCTTTCCAGATCACAATCTGCTAGTCTGTCATACAGACCCTGAAGCAAATATATCCAAGTCTAGAAAATGTGGCAAGTCTAGATTTCCACAGCTTGAAGAAAGTCTCAGGGCTCCTTTTCATTATATTTTATTATCCCCCGCCGCGCATTTAGCTCGAAGCGGGGGATATAGTATCAGGCTCAGTCCGTCCGTGCGTCTGAATTGGAATATCTTTAGAACTGTTCACTAGATTCTTTTCATAATTGGTACCTAGGTTCATCACAGTATAACAAAGGTCCAAGTCAGGTTTGGTGACCTTGCCCTTCATTTCAAGGTCACAAGGGGACTTTAACGTTTTACCTGCATGTTAAGCTATCTCAAGGACCTTTCTCTGGATTTTCTTCATATTCAATACAAAGCTTTATCTAGGGAAAGCACAGGGCCCAGTTGATTTCGGTGACCTTCACATAATTTTCAAGGTCATGGCGACACTTTGAAGATTTCAGCATGTAAACCTGCATGTTAAGCTATCTTAAGAACCATTCGCTGGATTTTCTTCATATTTGAAACCAAGCTTTATATATGGAAGGCGGAGGGCCCAGTCAATTTTGGTGACCTTCACTTAATTTTCACAGAGACACTTTGAAGATTTCAGCATATTAACCTGCAGGTTATGCTTGTCAGCAAGATACCTCAAGAACCATTCACTGGAGTTTCTTCATATTTGACACCAAGCTTCATCCAGGGAAGGCACAGGGCCCAGTCGATTTTCGATTAAGTGACCTTTACTTAATTTTCAAGGTCACAGAGACACTTTGAAGATTTCAGCATGTTAACCTGAATTGTCAGCAAGATATTTCAAAAACGGTTCACTGGATTTTCTTCAAAGACTTTCAAGACTTCCCTTAAATGTTTTTCAAAAAGCAATTTCTTTTGTACTATTTTTGCTTATTTTATACACTATGACATTCATGTCAAGGTCAAAGTCAGTCTTGAAAATATGTGTGTGTTTGAACACTAAAGAGCAAGATATCAAGAGAGATTGACTGGTCATGTTTTTGGTGACATTTAACTTAAACTTTCATTACTTTATAAGTTTGATTTGATAATTTGCGGCGGGGGATAATGTCACCTTAGTGACAATGCTTGTTTTTTACTATGAGCTTTTTTCTGTAAATTATGTTCATTTGAGAGACTAGTTGTTAGTCTAACCATCTTCTTAGTGATTCCAGTCCACTTGGGGAACAAGGGTGTGTATTTGTGATGTTTGTGTCAACAGGATGTAAGTGGTCTCTGTATTACAACATAATGTCTGTGCAGTTCCTGTGATGTGCGGAATGCTAATACTACTACCTGACAACTGTTTCTGTATACATTAGAAATGAATAAATATATTGAAATATTAAAAATAATCAACTGATCGAAGATATTGTGTTTTTATAAATAGTAAATTTACTATTGATGGAAATATTTAGTGAAAGCGAAAACATTCACATTTAGTCATGAAGGAAAAGGTAGCATATTTCCTGTTTAAGTGCCCTGCTCCAAGTACCCCTGAGCTAGCTCTAGACCACTCTGTAAGCAGTCATTATTAGTGCATGGTACTAAAACCTAAACATTACATGACAGTCTTGTCTTCTCATGTATATTACAAACATGTTAGAGAAAATAGCAGCGGAGAAGGAGTTGATTAATCTAAAAAATGTGATAGTTTCAACATTTGAACTAATTTTTTTTCACTGGCGCTTGATCTCTGAGACCAGTGTGCAAAATTTACACTGGTCCTGTGGTCCCTGGCTAGTAAAACTTCATCAGGACCACTAAATATTAAGTTTGCAGTGGTCCTGGTGGCCACTGAAGTTTGTATTGATAGTTAAGTAAATCTACAAATGTTAATTTGGAACAGTAAAGTACAGACAGGACCACTATTATTGTCCACTCACTGGTCCTGTGGTCTTGTTTCTTTCCCTGGGAACAGATCTCTACTCAAGGACTCTCTCTCTCTATCTGTGTGTGTGTGTGTCACACACACACACCAAAATACAAGTAAACGCAGACACCACCTCACTCACTCTCTCTCTCTCTCACACACACACACACACATTCATTAGACCGCTTCCGTGGTGTAGTGGTTAGAGAGTCCGCCCGGAGAGCGGAAGGTCGCGGGTTCGATCCCCGACCGCGTCATACCAAAAGACGTTAAAATATGGTACTTGTTGGTCCCTGCCTGGCGCTCGGCATTAATGGGTACAACAAGGACTGGTTGGCTTGGAGTCAGTATAATGTGTCTGAGTGGGGTATTCATGTTTCACTGCGGCATGGTATCTCAGTGAGCTAGCACTATAAAAATAGCTTCAGTCTGGGCTAGTACAAGCAGCCGCACATACACATACACACGCATGCACGTCGTCATATGAGCGAAATATTCTCCAGCACGACGTACAACCCAATTTCACCTCACCTCACCTCACATTCATTAACACATACAGGGAGGGACAGAGACAATTACCCATAGAGACAATGACATACAATGGCATAGACACTCACTCACTCACTCACTCAGAGAGACACAGACACACCCCCCAGACACACCCACCCACCTCCAGACACCCACACTTTTAAACGTCGAAAGGCCCCCAAACAACATAGCCCAAGGCACATCCCAGCACATTCCAAAGCCCCAAGATTGCATTGTTCACTGGCCTTGTGTCCCACTAAGAACAGAAACCACTGGCCTGGAACAATGGGTTCACGTACCTGTAGAGGTCAGCCTTCGACCAGTGCTGTACCCTGCTGCTTAGATTTGTGTTGTGTCAACACTACCATTTAGTGATCCTAATGTCAGGATATCATGGTGACCAGACCCGGCCACAAGTCACAGCAACAAGTCGTGTTGTCTATAGTTGTTTACATTTATACACTCCTGCCATCTAGTCAGCAATGAAGGGAGGCAACTCTCGAAGACCTCATTTATGAAACAAGCCTCCTGTATTGCACAATCTGTGGATTATGTTATTCACCTGTGTAAATCCCACAGACTCTGCAATGCCCGCCTTTATTAAACATGAGGGTGTTGAATACCTGTGGATCAGTGAGCTGACACTGTGAATAAATTCTTGCGCAACACCCAGTTGCATTGATAACATCAGTGAATGTGGGGCATTGTGTAACGTAAGACATGTTTTGTTTGCCAATTCATTCTCACATGACGGGCACTAAAGGAAAACACAGAAACATGTTTTCAAGTGTCAGACATGACGTGTCCGTCTGCTCAGATCATGTGAGATTCGACACTATGAGCCCAAACAATGACATTGTATTGACTGATGACCTAATTCCTAAATACTCTGATTTCAATGTCAGTTTGAATATTGGTTTTCAAAATGTTGCAGAAGTGTTGCAGTGTACATTTTCTAAATGTGTTACATGGAATTGTATTCCATTTATAAACTTCAATTTATGTTTGTGGGATTTAGAATCTATACTGTAAGTGAAGAAAAGGTTCTGATTCTTATCGGGGCGGTGGGGTAGCCTAAACTCAGTCAGTCAGTCTGATTCTTATCCTTCAAAGCAGGGGCAGTGGGTAGCCTAGTGGTTGATGTGTTTGCTCGTCATGACGAAGACCTGGGTTCGATTCCCCACATGGGCACACTATGTGAAGCCTGTTTCATATTTTGTACTGAAAGTGAAGAAAGGGTTCAGATTCTTTTCCTTCAATACAGGGGCAGTGGGTAGCCTAGAGGTTAATGTGTTTGCTCGTCATGACGAAGACCTGGGTTCGATTCCCCACATGGGCACAATATGTGAAGCCTGTTTCATATTTGGTTGAACATACATAGAAAACATACCTGCATCATCAGAGACACATGGACACCAGATTCAAACACACAATTTATGCAGAAATATGTTTCATTAAATGTCTGCCCTTGTAAAATTGAGGGGTAGGGTAGCTTAGTGGTTAAAGCATTTGCTCTTCATGCTGAGGACCCGGGTTCAATTCCCCACATGGTTACAATGTGTTAAGCCCATTTCTGGTGCCCCCCTCCATGATATTGCTGGAATATTGCTAAAAGAAACGTAAAACTAAACTCACTCACTCCTGTAAAATTGTGACCTGGACAAAGAGCAAGTATCAAACATGTATTTGATTAATTTTATTTTACAATAATGTATAACAATCATTGTAATGATATATTTCTGATATATCTACAAAATCAATGATTCTGTGGTGTCCCGTGTTCACTGATTATGTCCTGAATTATTCCTGACACCAGCCAGATTGTTGGAATGTTTCAGTAAGTAATTAGTCTCCTAAGTTCAGACTAACTGACAGCTTCGGCCCATCATCGCTTTCATCATTGTCTTCTGCTGAAGGTTTTATGTTCTTGGACTTGTCATCAGAAGCTGGGATGGGTACATCAATCTCAAAACTGACAGAACAACAGCAAAGTTTTTTCAGCCACCCCTCACTATCACCCTCACTGCTGTCAGCCATCTTCCTTGGTATAGGGACTGGGTAGATCTGTCAGGCATAAAATACTATGTTGATATTTCATAACAAACAATAGTCTTGCAATTTTAAAATCAGAGCAAATCTCATGAACTTAGAACAACAGCAAAGTTTTTTCAGCCATCCTTCACTATCACCCCCAGTGCTGTCAGTCATCTCCCTTGGTATGGAATAGGTGAGGTGAGGTGAGGTGAAATTGGGTTTAACGTCATGCTGGAGAATATTTCGCTCATATGACGACGTGCATGCGTGTGTATGTGCGGCTGCTTGTACTAGCCCAGACTTAAGCTGGTTTTATAGTGCTAGCCCACTGAGATACCATGCCGCAGTGAAACATGAATACAACACTCAGACACATTATACTGACTCCGAGCCAACCAGTCCTTGTTGTACCCATTAATGCCGAACGCCAGGCAGGGACCAACAAGTACCATATTTTAACGTCTTTTGGTATGACGCGGTCGGGGATCGAACCCGCGACCTTCCGCTCTCCGGGCGGACGCTCTAACCACTACACCACGGAGGCGGTCCATGGAAGAGGTAGACCTGTCGCTCACAAAATACTGTGTTGATATTTCATAACGAACAATAGTCTTACATGATTAAAATCAGAGCACATCTCATGAACGTGATTTCTGGTTTAAGTTAATGGATGGGTTGGTCAGACTTAACAACAACATGCAACTCATTGTAACGTTTGAAGAGTTGACTGCAGTCTTGTGAATATATTGAAGACATACATCTGGTCGCATGTGTTTCAATATTTAAGTATGAGAGTGTTGTGATGGACTAGATATTTTCTCATTGTGCTTGCTGTGGTTACTAGTTGACACACTTGAAGGATAAAGTAAACATGAAAAAGTTTCTGTCTGAATTAAACATTCATTTACTATCCATTACTGTTGACTTGGGATGATGTTTATGAAAAGAAAAATGAAAATTTGGACCGACTGACTGACTGACTGAGTTTGGTTTTACGCCGCTTTTAGCAATATTCCAGCAACATAACGGCGGGGGACACCAGAAATGGGCTTCACACATTGTGCCCATGTGGGGAAAATTTGGAAACATAACACCTGAGATGTATAGTCTGAGTGTAACTTATTGCTGCATGTGATAAGAAGGGGACAGGAAAGATAACCTTTCACTATGAGGATATCAAGTTTGGATCGCAAAGTAAACAGCATGAGTGAGTTTAGGCCAGACCAATTTTATTTATTGTGTTACGGATCCACCGGTTGTACTTTTTCAAGAATTAAGAAAAAAAATATAAATTAATTTTCCCCGCTCAAAAACTAAAATTCTCATGTTTTTATTGGCCAAAAATGTAAACTTACAAAAAAAATAATTTTTGATTGTTTTTTGCCCCATAAACACTTCATAAATTGCCAAAAATAAAATACTGTTACTATTTAAAAGGAAAATTATTTTGACTAGTGATTTTTATTTTTAATTTTTTTCTCTCCTGCTGTAAGTTTTCTGAGGACAAAAATCCATAAAACAAGAAATAAAATTGGTCTGGCCTTAGCTTTAAATCGCTTTTAGCAATATTCCAGCAGTATCACGGAACACCAGAAATGGGCTTCACACATTGTAGTACTCACATGGGGAATTGAACCCCGGATCCTCGGCATGATGAGCAAACGCGTTACCCTTAAGTCTACCCTACAGCCCCATAAACAGCATAATAAACCTCTAGTAATATGATGCCTTGACCTGACCTGTAGACTGAGTACCTGCCTTGAGTTTATTGTCTCTGTGGAACACATAATGCCCAATGACATTCAAAAATACAAGGGACGGCAGGGTAGCCTAGTGGTTAAAGTGTTCGTTCGTCATGCCAAAGACCCGGGTTCGATTCCCCACATGGGTACAATATATGAAGCCCATTTCTGGTGTTCCCCACCGTGATATTGCTGGATTATTGCTAAGAGTGGCGTAAAACCAAACTCACTCACTCACTCTAAAATGGAAATGTTCAGAAAATGTTCAGTTGTGGATGCTATTGTGATTTCACCCTGCATGCTGTGTAATATATGTCTTGGTAGGTAGAAAATAGAATCAGCTATAGAATCTGTGTCAATGTGAAACACCATGTATACATATCCCCAAACAGATATCTGTGTTAGGAATGACAAGTCTTTATGGATGATCAACTTCTTTATTGTACAATAGTGATGTATCTATGTTGCCATATATTACAGCATAATTCAGTACAATAGTTTCACCAGTAAATCCATCAATTGGTAAATGATCTTCCTGGATTTAATGGTTTGTAGGCAGCTAGGACGTACCGTATATGACTGTAGATAAACCAAGGTCCTAGCTTGACCCTTGAAATCAATTTTACAATCGTATGTTCAGTGTCTTTCACCTAAAATCTCCAATAATGATGAAGTGTGGCAAAAGAGAATATCCCAGATTGTGTCAAAAACACATTCTACATGGCAATAGAATACATTTCAGAGTCAGATTCTATTAAAGAACCACTAAACTTTGTTTTTTGTTACTCTTTTAACCATTACATATGAAAGATTTGTAGTTAGTCTTATGCGGAACACCAAATTTATTCTTTAAAAACTTGTGGTTAATTAATACCGAGCGATTAAAAGTGGCCAAAAAGTCACCTGCTTCCCTCTCGCCCGCCAACGAAACCACAGACAGGTTACGTAACTCTGTCGCCAGAGCACTGCAGTGACGTCATATGAGGAACGATTTTCAGTTAGTTGTATAGAAAGTGTGTAGCACGCTCATCATTTTGATGATTTCTCGACATCAACGACGACATGCCGAATCGTTGCTTTGTCGCCGCAAGTGCTCCTAGGGTCGGGCGATGGTGTCACCATGCACAGATTTCCACAGGACCCCGCAGTTTGTGCTAAATGGGTTATGTTTGTGAGTGCGGCGAAGCGATGTGGAAGCCTGAAACGATATCTTACTTGTGTTCAGATCGCTTCACGGAAGTTAAAGAATCAAAACTACTTACTAGTTGTAGTAAAATATGTATATGATTGATGACCATAAAGATTTTCCATGACACAACTTGTAACATAACGATTTCTTCCTCGAAGTGAGCTTGTGGTCGAAGTAACAATAATATTGTAAGTGGTATTATATTGACACCCACCTTGCTGCCACGAGAGAAATTGTTATGTTATATCGCTATGTCATGCAAAATCCTATTGGCCATCAATCAAATACATATTTTACCACCAGTAGAAAGTAGTTTTGATTTTGTAACTCGGTGAAAACAAACCTAAATAGCATTTATCCTCAGACTGGCGGATGTTCCAGACAGGGCCCACCATTTTGAAAATCGTAAAGTCTTTTAGAATTAATGAGATTATAGTTTGTTTTCATCAAGTTAGAAAATCAAAACTACTTTCTACTCGTAGTTAAATATGTATTGGAATCATAACCAAACGGATTTTGCATGACACAACTTATAACATGACGATTTCTTCCACGGAAGCGAGGTGGGGGTCGAAGTCACAATACTGCGCGATACATTTCTTGCTACATTCACATGGTTAATGTCCACTCACCAGTATGTAGATACTAGTCAATGTGCGTCTTTTATATTTGGTCTTATAATCCTAATCAGTTTATTATCATACTTGTATGCATTTTGAAACTAAATAAAAGCAGACGATCTGCTGATACTTATAGTGAATTTATAACAGAACTGTAATATCTAGACATTTTATAGTTTGCCAATGTGAATCATAATTCGCATTAACACACACACCCTAGAGTTGTCTGTCTCATTACACTTCACGGCGAAAACAATGATTCTGTTGAATGCTACGACAAAAATGAATAAAACAACATGCAAATATTAAAATTAAAACAGATCAAAGTTATAAGAACAATATCAGGCCATTACCTTGTTCGAGGAATGTATCCATCAATATCCACAAAACTGTTCCAAATGATGTGTCTTTTAACAGTTTAATATACCAAAAAGTGATAAATCTTTTCAGGTATTGGTGTATAGTCTCATTGGTCACCCAAGATAGCACACCTGGCAACCAATTGCATAATGTCCGCCTTTCTTTAAAAACAGTAAATTAGTTAGCCAATAATGGGCAATCAATCAATGTATTGCCGATTAATCCTTTGAAAGAAGGACGTTGTTTTTACGCAGACACCGACACAACAGAGTGTATTCAGTATAGATTAGTAAATCTACATACATAAACACTACCTTTTGACAATTCCGCTGTATAAGATAAAAGTAATTAATCAATCAGCTTGTTATCGGTTAATCCTTTGATCGATGTTAATAATGTTGAATATTTACCCCAGACACAAGAAATGCCAAATGGGAACCTTTGTCGGGTAATCTAAGTGTGTTACCACTAATTATACCTGTTATAAATTCATTAACTGACCATCAAGTGAATGATGACAAATAACATATGTAGGTTTATACCACCTAACACGGGTTACAACAAAGGAGTATTAATTGCTGTATTGCATGTGAAAACTTATGGGCCGACACTGTTTTGAGAATACAAACAGATTTTTACATGACATGATTAAATATCGAGGTAAAAAAACACAGAAATGGGATCAATTTGGATCAGTCATTATACAAATAGGGCCTAACGACACCGATCGATTTTGACAGAATCGTCTATGAAAACAAGTTGTAACTTGGAAACTAGGCAAAGCAGGAGACAAAAGTAAATGACAGTAGATTGTGAGAACATATAGCTTTCATTTTCCACAACAATTGTCACGATTTCAGGTTTATACAAGCCTGTAAACAAGATAATTTACCCCTAAAATGTAGATGAATTCTGCATCGGCCCTCAAAGCTATTCCTCATATGACGTCACAGAGACGCGGTTGAAATTTCGTTCGCGGGTAAGAATTGTGCACTGTTGTCAAAAAGGTCGATTTAAGTCAATTAAAGGTCGAAATGAGTAGTTTTAATGACGGGGTTTCATTTATAACGATGCCAGTTAGTGATTTATGTATTTGTACCCCTAGGGTTTATGTGACCTTTAAATAAAACGTTTTTGAAATATATAGTCTCAATTCATCTCATTCGGGCCATGCAGTAATTTCTCCCAACCATCTCACCTTTGTTGCGAAAGAATAAAGGTCTAATTATTGGCTAGGCCTTTAAAAGGGCCTGGCCTGAAAGTTAGCTGAAGGGCCCAGACTGTTCACATGGGTGCCATGGTAGCCTTATTGTGAAAGTATTTACTTGTACATGGGAACCCATCATAGGTGCTTCCTGTTGGGAATTTACTGGAATATTGCAAAAATTGAATCTTGTCTAAAAGTAATATAAAGTTGATAAACAAGGTGTGATGAGGTAGTTAAGTTGTTCAAGTGTTTGCTTGTTATGTTAAAGGTCTTGGTTTGATTCACAATATGGGTACCCTTTTCTGACAATATTGTGGACAGATAATTGTTGAAATTATTGCCAATAGCGACATGATAAGAACCAAACTTACTCACTTAATGAACAAGAACATGTAATGTGGAAGACTACCATCACCTGTGGGCTCTTGTTCTGTATCTCTTCAAGATCTCTCTAGGGTCTTCTCAGACAGGCAGGCGCTTCCTGGTATTAGTAAGCTGTGATATTAGGATATGAGCTGTGGAGCATCTGTCAAATGTTCCTAACGTGAGACAAGGTAGTATTAGAGTTGTGTTGTGCAGGGGTACTTATGTTGGGCAGATACATCAGGTTGAGGATTCTGATTGGTGGAAACTCTGCTTCATGTGAATGGCGTTTGTTTCTGTTTGGCTGATTCTGTCCTCAGTCATCAGGAGAAGGAATGTCGACTGGGCTAGTCACACCAACAAATGCCCCCACCCCCACCAATTATTTAAATTCATAATTGTGAGGCAGTGTTTGCTTCAAATCACGTGAGAAAGCTCACATTGTACATTAGCTGTTGTTATAGCTTGCATATAACAAAGTCTCCCATCTTTCCCCAATGTCTTGTATTTTTTGTTAACCAAAAAGGGAGATAAATTTAATTGGTGGAGAATTATACATGAGGTAGATACTGTGTTGTAATCCTATGTTGTAATCTCTTTGCAGGTGACAATACAAGTGGAGTGTATGTATGTAAACATCCTGATGTCCAGCTGAAGCTTGCAGAACTCAGGGAGGAAAAGCTAGCATGTGTTTGTGTATTCAAGGTAACATGATATTTTCCAACATCCTCAATAATCCAAAAGTAAACTGTTTTTTGTCAAGAAGTAAAATAAGTTTGAAACCGAGTTTGCCACTTTCTCACTATTCATGAAGGTATTGGGTGTTGACAGGGAAGGTGCAGGTATTACAGTAGGAAATCAGTGTTTTTGTTGCCCTTAATTTGAATGACTGGACTCCTTGCAATGGGAAACCGAATGTAAAAATACAAACTTTTCCTCCCCACTTGTGATGGTCATCACTCATCAGAAGTAAGCTTTGTTCAAATATGTAGTTAACCACCATTTCTTCCATGGGCCGCCATATAGCTTAAAATATGTAGTTAACCACCATTTCTTCCATGGGCAGCCATATAGCTTCAAATATGTAGTTAACCACCATTTCTTCCATGGGCCGCCATATAGCTTCAAATATGTAGTTAACCACCATTTCTTCCATGGGCCGCCATATAGCTTCAAATATGTAGTTAACCACCATTTCTTCCATGGGCCGCCATATAGCTTCAAATATGTAGTTAACCACCATTTCTTCCATGGGCCATATAGCTTCAAATATGTAGTTAACCACCATTTCTTCCATGGGCCATATAGCTTCAAATATGTAGTTAACCACCATTTCTTCCATGGGCCGCCGTATAGCTTCAAATATGTAGTTAACCACCATTTCTTCCATGGGCCGCCATATAGCTTCAAATATGTAGTTAACCACCATTTCTTCCATGGGCCGCCATATAGCTTCAAATATGTAGTTAACCACCATTTCTTCCATGGGCCGCCATATAGCTTCAAATATGTAGTTAACCACCATTTCTTCCATGGGCCGCCATATAGCTTCAAATATGTAGTTAACCACCATTTCTTCCATGGGCCGCCATATAGCTTCAAATATGTAGTTAACCACCATTTCTTCCATGGGCCGTATATAGCTTCAAATATGTAGTTAACCACCATTTCTTCCATGGGCCACCATGCATATAGCTTCAAATATGTAGTTAACCACCATTTCTTCCATGGGCATATATAGCTTCAAATATGTAGTTAACCACCATTTCTTCCATGGGCACCATATAGCTTCAAATATGTAGTTAACCACCATTTCTTCCATGGGCGCCATATAGCTTCAAATATGTAGTTAACCACCATTTCTTCCATGGGCATATAGCTTCAAATATGTAGTTAACCACCATTTCTTCCATGGGCCATATATAGCTTCAAATATGTAGTTAACCACCATTTCTTCCATGGGCCATATAGCTTCAAATATGTAGTTAACCACCATTTCTTCCATGGGCCAGCCATATAGCTTCAAATATGTAGTTAACCACCATTTCTTCCATGGGCCACCATATAGCTTCAAATATGTAGTTAACCACCATTTCTTCCATGGGCCACCATTTCTTCCATATAGCTTCAAATATGTAGTTAACCACCATTTCTTCCATGGGCCGCCATATAGCTTCAAATATGTATAGCTTCAAATATGTAGTTAACCACCATTTCTTCCATGGGCGTAGTTAACCACCATTTCTTCCATTAGCTTCAAATATGCCATTATATAGCTTCAAATATGTAGTTAACCATATAGCTTCAAATATGTAGTTAACCACCATTTCTTCCATGGGCGCCATGGGTCAGCCTATATAGCTTCAAATATGTAGTTAACCACCATTTCTTCCATGGGCCATATATAGCTTCAAATGTAGTTAACCACCATTTCTTCCATAGTATAGCTTCAAATATGTAGTTAACCACCATTTCTTCCATGGGCAGCCATATAGCTTCAAATATGTAGTTAACCACCATTTCTTCCATGGGCCCACCATTTTCCGTGGCCATAGCTTCAAATATGTAGTTAACCACCATTTCTTCCATGGGCCGCCATATAGCTTCAAATATGTAGTTAACCACCATTTCTTCCATGGGCCGCCATATAGCTTCAAATATGTAGTTAACCACCATTTCTTCCATGGGCCGCCATATAGCTTCAAATATGTAGTTAACCACCATTTCTTCCATGGGCTGCCATATGGCTGGAATATTGCTGAGTGTAATATCTATTGCTGAGTGAGTGAGTTTAGTTTTACGCCGCACTCAGCAATATTCCAGCTATATAGTGGCAGTCTGTAAATATCAAGTCTGGGCCAGACAATCTAGTGATCAACAGCATGAGCACCATCTGCGCAATTGGGGACCGATGACATGTGTCAACCAGGTCAGCGAGCTTGACCACCCGATCCCATTAGTCGCCTCATACGACAAGCATGGGTTACTGAAGATCAATATTTTAGCTCGGACCTTCAAGGGTATATATTGCTGAGTGAGAGGTCAAACAACTGACAAAATCGTCCATGGGGAGGAATGGAAGGCCTGTCAACCTTGAGACACTGCAGGGCTGTGTATTGTGTAAAACTTGCCCTGGTGGGGGTCAATTTAATATCTTTATGTAAACAAAACACAGGCACTTGTCTAATAAGAAAACTGTATTGCTATAATCAGAAACATGATGTCAGGAATTTGATTACTGTTGTATTCTTTTCAAACTGTTAATTATCCCAAAAGAAATTCACTGCACATGCTCTCACCAATGCAAAAAAGACCTCATATACAGAAAGAAATTATTATGCATTTAAGAGTGAGTGAGTGAAGTTAGTTTTACGCCACACTCAGCACCGCCTCCGTGGTGTAGTGATTAGAGCGTCCGCACGGAGAGCAGAAGGTTGCGGGTCCGATCCCAGACCTCGTCATACCAAAATATGTTAAAATATGGTACTTGTTGGTCCCTGCCTGGCGCCCGGCATTAATGGGTACAACAAGGACTGGTTGGCTCGGAGTCAGTATAATGTGTCTGAGTGGGGTATTCATGCTTCACTGCGGCGTGGTATCTCAGTGAGCTAGCACTATAAAACCAGCTTAAGTCTAGGCTAGTACAAGCAGCCGCACATACGCATACACACGCATGCACGTTGTCATATGAGCGAAATACTCTTAAGTACGACGTTAAACCCAATTTCACCTCACCTCACCACACTCAGCAATATTTCAGCTATATGGCGGCAGTCTGTAAATAATTGAGTCTGGACCAGACAATCCAGTGATCAACAAAATGATCATCAATCTCCACAATTGGGATACGATGAACAAGTCAGCGAGCCTGACCACCCAATCCCGTTAGTCGCCTCTTACGACAAGCATGGGTTACTGAAGATCAATTCTAACCCGGATCTTCGTGGGACATGCATTTTGGAGATTTAATAATGCTGTCCTGATTGGGATCTGAGGGTTGTCCACAGTAAGCGCAGAGAGGCTGAAGGCTACATGAACTGTTATCAATAATTGCATGTGGCAGAAGAATTTAATTTTTAACATAAAGTGGTAAGCTGACTAGGCTCGTGAAAGGTTGTAACTGGCTGTTTAAAGGGAAGGAGGAAGAGTGTGTGAATAATCTGGCGACAGGGAAAATCTTCTTTGTGTAATTGTATAGACTTCCTTGCTGCAGTATTACTGCTAACTTCTTGGTACCGGTCCAACATGCCTGTCTCCTTTTCACTTCCTACAGAACTACAGTGAATAGTCTCCTTATATGGCGCTCATATTCAGGCACATTGCCTGCTCACGACGCTACGTACATTACTATCCCCGGGTAAGCCAGACCAATGTTATTTCTTGTTTTATGGATTTTTGTCCTCAGCAAACCTAAAGGCAGGAGGGAAAAAAATAAAAATCACTAGTCAAAATAATTTTCCTTTTAAATACTAAGGGTATTTTATTTTTGGCAATTGATGAAGTTTTTATGGGGCAAAAAACAATCAAAGTTAAATTTTTGGCCAATAGAAACATGAGGATCTTATTTTTTGAGCAGGGAAAATTAATATATTTTTTTTCTTCTTATTCTTAAAAATATGACCGACGGATCCGTAAAACAAGAAATAAAATTGGTCTGGCCTCATAGGACACTATCGTACAGTGGAAACTGTCTAAAACGGCACTAGTCGGGACTGAAAAAATAATCCGGTTTAGACAGCGTGCTGGATTGTAGAGCTAACATGGTTACCTACGACTAGAACTGAGCTCATATTCACTTTTTTTACTTTATAACATAAACATGATAAATCAACACATTTAATAAAAATCAGACATATACGTGTGATGGCTGCCACACACTCATAATCCCTTGTTATTTCAATGCAGGGTTAATTTGTGACAATACACATCTGGCCGACTCCTCGTCACATGCCGGATTAGACAGCACTGATTACTGTACGGAATTGACAGATGCCTAATTGCAGAGCTTTTAAATGGTGATAAATGTACTAACCACAGACCGGACTGAGATTTGATGCCGGTGTTGACAACTTGCCGGATTGGACAGCTGCTGGATTTGACAGCTTCCACTGTACTGTATTTTCTGGTGTATAGTGCACCCTTGAGTATAGTTTGGTTGGATCAGCTCGTGTGACATACTTCATTCCCTGTCAATGCAATGAGATAGAAAGGGATGTTGCCTGATTTGGACTAATTACCTATTTGGACTTATTATTATAGTAATAAAATGCACTCCGTGCGTGCGTGCGTGCGTGTGTAAGTGCGTGCATGTGTGTGCATGTGTGCACATTTGTCTTTTCTGGAGCAGAACTTTTAAACCGTTCAATATTTCTTCACCAAACTTGGCACATAGATAGGTCTGGTGATGAACTGGTGCCTTTTGGTAGTTTTGGATTTCTGATTATTATATTTTTTGTGTTTCCATGGCAACAAGTTTGACTTTGACTGAAATTGGTGTTGGTGCTCTTTTCCGGAGCAGAACTTTTAAACCGTTCGATATTTGGTTACCAAACTTCTCACATAGATAGGTCTGGTGGTGAAATGGTGCCTTTTGGTAGTTTTGGATTTCTGAATAAAATCTTTTTTGTGTTTCCATGCCAACAAGTTTGGCTTCAACTGAATTTGGTGGTAGTGCTCCTTTCTGGAGCAGAACTTAAAAAACCTGTCAATACTCTCCTTCCACTTTGCCATATACACACCAAAATATTTGACATAGCCATAACTAGTAGACATATTCATGAAGAGTATTTTGCCATTGTGGGGAATATTGATGACTTTGACGTCTTGTTGTCATTGTTATGACTATTGTTTAAAACAATGCATCATTGTCTTACTGTTATCTTAAAACCTTCTTGTGTAAACATATTAACATATATACATATAGTAACACAGGCAAAGAATTTGTTGGCCATAAAAGTTTCTTCCTGTTCGTCCATCTTCAAAATGTCTGTCAAAGTCATGGTTCCATTGTTTATAAGGCTGAACTAATAGTCTGTTAGGACTGCACGGTGTTACAGGTGTGTCACAATACACTGTTTGCAGTATTTCTTCTGATTACTGGTATACTGGGTAAAGAAATATGACAAGTTTTGTGATCTCATGGTTTGAATTAAGATTTAGAGACATTCATTCAAAACAGTGTTACAGAGGTTACCCAAACCAAATATTTTCCTGATAATTTCAATAGTAATGTTATATTCTTTGGGAAAGAAGCTGAGCCTTCAACTGCCAGCAAAAAAGCAGCAAGAAACAAACAAAAATGACTAGGTTAACCATTAGGTTTTCCAAGTACAGGAAGCTAAACATAGCAACTCCATTTCTGCACAAAATGTCTCTTGCTGGAAAATATCTGTGGTGACATTCAGTATAAAGCATTATGTGAAATATAACGCAGAAACCATTATTCTCGGATTCAAAGAGAGAAGAAATGATGTACTGAATTTTATTTTCATATTAAGTAAAGAGTACATATATTCTAGAAAGTTAGCAAACATTGTACCTTCTCTCAGCTAGTCTGAAACCAAAATTGAATTACAATTACCACTTACACAAATTTAATGCATACTCTCACTGCAACTACGACACTTTTGTTACATTTTGGTCGTCTTGCCACAATCTATTTACATAGATAATGACTTTGTAATTTGACTCTTATATAAAGCAACAAAAATGCTGACTTGTTAAATGTGCATGACATGCTGTACCCAGATTAAAAAGAAATAAAGTGATAAAAAAAAGAAGCATTATGTTAAAAAAGACAGAACTTAGTACTGAAAAACATGATCAGATTTAATTACTGGATGGATATACATTTTAAAATCACTGAAATATTATACAAAATCATCCAATCACAGCTGTCATATGATTCAATAAGCACTGAAGGCTCAACAAAAGCTGCTTGTTCAACAACTGATTCTGATATGGTGTCATTGAACCTTCAGAAAAGGCCCAAATTTCTTCTTTAATCACAAGTTGTCTTCCTTGCAGGTGACTCCCGGTCGATGCAAGGCACAACAGATCACAACCTCATCGGAGCTTCTAGTGGAACCCACCCCCAACTATGACTGTCACGTGTCAGTCAGTGCTGCTCAGTCCCACTCCACTCACACAGTCCAGCTACAGAGGTCACAGGTAGCCCCGGATTCTTCAAGCATTTGTTGCATACAATCACTGTTTTAAGTGATGAGTGCACGCTTTACCCACTAATCTACCCCACTGTACCATCTTCATAGTGTATTCATAGCAGTTCTAGTATGTATGTAGAGGTTGGCTAATGCCTGACTGACTGAGTTAGGTTTTACGCCGGCTTTTGCAATATTCCAGCAACATCATGGCGGGGGACACCAGAAATGGGCTTCACACATTGTACCCATGTGGGGATTCGAACCCGGGTCTTCTGCGTGACGAGCCAACGCTTTAACCACTAGGCTACCCCACCGCCCGGTTGGCTAATGGTTTGATGGGATGAGCAAAATTCTCCTTGCGAAACATCTTAAAATTTGTTGTTACTGTGTTTCCTATGGGCCTGCTTTGATTAAAACTTTGAATGGAAAGACTCCCCAGTAAAACACAGGTTTGCTTTTCGGTAATGTTTTGAAGCTTGGCATGTTGTACTGGAGACCTTTGTTCAATTCTTCAAACACTCACAATGTGTGAAGTCTGTTCTTTGCTTTGTCCACAGGGTTATAGCTGGAATATTGTTGTCGTTGGCGTAAATCTATTCATCCACTATCAACAGTGAAAATATGTGAACCAGGTTGGTCACTGTTCATAGGTTGAGAGGGCGGTGGTGTAGCCTAATGGTTAAAGCGTTGGCTCGTCACGCCGAAGACCCGGGTTCGAATCCCCACATGGGAACAATGTGTGAAGCCCATTTCTGGTGTCCCCCACTATGATGTTGCTGGAATATTGCTAAAACCGGTGTAAAACAGTCAGTCAGTCATAGGTTGAGGGAATATGAAACATAATTTCACTCTGGGACGTGCTGCAATGAATAATTCAATGTAACAATGTTTCCTCCCACCACTACGTTTAGTTAAAGGAGAAATCTGTTTATATTTGCAGATTTACCTGTATGAATACACGGATGAAGCTCTGCCATCTACCAGGCCTCGTCACTGTCTGCCGTATGCATTGCTGCAGTATGAGAGGAAGGAGACTTCAGGTGCTGCCTATGGACAGCCTGGCCGGAGTTCATATGGCACGAAATCAACAGGAAGTGAGTACTGGAAGTCCTCCCAGGGTGCATCTGGCCACAAGTGGAAGTCCCGCGGTGACTTGAACGTGGTTCCCAGAAGAAGCAGCTATGACTCGGTGGCTACCTATGGACGACAAGACTCAGGGTTTGGTCCTTTGTCATCTCCCCCTGTGCCAGTAGGCAATGCAGGGTACAAGATCCAGTCTGTGCGAGAGGACCCACGTATAGCCAGGAGGAGGAACACATCTGATGTGGCTGAGGCTACAAGTGATCCAAGGCTAGCTGATCCTCGAGTTCCTCCTAGTGACCCAAGGTTAACACCAGCAGATCCACGGATAATGCCTGTGGATCCTCGTTTAATTTCAAGTGATCCCCGCCTTGCTCACTCTGATCCAAGGATCAATTTAAATGATCCTCGTCACAGAAGCATTGAAATACCCTCAGGTCAGCATGGTGATGCCATGTTCAGTCAGTTCCCATCAGAGCAGAAGACAATCAGTCCTCAAATGAAGTCAATGATAAAAAACAGTGGAACAGCTCTGGGGAACAACTGGTCAGGATGAAATGGCCATTACGAGTGAGGATCAGGCTCAAAACAGTGTTGTCAAACAAGTCCAGGAACAAATGGACCAGAAGAAAGCTGAAGCCAAAGAAAAGAAGAAAAAGATAAGCTTTGCGGATTATTCCACACGTTTCAAACAATCTGACAAGCAAAATGTAGCAAAGTCAACGATATCCATTTCCTCCCCACCAACAATCACACCAGTCCCAGTTCCTTCAGTTCCAGTAACGGCAGTGGAAGTTGTTCGCGACCTGACCTCAGTTTCTGCTGTTCCTGTGACCAGTGCCATGGAAGGTCCAACAGTGGTGACCTCATCCACTCAAGCTGGAATCTATCCTCCAAGTCGCTTTTCCAAGGCTGGCTTATCAATTCCAGCTGCAACAGCTTGTGTCTCTACCCCTAGTCAACTCACAGAGCCTGAGCAAATCCCTGTCTCAGCTCCAGTTTCATCTCCAATCCCCACTCCTGTCCCTGCCCCTGTTCCAGCCCCAGTACCCCCTCCACCTACACCAGTTTTCTCAGCTTCTGAACCAGCTCCAGCTCAGATGCCATCACCATTTTCAGTGTCAGCCTCATCATTACTACCCTCCCTAACATCTGATCCTACAGTGTCACCAACCCTAGTTACATCCACCTCTGTACCTCTGATATCCAGCCCACTCCATCTCCAAAAGTCTCATGATCTCTCTGGTGATGTCTCTTCCTCAAACCAAATCTACATGCCTCCATCAGCTCTATCAACTGATCAAAATACACCAAGTGATGATGTCAAAGATTCAGAATATTTTCCTGAGTCCCCCACATCTGAAGTTGAGTCAGCTACCAAAGATACATCTCTTCCTTATTCCCCAAAAGGGAGTGCTGACTATATAGACCCATATGCAGCTGTCAAGAAGATTATTCAACTTGATTTTTCCAAACTTACGCAAAGTCCTGTGAGTTCACAAGCTCAGAGAAGCCCTGGGTCTGCCTCTTCTTTGAGTAATCCCTTTGCTAGAGAACTGCCAAAGAGTCCAGTAATTCAAGAATCACAGAATAGTCCACAGAAATCCAATGCTCATCCACTGTCAGTGAGCACACAGAGCAGTCCAAGAGTGGCAGATAGTCCATCTTTTCCTGCTTCTATTGTTACAGATAGCCCTGCGCACCCAGGAATTCAGTCCAGTCCTAAATCTAGTGTTTGTTTATCGTCTGTTCTGCCTGGATTGTCCCCGTCAACATTAAGTCCGGCAACACCTCAGAAACAGCCTTTAACTCAATCGGAGCTGCAGAATGAACCACAGCAAGCCACACCAAAGGATATGAGTCAAGACTATGTCAAGGATCTTGTGACTAAACTTCAGTCTTTTGGCGATGTCAAGGACTTAATATCTAAACTTGTTCAGAAGGGACCAGCAGTACAACCTCAAACCGAGCTTCAACAAGCTCCTCCTGAGAGATACAGAGAAATAAGTTCCTCTCCATTTCAAGGGTACCATACTGGTGACTCTGGACAGCAAGGATTCAGGCATAATGTGCCGTCTGCTAGAGAACATCTGGACTTCGGGGATGCTGATACAGATGCCAGACAGCACAGTTCAAGATGGTCGTCATGGCAGAGCAGCCAAAGGGACCGAAATTACAGAGATTCAGACTACGACGATTATAAATGGAAGGACTCGAGATACAGTGGGACTGAGTCTTCACGGCAGTATGGGGGTTCTCAGTTTGATGACTTCTGGAAGGGTCATGATGAGGATGTGGACTACAGGAGGAGGGACGACAGGAGACGAGACACGAGGTACAGGTATGATGATGACCGTAGATCACACGAATCCAGATATGATAGGAGATCATATGATCACAGGCCGAGACGTGATAGCCCCAGACATGAAGATGCCAGTAGGTATGGTGATGTTGACTATAGGAGTTCCCGATACCACTCCCCACGTAGATCTCCGAGATCAGACTACGGGAGAAGAGACTCGCTGGATCATCACCGTGACGATTCAGCACCGAGAAGGAAATCCTCTACAGCAAGTGTTGATCAGTTGAGAGTGGCAGATGATTATGTGAGTTCTGATACAGATGTGAGTGACAAGCGGAGGTACGAACCACGAGGTGATAACCATGAATGTGAGGACTTGTGTGAAGGGGTGTGGATGGCCCCACGGATAGAAGGTGGTGAAGTTAGCAGTGATGTGGAGATGACTCCAGTAAAGCCCTCCCCACCAGACAAGATGGACACAGTAGTTTCAAACATCCTCACGGAGGAAAAGAAAGACAGTGCTGATGACAAGCCTATCAAGCGGTCACTGTTCACAGAGAAAGAAAGGCAAACTTCAACAGAGCGAGAGCAAATCAAAGTTTGTATTTTGAGTTTTTGATAATTTCATTATTCAGGACACTTAAGTTTATCAGTATATTTCACTGTAAACAAGGATTCTTTATCTAAAAAAAAGTGTTATTATATTCTGGTCATTTAATAACTAAGCTGTATGGCGAATTGTGTGTGATATTAATATCCCAGGCTCCAACAGAAAGTTAAATCATATCACCCCCCACTTTTGCCTTTTCACAAGGTATATCTACACCACTGCAACTGCAACTCACCAGTCAGAATTGTTCCTTAGTTGATAGGATCTGCCTTGACCTGTGTCACTGTTGTCTTTCTCCATCGTGCCTATCTTCAAGTGTTTCCAGCCTCAATGTACCCTGTATTAATATTAACCATAGACTGGTGTAACAGTTAGATGGTGCATATTGGAGCTGGAGCTTATTACGGAGAATACAGTCATTGATTAGCTGTTCCATACAGTATAAACCAACTTGCTGACCCATGTTTATGTATAGTTTATCTTTGCTTTCATTTATGAAGTTTTCAACAAAATATTGTGTTTCCAGAAACCCAAGCTCCGTGACATCACCGAGGTGGACAACACTGCTGCTAATATTCCGCCATCACTGAAGCCTCCAGCCACCAATCCGAAGCCTGAGGAGGCGGCACCTGTAGTCCAGGCTCGGTCGTGGACTGAAGTGATTGAGAAAGAGGATCTCAAGAACAAGAAAGTAGTTCAGGGGAGTAAACCTGATGCGGGCAAGAAGGTTAAAAAGAAGAAAGTGGACAAAGATTTAGCCGGTTACAAGAAGAGAAGAAAGCGGAAAAAAGAAGCTTCCTGTTAGAAAGAAGATTGATTTAGAGGATGATCAGAAACCATGGTCTCCATGTCCATCTGAAAACTTCAGTATTGAATATGACAATGATGATATTGATTATGGGGACTTTAGTTTCGATCAGCCTCATACCTTTGTTGAGACACTGCCAAATTCTGATGATGACAGCTACAGTTATGGGACAGAGAGTGTGTCGATGAGTGTGACGTCGCTGGCGTCTAGAGCTGCATCACCTAATGTGGAGTTGGCACAAGTTGGTGTGTGTCGGTCGGAAGATGTCAGCAGTATTCAAAGTTTACAGCCGAAAGTGGAGCTGACCGACTATATACAGGTAAATAGTCATCAGTGCAGGGTAATGAACTCACCAGCTGTTATTCCGGCTGTCCTCTGGGATTTAAAAAAAATTGATTGTGAAAATTCCCCCAAATATGTTGTTGCCTTATGTTTTTCATGTTTTGAATTGTCTTTCACTTTGTGTGAGTTCATTGGAGTACAAACCTTCACTTAGGGAGCTGCTGTCATATAACTGGAATAATGCTAAGTGGGGTCTGAGTGGGTTAAACTGCTAACAAATAAACTGAGCAAGTGAGAGCCTAATTGTATGAATATGTCAGCTGCTTCAGTTATTTTCAAATCCCAGTTTTGTGCCACAGAGTACACAAGGAATTTTATACATGGAATTGATATTCATACCTACGTACATCTATGCTGCAGGAGAGTACATTCCATTTGATTGTGCCCATCATACTCACATTGTTCTACTGTAGCAGCTTTTGTGGTATGTTTACATCAACTAGGACTTACAATCAGGGCTCCAGATAACTTTTGGGGGTGTGAGTGTACTTACACATCATATTGCAAGTGGAGATGTACTGAGAATTTTGAAGGAGTACTGACATGTTTTTGTGTGAGCGAGTTGATGTGGTTTGTCTGGACGATTCATCGATCACTATTTCCAACCATGTATTTGTATTTGAAGACGCGTGAGAAATAACTGAAGCGACTGTGTGATGCGCGAAATGTCAGGTCCGACTGGATATAAATAGGAACAGTGTAGTTTTTAGCCAATCGAAAAATAGTGACGCATATCGTTGCATGGCAACGCAAGGGATTCCTACTGTCGGGGTTTCCTTATGTATCAAATCCTGTTTCGCAAAGAAACTCTTGACAACAAGTATTTATCCGAAATAGATTTCCATTTGCACGATACGCACGGAAATTAAATGTTAGACGTACGAAGGTATTTATGTGCGTACACGATACGCTTGAAATCTTATATTGTGTCGTACTTAATTGATTTTGAGGCATACATTACGCCTGTACACCCCTTATCTGTAGCCCTGTACAATGTTAACCTTGGATAAGAAATCTCTCTTCAGATCTGTTCCTCTGATGTTATGATGTTAGATCAAACATATGGCTACTTCACCACTTCTGTGATGCATTATTTTTACAGGCTGATAGTAGTTTGCTTTGTCTTTTCAGGTATTCAGTTCCAATGCGGGGAGAGTGTCCGAAGTGTAAAGTTGTTGCCAGCTCTATTCAGCCCTATGTACGACATCTGGATCTTGGTCAGGACAGCATCACAAAGGAATGTGAATCACACAAGGAGGAGCATGATAGCTCTAAGATGAAAGCAGAAATAAAAGCAGAACCAGATTTGTACGCTTTCGAGTTTCTGACAGATGTGAAACCAGCTTTAAAAATGGAAGACACAGTGAAAAGTTCTCACTATTACAAAACAAATACAGTGGTTGGACTTGATCTCATAGCCCAAGAAGAAGAAGAACCAGAGCATCTTGAGGAGCTTCCAACAAAAGCTGAAAAGATGGAAGCAAAGAAGGAGGAAGTGAAGACAGAGGAAATGAAGGAGGAAGTGAAGAAGGAAGAAGAGACAAATGAGAAGCTGACCCAGAAAGTAGATGAGAAAAGAGGATATAACTCCATTGAAGGTGACAAACCTCTGCATCTGAAACTCAAGAAGATTTCCACCAAGAAGGAAGCAAGCTCTCTGAGTGAGAGAGTACAGGAGAAGGAAAAAAGAGATGTCAAGTCTAAATCTACAGAGGAAGATCTCGACATCAATGGAACTCACAACACATTTAGTCCAATTAAAGATATCATGAAACGAAAACTGTCAATTACCTTATGTGTTGGGGGAAAGAAGAAGAAATCTGAAGCAAAGACCACCAGTGTCCAATCTGAGGTGAAGGTCGCTGATACCAGAACTACTTCATCAGCAGTCTTGTTGCCCGTACCACATCATTCAGTTATATCACCAGCTGTGACTCCATCATCTCCACCGGCGTCTACGACAATGGTGTCTGGACCGACAACAAGAATCATTCCTACAGTTCAGTACAAGATGGGTGTGAAGAAGCCTGCATCCTCCATTCCTGCCAGCAGAAGCAGTTCCACCAGTTTTGACAACAAAGACTCATTGCAATCTGATTTGACGACCTCTAAAAGCAGCAGTGTCGCTGATGAACAAAACAGCGTTGTCAAGAAGCCCAGTGGTCAATCTATTCCTGTTCTAGGTAAGAGTAGAGGATGCAGCACACCCCCAGTGTCTGCGTGGGTGCCAGTTGAATCTGCACCACCAAAGACAGAAACTCTAACTACAAGTCTTGGCCAAAGTACTGTACAGTCAATGTGGATTCCTACCTTCTCTGCTGCTTTGTCTGGTCAACCTTTGGTTCTGCCTGTTTCCTCACAGGTTAGGCCTTCAGTTCCTCCTGTCCAACCACCTCAACCACCACCCCCAGTTTCAGCTCCAGGATTTCTCCAGCCAGTCAGTACCAGACTCCCTCCAGTAAATACGATACCTCCTCAAGGCACAATGCCACCAGGACACCCTGTGCCAACACAGCAGCAACACTTGCGGTTTCCTCCTCATCCTGTACAGGCACCTATCATGCGGCCACCTCATAATCCTAACCTTTCTCATCCTTCTGTTCCATTGAGGTTTCATCAGCAGCCACCACGTTTACATCAGCCGATGCCACATCATGTGCTGCAACCTGCAGGACCACCTCAGCCTCATATGGTACCGCAGCAGCGACCACGTGTTATGCCACCTCAGACAATACAAACAACTGCTGGTCCTCCTCCACTGAGACCCCCACAGTCTGTTGTTAGACCTCAACCACCTATGACACAGCCACAACAAGTACATGGAATGCAGCGTGTCAACATAGCCTATCCTCCTCCCCCTCCACGCCATGAGAATACACAGCAACCAATATTAAGACTACCAAACTATGGGTTCTCACAGGTGTGCCGACCTAGAGGTATGACAGCCCTCCCTCCACCTCAAGTTGCTTCTAGTATTCCTGTCCTTGGGCAACATCAGGAGAGAATGCCATTGCCTCATCCTGGACCGCCAACTGCCCAACATGGACAACGACCCTACGTTCCCAGTGGTGTTCCTATTCAGAGACCTCTCTTCAACCCAAACCAACCTCCTCCTCCTCTTCCAGTGCGCCCAATGTCAATGTTGGTGCATGTTCCCACTTCTGGTATGCCCCCCTCAGCAGAGCCACGGAAGTCTAGTGACCCAGCGGACTGGTTTGCTGACATGTTTGCTCCGAAACCAAGAGAATCATCTTTGCCAAGAGAGTCAACACCAGAATCTCATCAGCCTTCCCCAGAGAAGCAAAGCACCAAGGAACATACACCAGAATCTCAGTCTATGTTTAGTAAGCCTTCAGACAGCTCTAAGTCATGGAATCTTGCTTTCGATAAAGGAGGGAGTAACGGTTCAACTTCCAACCCTTCAAGTTCTACATCATCACCAATAAGACAGGGTCCTTTTTTAGGCGAATCTAGCCGGGATGCACATGCTGGGGAGGCTGTGCATGCTGGCAATGACATAAAAACTTCACATTCCCCAAACAGGAAAGTTGTTATTCGGTCGGTCATCACAAGACTTGAATCAGAGAAAACTCTATACAACTCACCTGAACCGAACTCTAACAGAAACTCTCTCAGCCCATCACCAGGACCCAAACCAAAGGATAAATTATTGGGACAGCCATTGGATATTTTATCCAAGGAAAGAGAAAAGATCCTCAATGCACTCGAGGACCTATCTTACAGTGCAAGTGACAGTGAAGAGAATCAAGAAATGCGAAGAAAGGAATTGAATGCTCATGATACAGGATCCTCCCAGGGTGTATTATCCTCAACTGATGTCAAACCATCTACTGATATGAAGTCTTCACCGGATGGAGTGTCATCACAAGATGTAACATCCTCAAACGAGGTGAGATCTTCAAACGAAGTAAGATCTTCAAACCAGGTGAGATCTTCAAGCGAAGTAAGATCTTCAAGCGAATTGAGACCTTCAAGCGAAGTGAGATCTTCGAGTGAGGTGAGATCTTCAAGTGATGTCAGATCCTCTAGTGATGTGAGATCTTCAAGTGAAGTCAGATCCTCAGATGATGTGAAATCCTCAAGTGATACGAGGTCCTCAAGTGATGTGAAATCCTCAAGTGATATAAGATCCTCAAATAATGTGAGATCCTCAAGTGATGTAAGATCCTCAAATGATGTGAGATCATCAAGTACTATAAGATCTTCAAGCAATGTAAAATCATCAAATGATGTGAGATATTCAAGTGATAGGAGGTATTCAAGTGATAGGAGATCCTCAAATGATGGAAGAACTTCAAGTGATGGAAGATCTTCACGGGAATTCAGATCCTCAAGTGATGGGAGATACTCCAGTGATCGGAGATCTTCAAATGATGGAAGAACTTCAAGTGATCGGAGGTATTCAAGTGATAGCAGATCCTCACGGGAAGTAAGACTCTCAAGTAATGGTAGATATTCAAGTGATAGGAGATCCTCATCTGATGTTAGATCCTCAAGTGATGGTAGATATTCCTCTGATGTAAGATCCTCAAGTGATGGAAGATATTCCAGTGATGTAAGATCCTCAAGTGATACAAGATGTTCAAGTGATGTAAGATCCTCAAGTGATGGAAGATATTCCAGTGATGTAAGATCCTCAAGTGATACAAGATGTTCAAGTGATGTAAGATCCTCAAGTGATGGAAGATATTCCAGTGATGTAAGATCCTCAAGTGATACAAGATGTTCAAGTGATGTAAGATCCTCAAGTGATGGAAGATATTCCAGTGATGTAAGATCCTCAAGTGATACAAGATATTCCAGTGATGTAAGATCCTCAAGTGATGGTAGATATTCCTCTGATGTAAGATCCTCAAGTGATACAAGATATTCCAGTGATGTAAGATCCTCAAGTGATACAAGATGTTCAAGTGATGCAAGATCCTCAAGTAATGGAAGATCTTCAAGTGATAGGAGATCCTCATGGGATATCACTTCCACAAGTGATGTGAGATCCTCTGGCGATGTAAGACATAACATAAAGTCTTTGCATGAGGCAAACTCTTCTAGTGAACGAGACAGTAGAAAGGTCTGCACCACAAGCAGAAATGGTCCAAAGATGGAACCAGTCATTATTCACATTGATAAGGAAGATGTAAGAAAAGTTGAATTGCAGGAAAAAGCAGATTCAAAAGAAAACCGAAAGGAGACCAGTTTGAATGTTCAGGAAACATATGATATAAAACAGGACATGAAACCAAAGACGTCATCTTCTGGAAGACAAAGACAGGTTATCAACACGGGTGCTACAGATTGGTCAACTTTGCTCCTGAGCAAGAGTACCAGGTATTCTGATCACAGACGTGGTTCTGATTTTGTGAGGAAATCAAGGGACACTGTTGATTACAATGATGAACTGTCATTTGAATTGTACCGATGTGATCAAGAGAAGCTTGAGACAACTGACACTCCAGATGACTCTTCAAGCATCTCAGGAGACAGTATTGAAGACCTGGATGAGCTCAGTCACAAGCTGGTGTCAGAGAACAGCCGAGATGATGGGTCTGTTAGGATCGTTCCCCTCACCATTGAAACATACTTGAAGTTTAAACTTGGCGTTTTGGATCCAAGCAAGGTAAAGGACAGAATTCCATGGCCACTGAGCACTGTTTTAGCTGAACAAACGAAGCATAAAAGAAGAAGAATGGTTCAGAAAGCTAAAGTTGTTGCAGCCCATTATGAGAAGAAGTTGGAGAAGAAAGCCTGTGGCAATTTCCGCCTGTGTCCTGATGACTCGATCACAGAGGTATCTCTGGAGAGGAAGCTGGAAGACTTCACCAAGGAACAGATCCTTATGGAGCTGCAGGTGGTTCAAGAGTGCATCAAGAAATGTTCCGAGGCACTACAAATGACCAGACAAGACTCTGCTCCTAGTCAATCGTCAGGATTGCAGAATTGTGTGAATCCGCCCTTGAAAAATCCTCCGAATTTTCTCCAGAATGGTATCATGTCACTTGAATTGAATTTACAGATTGCCCAAAATACTGTCAACCTCATGACAAATAGTGTGGAATCAAGGTCAAACGGTTTGTCTGTAATGCAGTGCCATCAGCAGATGCCGGGTGATGTTCAGGGATTGGTGAAAACAAACAATCTGAGTCACATTCAGCCAACTCAAGGTCAGTGGTTCAACAACCAGTATGAAGGGACACAGTGGAAAGACATAAAGACTCTGTTTGGAAACAAAGGTCCATCAGGTTGTCCTGCTGACAACTGTATAGATTTCTCCAGTGACATGCCTATGGAGGTGGATAGTGTACCCTCTGGCCAAGGTCATGGCAGCAGTCAGACTCTGAGTAGACAAAAAGATGCCCTACAGCAGGTGGCCAGTGACTTGATGGAAGGATTCCAGAAGTTGAGCTTCATTGGCCGAGCACATCAAAAGGTTCCAGATGACATTCTGCTCCAGAGTGAGAAGAGAAAGTACCACTCGGAAGAAGGATGCTTCTTGATTCTGTTATCTGCCATTTCCAAGAAGCCCTATGCTCGCCTCCTGTCCATGAAGCTGGACATTGAGAAGCTTGTGAAGGAAAAGTTAGAAGCAGCCATCAAGAATCAGACAGACTTAGTGCAGAGTTTGAAAAAATGACATTCATAAGCTTCATGATGACCGGAAGAAGCTATTGACAACCTTTACTGGCTCTTTGGGCAAGAAGCGGTTAAGGAAACTGAACCTTGTGAAGACCAAGTACCAGGTGTGTGTGGGCTATCTGAACAAGGAGTTGGGCTCGGAAGGGCTTACCCGCCTCAAGTACTTTGCCACGCTGCACCAGACAATCAACACTCATGTGACAATAGTGCGTAAAGAGCTGGTGAGTTCACTATAACATTTGAAATTTATATATAAACCCTTGGTGCATAACATGCAACCACAATATCAGTGATCTGAGAAAAGAAGCATGGTTCTATATACAAAGCAACCATAGCCCTAATTTCCCTTCTGTATGTTTACTGTCAGTGATTTCTGTTGGGTGTGTGAAGCATTTTTAATTACTTTTTTTTTTTCTGATTTCAAGCTTAGTCCTGCAAATTCATTTTAAAATACAGTTTAGATATTTAGGCAGTATCTGGAATACTCTTATAGTAATCACTTACTTTTTCACAATGTTGGGGGCAGCCTAATGGTTAAAGCGTTGGCTCATCACGCCGAAGACCCGGGTTCGACTCCCCACACGGGCACAATGTCTGAAGCCCATTTCTGGTGTCCCCCGCCGTGATGTTGCTGGAATATTGCTTAAAGCGGCATAAAACCAAACTCAGTCAGTCAGTCAGTCAGTCAGTCACAATGTTGGTGTGAGTTTTGCCCCTTTAGTTAGCATGACCTGCTGGGGTTATCAGAGTCCAAGGCTTACTTTAAGCCAGCTTGTGGTTCATTAAAGCTTCAGATGTGTAAAACCTCTTTCACTCTCGACTTTCACTGAACAGACCATTATCAATATTAATATGACTGAAAACCTGTGAAATGCAGCATTAAACCCTGATTGACTCACTCACTCACTATAGCATGATTCTTGTCTGTTGCAGGCCTCACCAACTCTCTAGAGACAGCTCCCTCTTCACAAGAATCAAGTTTATTATTGATTCTACAACATGTAGTGTTACACATGCTGTATCAAACCCATTAGATATGTTTGTGTTGCCAGTTGTAAGTGTTTCAGATTAGAAACAAAACCTGTTGTCATTTACTACTTAATTTCCACCATAATTAATTTTGTGTTGTGAAATGGAAGTTGATGAAAGGAGACCCTTAGATGCAAGATGCTCAGATCAAGGCCACAAAATGAATGTTAGACATAATGTTGTATGTGTTTGTAGACATGGTACCAGTTTTTATATACCTTGTTATGGACTCTGCTTCATAAGCTTCATGCATGTCTCAAGTGTTCACTGAGGTGAGTTAGGTAGGTAATCTGGCCCCTGTGGTGGTGTAATAGACAAAAATGGGTACTAGGTGTTACCAACTGGTGGTAGTGAGGACAGGAGTTGCGTGGTTGTGTTTTACTCTGCTTTTAGCAACATTCTAGCAATGATGCTGCAGGGGACACTAGAAATGGGCTTCACACATTGTACTCATGTGGGGAATCAAACCTGGACCTATTGTGTGACAAGTGAAGGCTTTAACCATTAGGCTACCCTACTGCCCTGACCTCTTAGGAAGACCAAATCTATGTTGGTTGTTTGATATCCTCTTTCTGCTGAAAGTGTGATAAGATGTCTCAGGTTCATAGTGTGGTATTGTCAGTCAGTTCAAAAGTGACGTCTTTATAATGCCTTTGTGGAATTGGGCCTGTATTGCTCCATAATACCTCATTAGGATGAGAAAGCCACAATAACTCGGTCAACTCGGTGCGCCTAGTGGCTGCAAGAGTTGTATACTCCCCAGGGAGTTCAGATTGATAATGCGATGTGCCGTTGAGATTGACATCCAATGATCGAGGGAAAAAATACCAGCGCCTTGAGCATGCACCAGTGCGTGGACATGTGCGTTGTATAAATATCCTATAATAAATAATAATAATAATATGAATATTCGGAGAGTGCTATTGGCTTGATGGTGCAACAGAAGCATCAACAGTAAGTGGTGGCGGTGGGGTATCCATCCTAGTCTTTAAAGCATTTGCTCATCACACTGAAGACCTGGGTTTGATTCTCATAATTCCCAATGGCTACAATGTGTGATGTCCATTTTTGGTGTCCCCTGCTGTGATATTGATAGAATATTGCTAAAAGCTGCATAAAACCAAACAGTGTATTGCATTAGGCCACACCACCAAGGGCACCCTATTTGACTATGAGTGAAATACAGTCGCAAACCGCATGGAACCAGAGACCGTATGTCAGTGCATGGACTTTCATTAAACCAACTCATCATTGTGTGTATATACTTAAACATATGCTATCTAGATGTGTGTATATGTTAGCTTGTAAGCACACTGAAACACCTGACAGTGTAGAAGATTGCTACAACTACTATCTTCGAATCCTTATAGCATGTTCAATAACAGGGTAAACTGTGCAAAACAGTGCAGGGAAATCAGTGCATTTTGTGATCATAAATAACCATGAAATGATCCAAAAAAGTGACTTGCAAATGTTATGTCATATTTTTGTTGTTGAAAACATATCCAATGAATTTCAGTGTTGTAATGTTTTACACATGGAATACACAATCAGAAAGCTTGCATATGTATGTTAAGTTTGCTTCAAATATTGGATGGAAGTTACACATGCTCTACCCTTTTAACCAGCGTGAAGCTACCAGTTCATGGGTAGATGTCCTATGTTAATAGGCTGGATACAGTAGAATTACACGAATTATGTTTGACCCCGAACTGTAGAGACTATTCAGTATTAAACTGACAACACCTGGTACAGTACATAGGTATACCTCTCAAAAAGTAGTTAGGACCACATGCCATGATGGATTAACTATAGTAATATGGCAAAATCGGGTGGTCCTTATCTGTTTTGAGTAGTATAATTTGGTATGTGACGAATATACTGATGGAAAAATGTTACACACCACCAGTATATTTGCATAGATATCACATGCATACATTTTCATAATTTTCCATTTTGTGTCTGTATTCAGTATGTGTCTGCTACAGTGGAAACGAAAGCAATTGTATTTTGTCAATAAATTAATACATTTCATTAAAAAACTGCCTATTTCATATGGTTATACATTGTATACTATGGAAGCGTTTCAGTACAACAGTCAAAATAAATTTATCATCTACGTAGAAGAAAGTATCATCTACTTACATGAAAGTGTCATCTACTTAGATGTAAGTATCTTCCATGTGGATGTGAACTTCATCTACGTAAGTATCTTCCACGTAGATATACTAGTAAACTTCATCTACGTAAGTATTTTCCACGTAGATGTAAGCTTCCTCTACTGAGATGTAAGTATCATCCACATAGATGTAAGCTTCATCTACTCTGATGTAAGTATCTTCCACGTGGATGTTAACTTCATCTACGTAAGTATTTTCCACGTAGATAGAAACTTCATCTACGTAAGTATTTTCCACGTAGATGTAAGCTTCCTCTACTTCGATGTAAGTATCTTCCACGTGGATGTAAACTTCATCTACGTAAGTATCTTCCACGTGGATATAAACTTCATCTACGAAGTATCTTCCACGTAGATGTAAACTTCATCTACGTAAGTATTTTCCACGTGGATGTAAGCTTCATCTACTCAGATGTAAGTATCTTCCACGTGGATGTAAACTTCATCTACGTAAGCATCTTCCACGTGGATATAAACTTCATCTACGTAAGTATCTTCCACGTAGATGTAAACTTCATCTACGTAAGTATTTTCCACGTGGATGTAAGCTTCATCTACTCAGATGTAAGTATCTTCCTGGTAGATGTAAACTTCATCTACGTAAGTATCTTCCACGTGGATGTAAACTTCATCTACTGTAGTATTTTCCACGTAGATGTAAACTTCATCTACTTAGATGAAAGTGCCTTCTACTTAGGGTATAATTGTTAGGCTTTGACACTAGTACAGAAAGTGGTGGTGGACGTTTTTCACAAGTGTATATACAAGTTGACTTGATAAGGATATTCTTTTGAAGAATTGTTGGAGTTGACTTGTGTGATTGGCTGACGGCAGTGTTGGACTACAGAAGGCTAACGGGGATCTTGATGTGCTCTCCCCTGCTTTGTGTGACAGGGTGTGTGTTGTATCAGGCTGTTGTATTGATTGAAGCAGCTGAGATGAGGATGTTGTACTTGTACTAATGGAGAACATTGATTGAGATAATTGGCATTAAGTTATCAGCATTTACATAAATGATACTAAATTATCAACTGTGTTTTGTATGTTTTATAATAACTGAGACAGTTTAATGCATTCATTGTAAAATCATCAACTTATTTTGTGCAATAAAACAGCTTGTTGGCATAAAGACTAATCTCTGTGTGTTTCTTATCCATATAGGTGTTGTCCTTCATTGTTGGAACATGTGTACACAAGTCGGAAATGGCAAGATTGTTCCCGTCATTGTGCTGTGTTTAACGAATCACTCGGCAAGCGATATAACAGTGGTCCGTAAATAGGTCCTGGACTTTGTTATGAATCACGACTGACACAGACAGGTACAATGATCAATCAGTTGGAAATATGTATGGTACATGATACAGTGGAGTGGGTATGGTACATGATACAGTGGATCGGGTATGGTACATGATACAGTGGAGCGGGTATGGTACATGATACAGTGGAGCGGGTATGGTACATGATACAGTGGAGCGGGTATGGTACATGATACAGTGGAGTGGGTATGGTACATGATACAGTGGAGCGGGTATGGTACATGATACAGTGGAGTGGGTATGGTACATGATACAGTGGAGTGGGTATGGTACATGATACAGTGGAGCGGGTATGGTACATGATACAGTAGAGCGGGTATGGTACATGATACAGTAGAGCGGGTATGGTACATGATACAGTGGAGCGGGTATGATAATGATACAATGGGAGTATGCATGGTACATGATACAGTGGAAGTATGTATTGTACATGATACAGTGGAGCGGGTATGATAATGATACAATGGGAGTATGCATGGTACATGATAAAGTGGAAGTATGTATTGTACATGATACAGAGGAAGTATGGTACATGATACTGTGGAAATGTGTATGGTACATGATACAGCGTAAATGTGTATGGTACATATTAGGGGTGGGTATTGCAGAGAATTTTCATATTGCAATATATAAAGCATATATGTATTGCAATATATTGCAAGAAGGTTTTTTTTACAAAAAACTACTTATAATCAGGTTAATGCTTGATTTATAAAGCAAAAACACAACAAAATCACTATCCTTGATTAAGTTTTAATAAAAACTTTTAATCATGACAAAATATAAATGTACAGAATATTTGGCACAAGTGAAAGAAGGAAAAGAACAATTTGACATCAACACAGTGGTTACTAGTTTGAACTAGTTTCTCCACTCTCATAAAAAACCCTGAGATTTTAGACCACAACTTGACCTGGTCAGGACCTATCGGAGATCACTGGTCACAAATGAGTAAATATTCATTCAGATCCAAAACATTGCGAAACACTTGAACAAAAATTAAGAACACAAGTTCAAACCGAACAATCCAGTTAAATGTAATTTTCCCCATGATCATTCCCACCACAATTACAACAGTCATCAACATCTTCATCACCATCATCATCACCACACCATTACCAAAATCATCATCATCACCACACCATTGCCACAAACATCACCATTTATCACAATCTTATACCCCACTTCCGGTCTCGTTGCCATGGTTTCCTTTGTTAAAAGTGTAGGTGTATTGACCGATACACCTACACTTTTTCACTAGGGTATACCGAAGCAATAAAGACACAACAAACGGCGAAATATAATTTTATTTCAATGGACTGACATTGAGATTTCGATTGTTTCAAAATCTTCCTTATCATCCAGGTCGAAATGTGACGCTAACGAACTGTCAATTTGAGAAAGAAAATCCTCTGTCCACTCTTCAGCATCCATGGCCGACGAACGTGTGATCTTCCAAATGTTTTCTATGCCACATGCGAGTCAGAGAACGCATGCGCATTGGTCTGCCCATACAAATGTCAATTATCAGTAATATTGCGCATATTTGGGGCTACTTGAAATCATTCTCGCGCCCGAACTAGTTTTTAAAATCGTGTGAAATCGTGCAAGCCCGTGCATGCACGTGCAATCGACTGCTTATAGTCTGTTTGCATTGAAAACGTACCGATGAATATCACTTAAGAAAAGTAAATCAAATAAAGTGAAACTAAGAATGCAAATCCCCATACTTTTACCTTGCCTATTGAACATTTAAATCTCAGAATTATATTCAGCTTAGGATAAAAGTTGTTTAACAAACGATCATAGTTTCAAAGCGCTGTTATTGGTTTGTATTACAAGGGTGTATGCGCATTAAATGAAACACCGAGAACATGTAGGTTTGGTCGAAGTTAACGCTCATTACGTACCGCACGGACATTTGTTTCACTGTTCCAACTACTGCGCTTACCCCCTTAAAATTGTAATACAAACCAATAATATTGATTTGAAACTATGATCATTTGTTAAACAAATTTTATTCTTAGTTGAATATAATTCTGAAATGTTCATTTGGCAAGGTCAAATTATGAGATTCGCAATCTTAATTTCACTTTATTTGATTACTTTTTTGTTTAAAGTGAAATTGATCGGTACGTTTTCACTGCAAACAGACTATAGACGCGGGACATTTGAGGGTCTTAACCAGTGGGCTAAAAATAAATGAAACAGATGGAAAACAAATACATTTTTTGTCATTCTTAGAATATAAAGTGTTATAGTAAACTCGTATCTCGACCAGAAGTGAGGTATAAGTCAGATATACCCACACTTCCTC